TAGGGGCTTGATTACCATCCAATATAATGACACATTTAATTGGGAAAATCCACTTGTAAATAACAATACCAAAGAGTACTCAGGGGAATATTTAAATGCGAGCTATACGCTATGACTGGGTATATTAAAGCGGGGAATTCGAAAACTCAACATATACAAATCATCGTTTCTAGGCCATCTTCCAGCGCCCCAACGCACTCCCCCTATAATCCCCCTTACAATGGCTTGTCAACGGGCAAACAAAAGATGAAAATGTATTTATTTAAAGCCCCCCTTCACACTGCCTCTGTCTCTCCGCATTATTCAGTATTTGCATTGCGTATACGCGGCGTTTGCCAGAGAGACGCACACAAAACCAGTCAACAAATGCTGTGACTGCCACAGTAGCCGCTCGAACGTCACTTGGCTATGAGCATGCCTCAAGGGCAGCCGGCCAGTCCACATGAAACTTTGCGTGGTCTTCCTGCTGATCAGCTGCCTGAGTGCCAGTCTGGGGCAGAGGCTGATCGACTCCGTGTGCCAGATGGTGCAGCGGCATCGCCTCGAGTGTCAAGTGCATCGCGTGGAGACCGCCGACGGGTATCTTTTGAGTGTTCATCGCATTCCCGCGCCGCGCAACCAGAGCTGCCCCCATGGGACTAGGGCCAGGCTGCGGCCTTTTGTGCTGATGCACGGACTCCTCGGCTCGGCCGCAGACTTTGTGACTGCCGGACCGGGCCGGGCTCTGGCCCTGCAGCTGCACAGGCGATGCTTTGACGTCTGGCTGCCAAATGCCCGGGGAACAACGCACTCCCGTCGGCACCGCACTTTGCAAACGAGTCAGGCGCGTTTCTGGCAATTCAGCTGGCACGAGATTGGCCTCTACGACCTGCCCGCCATCGTGGACCATGTGCTAGCCATGACGGGACACAGGCAGATGCACTATGTGGGCCACTCGCAGGGGACCACTGTGCTGCTGGTGCTCCTGTCGCAACGTCCCGAGTACAATGCGAGGTTTGCCAATGCGGCCCTAATGGCTCCCGTGGCCTTTCTCAAGCACCTGAGCAGTCCGCCACTGCGTCTGCTGGCCAGCGACAGTACCGGGGCCACCGTGCGTATATACTTGATGAGCGGACGCATCATCAGAATCTGATAATCCCCCCTTGCAGCTGCTACTCAACAAGCTAGGCCTCAACGAGCTGCTGCCCGCCACGGCGCTGACCCAGGTGGGTGGGCAGTTCTTTTGCAGCGCCACCCTGCCCACCTACACCCTCTGCACGCTCTTCACCTCCCTCTATGTGGGCTTCAGCGACTATCCAGTGGATCGTGTGAGTACGATTATATATGCGGGCCATAATTTAGCCAACAAAGCGGCCCCAAAACTTTTTTTTTTCTTGTTGTATGCAAAAGTTTTTATTGCACTCAGGAGTGGGACTGAACCCAACCCTATGCTCGACACACACACACACACAGACAGAGAGAAAAAGAGCGGAAGTGGAAGAATGGGGGGGGGGGGGAGGCATTCGGGGAGAAGCCTTAGTTTTGGTAATAAAAGTTATTTGAATTTAAATGCGTAAACGAGCTGCTCTTGCCAGGGCTCAGCTTCCTGGTTGGAAGTTAGGTCAGAACTATTGTGGAAAGGAAGGGTGCAGGATATGGGTACATTGGTATGAGCTTAAATTTGGTTACCTTTTGTATTAAATTACGATAGAACGCGCGGACAATTGTTCAGATTTATTATGTGTGCATCAAGCAGTCCGTCAGACAGTCAATTGGATGAACAGACTTAATCGCAGCTATTAAATAGTTCCAGCATTAACCATTCAGAGCATCTGCGTACCGACTCGAAGGCCATTTCCACGTACATATACATATCTCCTGTAATGTGCAGCCAAAAGGTGCGCTAAACTTTTCCATTGCCCAACCGAACTATAACCCTTCCCTCCCTACCCTACCCTTCGCACCGCCTCCCGCGCTGGCGGCTAACTAGAGTATAACATACATTACGTATACGCCACGTTGCCTTAAACACTTTTTGTTTCCCTCTCGCATACGAGTCGTACACTCGGTACATTTGAATTTTGTTTTGCCGTGAAATATGGCAAATAAATCGCGCCCGTGCACCGAAAGAAAAAACTTTATGGCTTATCTGTGTGTTCGCCGTGTTACGGGGGCGCGTGCTCAAAAGGCTTACCGTACCTAACCGACTGAAGTGAGTCTGTTGGAGTGTGTGTGTGTGTGTGTGGAACACCCCAGACGCCAAGTGCCGCTTGTTAGTTATTACGGTAAGGGTAAGGGCTTGGGCCAATTGGTTTTTGGACCTGGCCACTGGTGCTGCCGAAGCCGGATGTGAACTTTTTATAGTTGCCAAGAGACAGCGAAAAAAAATGCTGAAAACTGTTCGGGAATATAACTCTCAAGGTTTTTTGCCAACTGCAGCCATAAATAAGCATTTCAAATGATGAATAAAATAGTTGAACTTAAACAAAACACGGTCATAAAATTGTACAACATCAAAAGGAAATCGTGCATGGGAAATGCACACGCAATTAATTAAATAAATAAATTAAATAAATAAACACAAGTTCACAGATTCGTGATATTCTTAATATCTTCAAGTCAAAGAAAGGTTTATCGATTGTTTCAATATATCTGGAAATTTCCCAATATTTTATTGTGGCAACCAATCAGCGATTCTTTTTACTTCAATAAAAATTCACTTATCATTCCCACCAAGCCCTTTTTCATTGATAACTCTCCTTCCCTGGGTAAAACCAAATAAAAATCAGTTTCCCTGTCTCCCTACACATATACCATATACCCGTACATGAATAAGTTTGTCAATTCGAAACTTCAACGCCAAACTTCGAAGCGCCAAACGGAGGCAAGTCAACAGCAATTTGGAAGCTACTGCCACTTGACACAGGAATCAACTGAGTGCAACCGCGTGCCATATCTGTCAGATCGTCATGGCTTCCATAAAAAAGTCAACAAACTAGTCACTGCAACCAGCATAAAAAAAAAATAAAAATAAAAGGGGAATATATGACTAAGCAAATAGGGAGAAAAGACGCTGCTCCGGCTTGAGCAAATGGAGCGAGGCGATACTTGTGACAACTGCCGAACAGCCACACCATACAGATAGACGTCCGAATAAATATTTGTGCATATTTAGTAGGAGCTGCCCCTCAAGCCGGTGCCCGCATAGAGTTCAACAGACTTGGCCAACTGCAATGCGTCGAGTAAGATTCGAGAGGGAATAAAGAATGTAAAGAAAAACGTAAAGGAAAATTCAAGGGGGATGGGAAAAGAAAAAATCGGGGAAACACAAACACAAGCTGGCGGCACAAAAAAATGCTCGTATTTGCCACAAGTTGCAAGCTGGTTGGTTGCACAAAAAATACAAAACAACAACAACTGTCGTGTGGAAATGCAACGGCCAGGCGGAAAATCAAATAAACATCAAAATAACACCAACAAAAAAATATGTCGCCGCAGGACGCAGAGCGACGCTCAACGAGCAACGAGCAGCGCGTCGCGGCACTACGCCACACGACGCATGAAACGTTTCAATGGCTTGTCATGGAAATTTAAAGTCGGCCGATTTACATAAAATACTTCAGTTCAAGAGTCATTGCAGCATGCAAAAAGAATGCCAAACATGCATGCGACAATCGCAAAAAAAAATTGCCCAAGTTTTTGCGGATATTGCAAATGAATATTCCAATTCGCATTCAATCAAGCAACGATTTCTTTGATTTAAATGGAACTTTTTCCATACAGTTTAATAGTACGTATCAAAAGAAAACTTGGATAGATGTTTATTGATTTTTGTTGAATTCAGTGATAGGTTAAGAGAAAATAAACCATTTTGCACTTCTGTAAATGTAATTTAAATGAATTTAAGGATGCAAACAGTGTGTCAGACTCCTCCAAGAACAATATTGATGCACGCTTTTAAATCTTCAGACGCTTGCCCTCGGTTCAATTGATTCGCCCCCAAATCAATCTAAATGAGTTTCGAATTTAAATTGAAAATTCCATTGCACCTTCCTTATCCACAAATAAGCAGCTAATTTCTAAACAAATAATAAAAAAACGGCACCCTTGGCAGCGGCAGGAGCAGCCATCAAAGCAAGAGGACCTCCTGGCCTTTGGCCTGCGACCTCGCTTCAGTGTTTGCTCATGTGTGTACGGGTATGTGCTTCTGTTTGTGTGCTTGTGTGCACTTCCGTATGCTTTGTGTCGCAATGAAACGGAAATAGCAGCCTGAACACACACCGATACACCGGCCGACACTCACACACACACACCACACACACACACACACACACACTGACTGGTCGGAGAGGTCGTATATCCGGCTTCATCACATAAAATTTAAACGTATTGGAAGTTTAAGCCTAACAAAATGGTTTCATCCTTTCCTCTGTTTTGGCTTTTGCCTCTTGCCCTTCACAGAACCTCTTGCCACGCATACTGGAGACGATACCGGCGGGCATCTCGCGTGGCCAATTGCTGCACTTCGGGCAGCTCATCAATAGCGGTAAGTTTGGAGAGTTTGACATATGCCTGATGGAGTAGGGAGGTACTACTCGTCCTGCTGATGTCTTTCTCCGTGTCATCCGCAGGCAAATTCCAGCAATACGACTATCGTTTGCCGAGGCTTAATATGCTGCGATATGGCCAGGCCACGCCCCCCTCATATCAGTTGAGGAATGTTCGCCTCCAGCTGCAGATCTTTCATGGCACACGCGATGCCCTGTCCAGCCAAGCTGATGTACAGCGACTGGTTAACGAGCTGCGCCAGAGCCGAACCCAGTTGTATCAGGTTCCAGGCTACAATCACATTGACTTTCTGTTTGCCGTCACTGCCACGCAGATGGTTTATGAGCGAATCATTCAACAGGCCTGGCAACTGGATGCAGCAGCAGCAGCAACAGCAGCACTTCAGGATAGATGATGATGATGAATTGCATTGGCAGAGGGACACCAACGATACTTTTATAGTATTTAATCAATAGGTTTAATCATCTTAATCGTGGAAATATTCATTATATCCTTATGTTTTACACTCATAGCTTGTTATAGGGGACACAAAAACTAAACAACTAAAAAGAATCAAAAGAAAAACCTTGATAAACAGACCTCATAAGCTTCATTCTTTACACATCGCATTTACGTAAGTCATTATACATATTTATATTTACTAAGAATAACTGGAATATCTGCACCGCCTGCCCGTGTGCCTGGTGGGTCCCTTGGATTGGAGTCGTGTTATTTGGGTTTAGGGTTTTGGGGTTTTGGGTTTTCGGGGATATGTGTTTCCTGATCAAGGGAAAGTGGGAGTGTATGCACCCACATATGGAAGCCATTGGCTGGACAGATTAGCTGAGTTCAAAGCCCACACCGGACTGTATGGCATAGAGCAGCTTTTCACGCATTTGTTCCACACTATTGAAGGGCGGCAGCTTCAGCAGATTGGTGCAGGTGCTGGCCGTGGGCAGGCGCTCCATATCTCCGGCATTTTGTATGAAGAAAGGTGGATCCAGGTCCTGCAAACGAAATCGAATATAAGATCAATAAACTTCAAATGAAATTCCATCTGATAGTCGCACCTTGAAACCCAACAATGGGGGCCTGGAGCAGCTGGTAACGAACTTGAGCAGCTGCCTGCGCTGCAGATCATCGAAGCCCTCCAATGCCTCCCAGAAGGCCACAATCGAGGGATGTTCCGGCGTGTATTCGCCGCCGTATTTGCAGTGCTTCTTGAGATCCTCCAGATCGATGGGAATCTCAGCACCAGATATGAGTATTTGCAGCTCCTTGTTGCTGAACATATAGAGCCATTCGATGGGCAGGACATTGGACAGACCCTTGCGGAAGGCATTGCAGTGACGACGTATTTGGACATTGAGCTTATAGTCGGCTATCAGCTGGATATACTCAATGCGATTCGAGTTGGTCACCGGGGTGCTCTGGCCCTGCGGCTTCAGCTCGACAATCTGCGTCTGTCCCAGCGAGCTGCTGGCCACCGTGAAATCCAAATTCAATTCACTGACATCACCTGTATAGTCCTTCAAATACAACAGATTTCGATACAGTTCCGGATCCAGAGAGGCCAACTGATGTATGTCCACATCCGAGTATTTGCCAGCCAATTTTGTTAGGAAGAACTCGGCCAGCGGCAGCTCCACGAGCAGGTTTTCGTAGATCGCCTTGCCCACAATGCGACCAATGAAATAGTAATGCTTCTCAAAGTCGCCAAAGAGATCGGCCACATTCGGGTTCGGATAAAGTTTGTTGTCCGTGGTCACCCTGGAAATTCAAGGTTAGCGTGTTAAGCGATTTCCCCGTGGGTAAATGCCAGTTTCTCTCACATGAAGAATCCACGATTGGGATCGAATGCACTTTTGATAAGCTCTGATAGGAATTCCCGAAATACACCGCCGCCATCAATGCCCGCCTCGTCCAGACCCAGCGATGAGACAAACTGTATGCGGAATTTCGGACGTAGATCCGGCTCTGTAAGAAAGATAATTTCATTAACATCGAAACTTAGGGTAATCCCTAGGGTGCATACCGTTCTCTGGGCGCAGCTTGTCGTAGGCATCTTCATACAGATGCGTACGGCGGACAGTGATCATAATGGAGGGACCCTGGAGGAAGGCTTGCAAATGGCCCTGGACTCGCATCTTGTTGGCTGCCACCAGACCCTGGAGAATGCTCACACGCTTGCTGAAGGCCACCACAAATGGGATCTCGCGCAGAATGGTTATTGAGCGTATCTGCTTGGTGGACATGGGCGGCCCGTTCTCAAAGTCTTCGCGTGTAAAGTCCCGGATCGGTTGAAAGGGACGAATACCGCGCAAACGGCTGCTATGGGTCAGGGGAAGATCGGTTGGCCTGTCCAGCGGCAGGTCCAATCGACTGACAGTCCAGTGTGACTCCGGACAGAAGCCCATGCGCAGGTCACGCGTGTATATCTGGTTGAGCACAAAGACCACAACATTGAGCAAATTGGCCCAGATCTGCTTCTGATGGCGCAGCTTCTTGTCATCGGCCTCTGTGTGGCCCAACACGCTGCGATAGTTGGCCAAATTGCTGCGTGTCTCCGGGAAGGCCAGCTCCACCAGACCCAGACTAATGTCCTTCAGCGTTTTGGACATTTGCACAATCTCCGCAATCGAGAAGGGCATCAGTCGAACGTGCTTCGTCAGCAACAGCTTGTTCTCCACAAACTCCACATCGTGCAGAGTGGGCAGCAGACGTCCAAAGAGCATACAGAAGGTGGCCAACAATGGAATGGTGCGATCCACTCCCTGCTGTTTCGCTGTCGAAATGCGAAAGATATGGAAATTTGTAATATAACCAAAGATGCTTAGAATTTCATTTTAAAGAGGACTTACGCACAACCCCCTTGGAAATGAGGCTAAGCGGTGCTGAGAAGCCAAGCTGTGTGGATTCGGCGGCCAGCTTGAACCAAACGGCGCGAATAAACTTCGGAGTGAAGGCCAAAGTGTACAGCAGCCTGCAAGGGCGGAAATTTACTTAACTGAATGCCCATTACTGCCATTACTCACTTATATTCGTAGACTGCGTGCTTGTTGTAGATCATTAGGTTGTGGCAAATCTCGCAGAGGGCGTAGATCAGTTGGCTGTGCTCGATGTGAGGATCCAGTTGCTGGACAATGAAATCCACGCGCTCCGTTTCGTTCAGTATGGCTATGGACTCCAGCAGACAGTCGCGCTCCTTGCTGCTCAGTTCCGTGCTCGTGCGACATGTCTGCTCCATATCGTAGTCCAGTGTGCGTGATGCTGGCTGGTCCTCCTCTTCCTCCTCATCCGATTCATCGTCGCTGTCTACATGCCGATGCGGGGCATTGGCATGCGTCCGTAGTGTGGACTTGGGAAGGAGCAGAATGTTGGGCATCATTTCGGCTATGATTCGCACGTAGACAGTGAGCAGCGAACTCTGCTGTAATGTGGCTGCAGACACGAGACGAGTGGGTGGGAGGTTTATAATCTGGGTACTCAATTGGAATATTTTAGCAACTTACCCAGCTGCCTGCGGTCGAGCACCAAGAGGGAGTTAAGTAAGAATGAGGTAAACAAGGCATCCACTGGTTGGACCACGGTTTGCTTAGCGCCGCCACTTCCCCTCTCCGAGCCATGGAACAAGAAGCTGCGCTGACTGGAGGCATTATCTGACTCGGATGTAGCAGTCACCGCTGCTTTTTCCAGCAGATCGAAGAGCGAGCGCATCAACAGATCGAAGGGGAACTCTGGACATTCGGCCAGGCAGGGGAGTACGAAACAGCGCATGGCATCCGTGTGGGGCGTGGCCAGGATATCCTTGACGAAATTCTGGCACACGAGCAATGACACGGGCAACACCTGTCCCCCAGTGCAGGCTCGTTTGGCCACTGCCAACGGACGCAGCAGCAAATGTAGCAGGGCCTCGGCCAGCGGACTGGGGGCATGCAGCGTTTCTCCATCCAGCGGCGGGCATTTCTCATCCAGCAGCTGGCGCAAGCGAAGGAAGTAGTTGCGTGCGATAAGGAAACCGAAAACACGCTCCAAATATTTGAACAGCAATGTCTCATCGCTCACATAGCGCTCCACGGCGGTGACTGTTGTAAAGGTTTCCAGCATCCGCAGGGGAATGGCCTGGGCGGACTGGGAGAGCGTCAATTGGAGCAGGCAAGCGTCTAGCAGCTTGCACACTCGAAACAGCCAGATCGGATCCGATGCTGAATGCTGCAGCAGGCGGCCAGGGCTACGCAGGATTTGTTGGCAGACTTCAATCTGGAAAAGCAACGCAAGACTCGGATAGCGAATGGAATATGTAATTCAAAGTTGTACCAGCTCATACCAAACGTTCGCCGTCCTTGGCCTCGCGACTGCTGTAGAAGAAGTTCAGGCGACGCAGCAGGAAATTCAGACTCTCATCCTCTGTCAGGCGATGGCGATGAGCCTGTAGGTATACGTCAAAGGCCTCCCGCTCCGCCCGTTTGCGACGCTGGCGCTGAATGAAGGAACGGGCATAGGACTGCAGCACCATGGCGCCGTTGGCCTTCTGGCGCAGCTCATTGCGTTTCTGTCGCTCCTCGGCTGCTTTCCGTATCACAGTCTCCCGGTCGTGGGTATGGGAAGCACCACCAAGACTTTGCACCGGACGACGACGGTACTCGCCATCGAAGCCAAACATGACGCTGCACTTGTCTTGGTTTAATATTGAAGTTGTTCCGTCTTGTTTTTTATTACGTTTCTTTTGTTGTTGTTGTTGTGCAAGCAGCTGATCTCGTTCTCTTAGGTACCTCGTCCTACCTTCCTACGGCCATTATTCACACCTGCGAAAGAAGACGCCAAACGAAGCAGTTTCAAAAAAGGCACTGTGGCACTGGGCCTTTGCTCAACGATCTTCACTTGTATATACGCTTTCCCTTGACGTGAATTTAAATTCATAAAATTCTAATTTGCACACGAAATTTGTGTATTTTTCTTGTATACAGTGACTTATCGAATATACCGTCTGACCCTCAGAAATAGACGGTAATATACCAAAAACCAATATTAAATATACTATATCATATACCGATATACCAAAATCATGAGTTATGTAGGAAATTAACCCACTTAGCCCACTCTATTTAAACATGAGTTAAACCGCAGAAAAATTATCCTTGTAGATCCTTTTTACTTACAAACAAAAAATTACCACGATGTCTTTCTCCTGAACTGCGCTAAAGTTCTTCAAGTTTCACAATTTTCGTGATAAATTTATTTTGATTTTTTGACAAATAAATAATGTTCCAAGCACAACGTTGTCATTTAATATGGTATGAATACATGTCAGTTAACATGAATGAATCGTTAAATCTAAACCACTTAATTAGTAGTTTCTGCTGTGTGTGTGTTTGTGTTTGCTAATAAAATTTAACACTTATTCCTGCTAATGAGAAAGCAGGAACGACTTTTGAGTACCATACAGAGGGAGTACGTATTGTTGTCAGGGGTATCAGAGGGAGCTTTGCGCTGTGGCCTGCTGTTTCAGCTGGTGCTGCTTTTCGATGAGAGCGAGCAGTGCCCGGGGCACATCCATCGTCTGATCATCCACCAGGACGATGTCGAATGTCTTCATATACTTATCCATATTGGCCTCCACGTGATCGAAGAGGAAGCCAATTTTCAGGATGTGCGAAGATGCGGGAACGCCGGATGCCATGTCAGCGTCTCCAAGGGAATCTCCCATCACGATGATGTGATCGCGCGTGTGGACCAGATTGTAATACTCACTGCCGTCCAGGACAGTTTCGTTCTTGTTGAAGGTGTGGATCATGGGCTGCTGGAAACCGTTCAGAAGTCCATTGTGAAATTGCAGGAAATTGGAAACCACCTTAACATTGGGATGCATCACGTTTGCCTGGCGCAGCACGGAGACCACAGAGTTGCCCAGTCCGGCGGAGAAAACCAAGGTGGGAATGCCCAAGCGCTGCAGATCGGCAAAGAATTCATGAGTACGGTCACGTAGCGCGTTCTTATACTTGCTGGCTATCTGATCTATTTCCGACAGATCGAAGGGGAAACCGGTGGCCAGCGCACCCGACTTGGTCCACCACTCGACCATGTATTGAACCTTCTCGGGGATCGGCATGTGCGGATCGATCTCAATTGGCCTGTATTTGTGGTACAGTTTGTCCGACTCTGTTTTGAAACTATCCGGCAGCGACTGGCAGGCGTTGAAGATGCCAAAACTGGAGGCCACCACACTGCCGTCCTCCGTGCGCTGTTTGGTGATTGTATAGTCAAAGTCCGACACGAGTTGCATGCGCTCCGGTCCGCCCTGAATGAACTCGTTGATGATACGCTCCACCTTGGCGAGATCTAGCATGCGGCAGTGGTCCTGCATCAGGACCGCAATGTCCTGGATGCGCAGGATCGACTTTGCGGTTTCTTGTTTCTCCTCACAGCCCATTTTCGTCAGTTTTCCCGGCCACCAAAAGAGACGTCTGCGCTTGAACAGTGCGAATGACGATATGGAAAAATTGTCGCTGACACAGCACCGATGGAAACTCGCTCGGGGGGAGGGAGCTTGTGATTCAGCGGTATCTGCAAATGTTATAGTGGTTAAGCGAATTAGTCTCGCCTCTATCCCGATGTTTGGCGTTTCCCGAGCACTTATGTATGTCAGTGCATACGAGAATGGGGTTGTGGTCGCGCACTGGTCGTTCTATATCTGTGGCTGACCTTGATAGGGTGTTTTTTTTTAAATTTGACAATTTTTTTGGTTTGTTTTGCCGCCTCCCCGTATGAATGCGTGGGCGCTTATCAGCTGACTATCGAAGCTTTGATATGGCAAGCTTTTTATTTGTATATTATATGAGCAAAAACAATGCGGAACAACGCTGTGTAAACAAAAATCAGTTTAGTTAATTTTACTTCTCGCGCCGCGCGGTTTTGGCAATAAATAAAACAACGAACAGCTGTTGATTGCCGCGATTTCTGGAACGCTGTGGAAGTGAAACCCAACTTATCGAAATCCAAGAAATAGCTGGTGCGGGCAGACAACAAAACAAACAACTATTTGGTTAGATTTGTAAAAACAAAGAACCGTGTGAAGTAGTTTAGCTCGATGGAAATCTGTTCATAGAAAGAATGCACAAAATATACATACACACAGCCGAGCCCAAGTGGAACTGAAACAAAAAAACAGCTGTTCGAGCGGTCGAACGAAATTAATTTAAATCCACATTTTTATAAACTTATGTAAATAATAAATTTGCTTAATGATAAAAAACATTAGATCATGATCAACTTAATTTACGAACTAGATAGTTTACATATTTCATATGTATGTATCAGACAGACATACGATACGATGATGAGCGTGTGGTAAAGTATGTGCAGTACAGGTATTCTTAAAACTAAACAAAAAATATTTCGTTTTGTTCATGTAATGAGACAACATAGGTTTTTTTTGCCTTTTTCTATTTTTGGGCTTAATCTTCGATTTCAATGGCCGCCGGTGGCTGTTGTTCCTTGGATGACACTTTGGCGGCTAGTGTCTGCCTCACAATGGACTGTGGGTCGGGTCGGAACTTCCAATCGGCTGGCAGCAAGGACTTGTGCTCCGACCTCCGCATGAGTTCGCTTCAAGGGGGAATCAAATATTGAATTTTTGTGCTTTACACGGACTTTGCTGTTCTACTCACCGATTGAGGTAGGCGCTGGCAGTCGCGCAGTTCGTGAAGCGCAGAATTCCCACATTGGGCATCTTGAGAAAGAAATCGTCGCCCGACAGCTTGGTGCGGTATCTTGGCAGTCCCTCGGATTCCACATAGCCATAGGTGCACTGTGCCGCCGCCCCTTCCGTTTGAGTCGCATTCTGCGCCGTCGGCACTTTCGCCGGCAGGGATTGCCGCGAGCGGGCCTGTTCCGTGGAAGCAGACTGTTTGCCAGGCAAAGAGATGCGGCCGGGCATCCGACCGGTAGTGGCAGGGACGTGTAGTGGGGCTGACTTCTTTGCGCCGGTTTATCAACTCTTTCCCCCTCCACAGCAGCCGCAGAAATCGGAGCCTTCTCTGGCACTGTCGCTCGTACAACTCCTTTGTTGGCGGTGGACGGTCCTCCCCTGGAGAACATCTTCACACAGGTGCCCGCCCTTGCGGTGGCTGGTCCTACTGGTGGTGCAGGTCGTGGTCGTATCGGCTGAAGATTACTGATGGAGAAGGTAGTGGCCGACTGCTGGGCAATGGTGGGTCCAGCCATTGGTGTTACCGATGCCGGTGTGGCTGTGGCTGTTCCTGTGCCAGGCTTCTCTTTTGACGCGGGAGTCGGTTTAGGCAATAGTCTTGGTAAATGCTTAGGCACCCCAGAGACGCTTCGCTTGGCGCCAATCTTAATGGCTTCCTGGCTAGCCTTGCCTGGTGATTTGGATGTTCCTTTGGATTCATTGCCATCCATCTTGGTGACGGTTATGCTGGCAGGGAGGGACGCTGTCGGGGTGCCGCTGCTCAGTAGCTCCTGCAGCGATTCGTTGATCCTGGCGCCAAAGGAGAAGCGGCCGACCTTAGGAGCCGGCGGGTCCAAGGAGGAAACAATGGACGGCTCAGAAGAAGAGGGCGCGCCGGCTGCTGTTTGGGTGAGCTGCACTTGGGGTGTAAGGAACTGGGTGGTCGGCGCCAGATCCCCAATCGCCGGCACATTGGCAATGAAGGGTAAAAAGGGGCCAGTCGGCTGCCAGTTGCTATCGTTAATGCCTGGACGTGAGGATTCTGGGCCAGCATCTGGGGCCTCTTTAGGGCAGGACTCTGGGGTGATTTGCAGGGCCCCGCTGATGGGCATCGTTTGGATGGTAAAGTTCATGCGTGGTAGCTCCTCGATTTTCTCCGTATCTGGCACTGGGAGGGATTCCCCCACCGGCTGAGGCGCTGTCTCAGTCTCCATTGGCTTCTCGCTCTCGCTCTGTCCCTTTCCTTTGTCATCTTTGGCCAGCACTTCCTCGTCTTCGTCGTCGCTGTCGATGATGACAACCGCCAAGTCGTTGGCGGGCACCGAATGTTTGCTGGCGTTGCCAGGAGCCGGAACCAGGTTGTCAACGGGTGGCAGAGTGATCTGCGTCGCATTGGAATCGGTAAGGGTCTTCTGATCCTCCAGATCGATCTCAAAGTGCAGCTGTCCCTGTATTTTGAGCACCCAAAAGGCCATGCTCCTGTGGTGGGGCTGGACGGGAATGGAATGCTCCCTCTGGTAGACCTCTCGCAGCATCATCTTGCCATCGACGCTCTGCAGCAGCACCAGCACGGGTGGCGACATATCGAGGCGCAGCGGCCCAAAGTAGATCTTCTTCAGGGAGGAGGCCGTTACGAATGCGTCGTATGGGGCCATATGGAAGAACTGAAGCTTCACCAGCTTCTTCTTGTCACGGGCCACCCGCATCATCTTGTGAATCCTGTCCAGCGATATCATCTCCCCGAAGGCGGGCACAAAGATGTGCGAGAAGTCATCGACAAGGTCCAGCACCACCCAACGATGGTCACCCTGGTAGCTTTCGGGTATGTCCAGTTCATCCACGTCGTTGCGCGTCACTTTGCGGAACTCGATGTTGGTGCGGATGTTGGCAGCGTTCGCCTTTGACAGGGCCTGGTTGGAGAAAGCCGGTCTTGGCTCGGGCACACAATCGGCTTCTGGAGCAGCCACAGACACAGCCATAACTACAGCTACGGATTCGCTCTGCTCCTCCGGCACGATCGTATTCGCTGGGGATGGGGATTTAGCCGGTTGGCCAGCATCGGGGCTGGCCAACTTCTTCTGGTGTTCGCGAATGCGCTGCTTCACCAGCAGCGAGCAGAGGACGTTTATCTTCTTGGTGAGCAGTGGATGCGTCTGTGGCGTCGGCTTGGTGCAGGCGCTGCCCTGCATGTGACGCAGAAAGCCCTTGACCAGCCAATAGCTCTGCCTGCCCTGCATCACCACGGCCAGTCGGCTGGTGTACTCGTTCCGCTTGCTCTCCATCAGCATGCGCGCCATCATGGGGGTATCGGGCGTGGCGGGAGCGAATCTGGTGTCGCCTATGGCGATGGCCCCGCACACGGTGGGCATCAGGTTGGTGGTGGTTGCCGCCAGGAAGGTGTACGTCTTCATTTGCACAATCCAAATGTACACGTAGTTGGACTCGAAGGCGGCCAGGAAGTTGGTCCACTTGATGATGCACAGAATCTCCTCGTTGGGTGCCGGAATGATTTTGCTCTCGCGCTGCAGGGCCAAATCAATGTCCTGCATCTTCTTGCTGACCAGCGTGTTCATGTTCTTCACCACCTCGTTGTAGAAGGAGCGGAAGTTGGGCGAGTCCGCCTCGGCGGTGCTGGGCCCCACGCCACTAGCGGCCGCGGCAGCAGCCGCCGCGGTGTTCATGCCCGACCCCAGCACATCCACAGAGGCCGAATTCAGCGAGTAGCAGGCGGCAATGCGTGGCACCTGTATGTCCAGGGGACGCTTGCCATCGCCAGGGGCCCTGTCTGCTTGTAGTTTGGTGCGCTTGCTGGGGGGCACGGGACTGCACATCCTGACGGCCCGACGGCACATTCCGCTTCCGGCTGCCGGTCTGTTCGCTCTCGTCCGAGTCATCCCGCACGACTATGACCGGGGCGGCAGCCACGTCCTGAGCCTGGCCCTGCAGCATCAGCTGGCGACGTCTCTGCTTTTCCAACTCCTTGCGATAGAAGAAGACGGCGCCATCGATGCGCCTCTTGAGCAGCTCCTGCGTCTGAGGCGTCTCCGTCGAATTTATGTACTCGCGCGTGCTATTGACGCGACAGCGATTCCGTCGCGTATAGGAGCGCCTGGGCACGGACACGGCCCGACGGCAGAGATAGGGACGCGAAATGTAGTAGGCGTAAATGTTGTCCAGCTCAACGCTGCGCTCATGCGGCGACGATAAGCGCGCAGGATGTACGGATGCGGCAGCAGGTGTTGAAGTTGCGGCCACCTTCGGCGCACACTCCTCTTTGCGCACATTCTTCGGTGACTTGGTGGTCACAACAACTTTGGGCCGCGTAACCAGCATTCCTTCGAGTTTCTGTTGGGGCGGCAACGGCGGCGGCTCCGCCTCCGCCATCTCCTTTTCAGCCACCTCGAGCTCAGTTTGGTTTTGCTTCTTCCTGCCCCTCTTCTTCGGCTGCTCCTCCGGTGGCCGCTCAAAGCTATAGTGGGCCCGGGTGGCCAGCTCTGGGTTGTAATGCGATACGGTCGCGTTCCACTGCTCCTTCTCGATGACCACGGGCTTGCCCTCGATGGACTCGCCGCCACAGAAGCACTTGTACAGCTGATGGATCATGCAGAAGGTGGCCAGGTTGCCCATGTCGGGCAGGCGACGGATTGAAACAGAGCAGTGCTTCAGCTTGGCCAGATCCGTGTCCCTCACCTTGCAGCTCTTGGTGAGAGCGGCAGCGGCACTCTTAGCGTTGGCCGCAGCTGCCGCCGAAGCCGCTGCAGCAGCAGCTGCTGCCGTGGCAGCCGCAATTGCAGCATTTCTCTTCAATGTGGACCTGGATGGGGAGACCAGTTCGTCGTCGTCGTCAAACATGTTCGAGTCGTCAAAGTCTTCGTAGCGCTTTGGGGCCTTGGTGCAGCGTCGCTTCTTATCGCCCTGCGACTCGTTTATCAGCAGCGTCTCGTTGTCCGTGAGCACCAGTGTGGAGGTGAAGTCCTTCTCCATTTTGGCCAGCCGCGCAGTGGCCTTGCGGCGCAAATTGAACGCATCCTCGTTGGAGATGCTTCGCCCCTGAAAACAACAACAACAACACACACACACACACAAAACTATTAGTTCTGAGTCAAAAGCTGCGTCCCTCCCTCCCAATGAGAGCTTACATCGGCCGTTTGGACGCGCATCACACGCGCCTGTTCGCCGCCCAGGCAATGGCACTCAAGAACGCAGTCGGCGCGTCCGCAATGGTCCCGCATCGGCAGCTCGGCTCCGCTCAGACTGGCACAAAGGCAGCCCAGCTGGCAGTGGTCCTTGCGGCACGGCGTTTTGGCTGCAAAAAAAAAACCGATTTACGTATTACAAATGAACTGGAATGGGAATGGGATTTGTATGGCACACATACCATCTGCATTCCTGGCGGCCGCATCTATGATGGTGGCATTGAGGCGACGCAGCTCGTTGGCCAAACGCTTCTGCTTGGTGGGACGACACTTCCACTTGCCGGAGGACTTGTCATCCTCCTCTTTGACGAGATTCAGGTCGACAGCAGGCTTCGGTGGGCTGCTGACCGATGCACGATCATCCATTGTCAGCTTATCCTCGCTGATGAAACTGTTCTCGCTGCAGCTGATGGCCACCGTGTTGATCATGTCATTGATCATGTCCGCACAGTCCAGCAAATCGGCGTCGGGGTTGCTGGGGCAAAGCTTTACGGAAAGCGAACTCCTGCAGCTTGTGTGGCTCCTGGTAGAAGCTGGAATCCATCTGTTCAGACCGATCCACCACACGACGCACCAGGATGTGATTGCGATCGTTTATATATGGAATGACAAAGGTGAAGCTCTTCCGTCGGCCAGCTGCCGTCTGGGAAGCCTGCTGCTCGGCCTCCTTCATGCAGACAGGCGGCTGCTGCTGCAGCGTCGACAAACTAAACTCGGCCCACTCTCTGGTTATGTCATGATGGGGCAGAATATGCTGCAGATACCGCTTCGCAATCTCGTCCAGTGGCCTACCCAGCAGTGGCATCACTTCGAGCTGTACTGTGGGCATGCTGACCACCGCCATGCTGCCGCCGGCCAGCAGTAGAGCGGCCGTGTCGTCATCCAATGGCTTCTGCAGCGGCTTCATCGACAGCGGGCAGGGTGGGAAGATGGCGGATAATGGGAACTGATTAAGCCGCTTGTGGTTCATGGCATTCGTCGCTGTGGTGCGCACGATATTCAGCTTGGGATGAATCGATGCGTCGAGGCACAGGTCTGTGCACCCAACTGTGGCCGCCTCCTGGACCGTGAGTTTGCTCAGGTATGGAAGCTTCTCCCGCTGCAGATTGTTGCCTTGGGCACCCGGCAGGCGGACCCTCTCACCGTCCACCTGTATCACCTGGCATTGCAATAAGAGATTCCTCAGTCAGTGGGATGACGACAGCTTGGTTTTAGCCATTAAACACTCACCTGATAGTAATACTTGGACATTTCGGTGGCCACATAGCTGGCCGCCTGCCAGCCCTGGCGGGTGAAGGGCATCTGTGTGGAGGAGGACTGCAGGAGCTGCATGGCACCAATCTTGACCTTACGCTGGCGCTGCTTGCGCTGCAGCTCCCTGTAGATGTTGGCCTCGTTGTTAATGATGGCCATCTTCTGGTTCTTGGAGCGTAGCAGATACGAACGACGCTCGGCCACCGTGCGGAGCCGCTGCAAGGCCTCGGGAACAGCTGGCATATCCATGGGCGGCGGCAGACTGTGTGAGGTGACCTGCCCGTCGTGACCCATGGGCTCAAGGAGCTTCTCCTTGTCATCGTTGATGTGATGCTCGCGCATGTACGCATCGAGGGATTCGCTGACGAAGGCCGAATTCCCCTCCAGCGTCTTGCAGCTCTGTGGTACTATGGGTGTGAGCAGCATTCCCGGCTGATGGACGCTCTCATCGAAGCCGACAAAATCGCCGCTGCCGTCCTCTTCGGCAGTAAACGCAGGTGTTGGACACGTTTCAATGGGTAAATTCGATTCCCGGGCGAAGGTCTTCACCCGCACTTTATTGATCAGCATGTCCAGAAACTTGCTGCCACCGGATTTCTCGGATTTCTCAGCTTTTTCGGCACTGGAGCAGGCACTGGCCTGGCTGGTATTCTCTTTGCTGGGAGTGGCTGGCGTGGGTGCATCTTCCTGGCCAGCAAACATTGATTCGGGGGACTTTGTGGGAGTCCTCTCGTCTGTCGCCTTCGCGGGTGGGATGTCCATTGGTTCACTGCATTCGCTCTGACCATTGTCTTCACCGATTCGTTCGGCGATTGCCCCATATGCTTTGGCATCGAGCATATCGAAATTTTTGTTGGTATCTTCTATCAGGCAGAGAGTCCGTTTGCCTGTCTTGAGCAGCTCCAGTTGTTGCTTCATCTGCTTGGACAACTCCGCGGCTGGCAGCGGCTCTGCCACGTTGTATAGCTCCGTCTCCTCGTACTCCTCGATATGGCCCATTTTCTTGTGATGATTTACGATGCTAACCGACCATTTTCTGATGTTCTTCTTACGCCTTTTGATCATCCGCTTAAGGCGCGGATCGAAGAGACAAATGCGAACGCGCTTCCGGATGACGACGCGGTTGTTGCGTCGCCTGCGCCAGGCGTAGTTCCGCAGGACACAGCGTGGCGTCAGGGCATAGATGATGAAGCGCTTTACGTTCCACCAATTGCGATGAAGGAAATCCCTGGATACCGGATATTTCCGCTTGAGGTGACGATATTTAATCAACTGTTTTCCTTGTAATATGATTGGAGGCAGTTCGCTGCTGCTAGTCATGCTGTTAAATATTTGCAAGTAAAAATGTCATTAGGCCCATGAAAATAATTCACTTTCACTAAATCTAGGTTGTCGCGCCCCGGGCCCATGAAATGATCCAACAATATAGATGGGCAGCACTTTTAAGATTCACCGATCACATCGTGTTTCGAAGGACCTGTCATTTAAAAAAGAGTTGGCAGCGCCATTCCGCATCTTGATTTACACGGTGGCATGGACGGTTTCTTGCAATGTTTTGAATTGCATTTAGGCCCGAACTGGCTGGGGTATCACACATCTTCCGACCCGTACGAATTAATTTACGTCTAGCCAATGAAAGTCACGTAGCCACGTGGTAAATAATAAGCAGCGTGCGGCTGAGTTTTCCGCATGAATCTTGCAAATTAGGTTGGCAGCACCGTCAGTCGGGCACACACACACATACACACCCGAAAGAAACCGTACTACCCGGCAAATATTTTACGCGAAATAATCCCACATATGTACATTCTCGAGCATTTGCATCACCTCTTACTAATTCTATTTAATAAAATAAATTACTACGCACTTTTATAAACACTTTAAATATCACAGAAGTAGTAAACGACAGCCAACGATGATATTGTTGCGTGTTGGTTTTGCGCCTTTTTCCCAGTCGTAGCAGCGCACACAAACACTCGCACACACACAAGCAGGCAGGCGACCAGAGCCAGAACCAAATGCAGCCATCAGCAAAACATTTTACACTTTGATTTCTATTCAGCACTGACGCAACATTTAACAATTGCCCAAAGACATTGCGCATGTGCACACAAAATTGCTTTTATCAGTACATGCTAATAATGTTTTCCAACGATTTATAATGCAGACAACGCGTGCGAATTCGCGATCACAAACAAACATTGATTTCAGCCGAGTGACGCTGCCACTATCTGATGAGTGTGTGTGATGTGTGCGTGAATATTGGGCACTTTCGGTTCCAGGCGTACCTCTGGAATGCATGGCAATGGCACACTGGCTGAAGTGAGTGCGGGCGGGTGGGGGAGGGACCTACATGTATCTATCAACATATATTATATGTGTACGTTCGTTTGTAAACGTGTGCACTGTGACCGATGAATTATGTAAACCAACAATAAATGCAAAAGGAGCGGGATTCGAGAAAAGTCCTTACTTTTCCAACACTACAAATCGGCGCTTTAGCGTGGAAAATTCCGTAGCTAGGTAGCTGCTGCCCTGCCGATCGAAGCTATAATTGCTAGTAATTTAATCCAATTTTATATCACCACAACAAAGTGCAACCAATGTTCAACTGCAAATAATTCATGTTTGTATTTCAATTTGCAAAGATTGAATGTCACTGCGTTTTCTGTCAAGTCTATCAATTACTGAATGTAACCTCAAAAAAATCCAATATGGCGCCTCTGGTCGTCAGCAGATACATACACAACCGATCACATGCGTCACGTCACGCAAAGCACCCCCCCTTCGGGGCGGGCACGTAGAAAAATTCTCGAAAGGCAAAAAGGTCCTTTCGCACAACTAATTGCTTTCACATTACCCACCTGCACATAAAGTGGCTATCCGCACCGTGCAAGTTTCCAAACAATCACAAATCCGTGCAGTTTTTACTAGTTTACAAGCTATTTTCACAATTAACCAACAGCCAGCTCTCGTTGCTCACGCTGAAAAAAAAGCCAACGAATACATACACGATGCGCGACACACAGACGCACCACACACCACGTACACAACAATGGCTCGATAATTTCAACATGGAGACCGATAACTGCCCGCCAAGGGGACCAAAGTGTGCAACATGTGGAATGAAACGCATGGTTGCATACATAAACATTTTGCATATTTCTGATATTTTCATTCTTCAGGAAATGTGAAAACACAAATTTTAAATGTACCTCAACACCAGGTAGAAATAAAGGAGTAGAGCAAGATTTTTGGTCGTTCGTGGCAGTCATTAAATTAAAGCGATGACGTCACTCTCTTCTTGTCAACAATGCCCAAAAAGTTTTGTGCACGCTGTACTTGCTTCTTCTTCCGCTTTTTCTTAGCAACCCTGTCACCTAATTCCATCTCAAAAGGCTGGTCTGGTCAGAGAAATCTTCTGCGTGGTTGAGGTTAAGTGCGCAAGTGGAATAAAACGAGGGTTTGTGGGTTGCTTTATTTTAGATTTGTATTAATTTCATTTCATATTTATATAAAGGCGTCAACAAAAGATGAATCATTAAAGAAGTATCAGCTATAAAATTGCATTACAAACGAATCAAACCTTTTGAAAAATTTGAGACCACGTTTCAACGGGGGGGAGGACAGTCTGTCGGCCACTGTAAATAAAAAGAAAACGTTGATAGTTAGTTCTTTATCAGGATAATTTTAATAATCTCTAAGCGTTAAGGTTTTATTTTCAGTAGGACCTATTGGATTTTGTGTTGCGGTTATGTGAAAATCATGCCACATTAATCAGTTTTTTTTTAACATCATTTTAAAAAGAAATAGTAATGTTTAACGAGTGTGAATACGTAAGATGAGTCATAAAAGTATCTGCTATAAAAATACAAACAAAACAAACCTTTTGCAAACATTTGTGACCACGTTTCTACGGAGGGAGGACATTCGGGCACTGTAAATTAAGACAAAACGTTGAAAGTTAGTGTTTTCTTACGATAATCTCCATAATCTCTAAGCGTTAAGGTTTTATATTCAGTAGGACCTATTGGATTTTGTGTTGCGGTTATGTGAAAATCATGCCACATTAATCATATATTTTTTAACATCATTTTAAAACAAAATAGTAATTTTAAACGAGTGTGAATATTTACCTTGAACAAACTAGACAATCCGTAAATGAGCTGCAAGAAATAACGATGGAAAACTTTAGTCGATTGCAAAAACTATTATTGATCAACTATTTATAAAAAATAGAATTCAGTAAGACCAATCTCGCATTCAACAGGAGAAGTTTCATTTTTCAGATAGGGGCGAAAGTTTAATGCTCATCAGAAAGGGAAAGTAGTGGCTTGAAAAATTCTGTATATTCACCTTTGAGTTGGGCTGACTGATGTGGTTACTCATTCAGTGTGAGTAGCAAAGATGGGAAGAAATCTGGAAGAACAAAACAAAACGATATGTTTAATAAAGAATTCTGAAATATTTTGTCTATTCTATTGATAGTGTTAATTTCAGTAAGACCAATCTCGCATTCAACAGGAGAAGTTTCATTTTTCAGATAGGGGCGAAAGTTTAATGCTCATCATAGAAAATGCATTGCGTAGAATAAGACAGAATATTTCTCTCACCTTATCTTTTGGGTAGAAAGTATCCAGCCCAGCTCCATCCAGCACCTCTTTCCGACGTCTTCACTGCAAGGGATATAAAGAATCGTTTGTTAGTTTTGCTTATTTGCGAATAGAAGCACAATTTGATGAACAAATATGTATATTTTCAGTAAGACCAATCTCGCATTCAACAGGAGAAGTTTCGTTTTTCAGATAGGGGCGAAAGTTTAATGCTCATCACAAAAATAATTATCAAAGAATGTTGAAATCATTCGCGACACTCACCTTATGATTTAGCTGATATTCAGGCTCCGGTTAGGTCACTAATTTCCCGAAGCTGAAAATATTTGCATATTAATATACATACATCATAAATATATTGGTAAAGGAAAGCTCAAAGTTGCTTGCTTGCTTATTCATTCAGTAAGACCAATCTCGCATTCAACAGGAGAAGTTTCGTTTTTCAGATAGGGGCGAAAGCTTAATGCTCATCATTTGGCAGCAGCAAAAGCAGAGTTTGACGGAACCTTTAATCAATTGGAAATTGAACTTACCTTTACTTGGATTTCATGTGTGGCTGCTCACTGAAAAGCTAAACAGAACTGAACTACTGGGGAATATGATACACGTGGGGCTGATACAATAAAATGTATAAAATTTATTGCATTGCGAATGTCACCTAAATGCATTTGTAACTTGTTTGCATTTCTAAACATAAAAACACTTGTTTATATAGACAGACTCCTCTTTAAGCTTAGCCACTAAGAAAATTGGTTCAAAATAATAGCTAGAGCTCTACAAAAAATCGTAGAGCTCTCTAGAAAACCTAATCCTATAGGAACATAACATCCTATTCCTATTCCTCTTCTCTGTCCCTATCCTTATCCTTCTTCTTCTTCTTTTTCTTCTCCTTCTCTACTGGCTCCACATCAGCCGATGCCTCCTGCTCTGCTGCGGGGGCCTCTTCCTCGCCCTTGTGCTTCTTCTTCTTCTTCTTTTTGTCAGATTTGGCAGAAGAATCTTCAGCTCCTGCTGCCGTTGCCGTCTCCTCGACACTGGAGGTGCTCAGTTTACGCTGGAAAAAGTACTTCAAAAGTAAACAACATGAACACCATGCCAAGTAATATATAATCCTCACCTTGGACGGTTCGTCCGAGCCATTTGAGGCGGTGTCTTTGACTGGTGTCTGTGGGGCCACTGCCGCCGCTGGCTTCTTGGCATTGTAGTCGACAAAGCCGGTGAGCCATTCTTTAGGTGTGTTCTCATTGGGCCTGCCAAACTTATCCAACTTGCCGGCAGCGACGAGTGCCTTCTTGGCGGAAGCCTTGGGACCCAATCCCCACTTGCGTGGATATATGTCGCGCTCCATTATCACTCGCTTAATCTTGGCCACAACGCCATGATCACACGACGACATGGTGGCCGTGGTCATCAGAGCAATGGCCAGGCAAACAGCCTCACCCTTGGTCGTGCATATGACAATCTCCTGATCGATCTCAATGCCATCCTCATAGCGCAGGACACCAGGCAACATAATCTTAGCGCCATAGCACACAGCATTTACCTAAGAGAAGAGTCAGACGTCAGCACAACGATATGCAAGTTGGGTGGGTGCCAAAGATGATTTTGATTTTGTTCGGTTTTGGAAATGTAGTCTGAAATTTCTTTATCGAGTGCGCAGGCAAGGGCGCTGCCCAATATACACACATCAGCACATTTACTGTTCCCAATCAAAGTCACAGACACTTATGGGGTGTACGGGAGTCTGCCGGCTTAATATCATGGGGTAGGAATCATGTATAGAGAGCAGTCGGAACACTTACCGAACTGTCCTTCATTATGATACGCTTGTGGTTGACCAGCAGACCCTCCAACGGTTTGATCACACGACGCAGCATGGACTCGTCCTTGTGGTTCTCGTACAGCCACATGGCATCGAGGACGTCATGCATGGTAACCATGCCGTCGCCCTCCGATTGAATGCCCGAACGCACTCGACGCAGTTCCAACATTTGACCGCCGACGCCCAGCACTAGACCCAGATGGACGCACATGGTACGGATGTAGGAGCCGGCCTCGCAACTAACCCAAAAAACACCTAAACGTGAGTAGGGCAGAAATGGCAAGTGGTGTGGTGTTGGGACGGTGGGAGGGGAGAGAAGATACAGAGATGTTTTAACTAATAACTGTGCATTTGCGTTTAGGGGCAAATACTGAGATTTTACTGTACTATCCGAAGCGTCCAGTACGTCCCTGCCATACAGATTCATTCAAGCAGCGACGCACAGGCTTCGAATGAATTTAAATACAAATAAAACAAAAAACTTACCCATATTGCGACTCTCGTCGTAGTCCAACAGTTTGCTGTCGTACACTGTTCGCACTCGGAGCTGACGCTTGACGGCCGAGATTAGTGGGGGACGCTGGAAGAGAGCACCGCGCAGCTTCTCCAAGCCCTGACGCACTTTGGCCACCGATTCAACAGCACCATGAAGCTTAAAAATAGCCACATACTCCTTGCCTGCACTCTGTTGCGACTTGACTAGCCGCGTGGCGCGGTCGATGCATACAATCAGGCAACCTGCCGAGCAGAACACACACGTGCGTTGGTATTTTGAGGTTATGTTGAGGCCCATGCGCATCGCTTACCTGTAACCTTCGGATCCAAGGTTCCCGAATGTCCCGTCTTCTCTACCTTGAGAATCTTCTTAATCCAGGCCACCACCTCGTGGGAACTGGGATTCGAGGGTTTATCGAGATTGATGAAGCCCGTCTTCATGTACTCTTTGATATCGCGGTTCAGTGGCGAGGAGCCATGTGCCAGAGGCGTGTAGTGATTGGACCGAATATTTAGTTTGTCGAAGTTCTTCAGAAGCAGCGGCCATTGCGATGTGTCGAGCTCCGCTATCTTCGACGAGGGTTTTATTTGAAAATTACCCTGCTTTTGTAGCGTGCCAATGTCGTCGGCATCGACTGGCTCTTCCTTGATCTTCTTCTTTCTCTTCTCTTTGCGTACGTCTGCAATGATTCGCACCGTTGCGTCTTGTAATCCTAGCCCTTGGTTTAGTTATAACTTTGCTACTCACCAGCATCGGCCATTTCTATTTTATATATTTTAACTTAACTCGAAATCTTTGCACTGTGCACGCGGCGCCTGGTCGAAGAAAATGGACGGTTGCAAACACGTGTTGCCGATGGCGACAGTGTGACGGCCCTCCGAAATATACCAAAATATACCGCCTCATTTTCAAAATATACCAAAAAAAAATATCGAAGAAAAAATGGACTTAACCCACTTAACACCCCTCTATTTAAGCAGTGAAACCATTCAATTAAGACACGGTAAATTAAACTATTTGCATATTCTTCTTATAGCTGCATCCTATTCTTTACTTATAAAACAAAAATGACCACCGACATATTTCACCTGTAGTGCGGAAAATATGTTAAAGTTATATAAATTTCGTGGAAATATTCAATACCCCCTGGTCGACAATGGGTTAACGTTATATTTTATTGATTGAAATCGTATTTCATAATTTTGATATTCAGTTTAATATTACGAGCTAGTTGGCCCTCTCAGGCTTAAACAAATAATTTTATCCGATAGATACATAAATTTTCTACAAGATTGGCAAGTTTTCAGAACTATTTTTAATCGGATTGTTTAGATAATAGGGTTCAAACAAAAACGGCCAAAGCATAAAACGTAAATGTTGACTAACTGTGACGTCAGTGTTGTTGGTCAACCAAGTTTCTTCTATGCGTATAGGCTTTTGTATACCCTATTTCCTTTAATTGCTGTTAAATTTGTTGTTCCAAGCTGCGTTAAAACATTAATATTGTATTTTACCTATGTTTTTTACCTATAAATGCACATGTTTCTGTTTTATATATACATTTATCCTGGTTCTGATAGCTATTATTGGAACCCATGAGCTGCAAAATTTCGTTAATATCTTTCAAAACAGAGACTTAGTAGTTTCTGCATAATTTGGAGCCTGAAATTACAAACAATATCTGAAGTTCATAATATCCATTTTCCCAAGGTATGCAGATTGTTGCTCATTCCGTGCCAAAGTTGCACAACAGTGCTGCTAATTCATTTCCCCATGTTGCTGAAATTTTTCCCATACAAATCAAATGTATCATACGGGAACGCGTATGGAATGACGCATCAATGAATCTTTATTCCATACGCGTTCCCGTAAGATACATATGATTTTGTATGGGAAAAATGTCAGCAACATGCTGCCACACCACGAAAATGAGGGGAAAGTCTACACAAAAACACTCTATTCTCCACTGAAATTTTGCAAAGTCTCCTAATTTTGCAAAGTCCCCACGAATTGAGAGCAAATTTTGCAAACTCTCCACGAATTGAGAGCGAATAATATCGATATTTTTGTGCGCTAAATGAGATTGGCGGTCATTTTCAAATGTACATATTTGGAAAAATAAATATTTCACTTGATTTGTTTTGTCGAGTGGGACTGAACCTCAGAAACCGAGAAAAAAAATAACTTAGCCCCGCTCTATTTAATCAGGTAAGTAACCAGTAAATATCAACTACAAAAAAATTAATAATTAATAATCATTTGAGCCCGATACTATTACGATAGTATTGATTGTTTTTTTTTCAAAACATTCGACGTTGATATTCCTCGATATTGATATTCCGTTTAATATTACCAGCTAGCTGGGACTCTCAGCCCTAAAATATAATTTTATCCGATAGATACATCAATTTTTTAAGAGATTGGCAAGTTTTCAGAAGTCCTTTTTATTGGATTTACAATTACAAACAATATCTAAAGTCCATAATATCCATTTTCCCAAGGTATTCAGATTTGTTGCTCATTCCGTGCCAAAGTTGCAGAACAATGCTGCCTATTCATTTCCCCATGTTGCTGAAATTTTTCCCATACAATCAAATGTTCCTAACGGGAATAAAGTAACCAAGTCGAAAATACCATTATATACCAGGAAGTTGTTCAAAAATACCAGTATATACCCGAGGAAAAAGGGACTTAGCCCACTTAACGCCCCTCTATTTAATCAGTGAAAACCTTTCAATTAAGCCACGGAAAAACTGTTTTTATATTCTTCTGGTAGATCTTTACTTACAGACAAACATATTACCACGATAACTTTCAAATGAAATGCTTCATAAATGGTCACCTCATAAGAGATGGCAAATTTTAAAATCCGCCACGATTTGAGAAAGCTTGAATCTGTAGACTGCAATTTCGTTGAAATAACTTTAAAATAGAGCTCTGAATTTGCCTGGTGTCCATACCTTGCCAGCAATTTACGCCCTCACGACTCATTTTTGCGTTCAGAGTTCACCGGAACTAGTTCATTTCATTCGTACGTGTAAAGCCAGGCATTTTTGAGATAAACATAAAAAAACAAGAAAAAGAGAAAAGACCAGCTCAGCAGACTCCACCTCGTAGTGCACAGATTCCGGAAGCTTTTCATTCAAATAATATACAATAATGGTTGACCTAACAGACGCCGGCTCTCCGTTCCAGCAATCCATACCCAATCTCGCCTTCTATGTACCGGCTGTTGTTGTGTTTACTCTGGCAGGTGAGAGCTTATACTTCTACCCATCCCCATTAAATCCCTACGCCCAAGCACCACTCCACTCCACTGAAAAGCGGGTCAAAAGACTTTCACCAGGCAAGAAACTAGAATGCCCGCACGCCCCCCAGTCCCGCCCATCATAGTTTTTTCCCCCAGCTGTTTGTTGTTTGAAATTCATTCAGATTTGCCCCCTTAGCTATCGTTTGTTGTGTTCTTATCTGTTGTATTTATGGTTTAGTATGATTTCTCCTGCATTTGGCAAGTCTTACGTGTTCCCCACCTCATGCTATCTAGCCATTTATTCCGGTTTTCTTGCGTACGTAGTCAAAATTGTGTTCTTGTATTGGCTGTCGGTTCGAGTGCGATAAGAGGGTCGGGTCTCGTATCGAGTGATAAGATTCCAATCATTCCCATACTCGTGTATGTACAGTCCAAGGCAGGGAACTGCATGCTCGGCGGAACACGTGTAGGGACTTGATGTAATCCCTGTTTTATTTAGCACTGTTTATCCCAATGTTTAATCCTCTAGTTTTCAATGCATGCTTTTGTTGGCTTAGACGTGTGTACAGTTGTACCTGTACCTGTGTCCGGGGGGACTGATAAGCGTGGAGGACAGACTCAACTCTCTTATCGCCCACCCAACCTATTTTTACCGACTTTTTTGGACTACCTTTGGAAAAATATGCTGACGAAGGCGCGAAAACGAAACGAAAAGCGCAGCGAAAAAACACTACCATATCTCCAATAAGAATGAATTATAAGCGACTGATTACACACGAGTGTCAATTTCTTTATATTACTTTTAATATGATTTTTAGTGACCGCTCAGTACTCCTGAGCAGCAGAAGCAGCCGCCAGCACGTAAGCCAGTGGCGGTCAAGCGTCCAAATTATTACCAAAAAAGTTTCGTGTGTACTGGGAGGAATTGGAATTGCACATTAAATCGAATTGGATTATAAATTTGAATTAAATCTCCGTCTATACCGAAGAAGACCGACGAACTATCAGACGCGAGCACGAGGAATGCTTCCGTTGAATTCGCGGGTTTTGTTTGCCACGTTGAACCCCTCCATTTCTTGTTGCTGTTTGCTGTTGTGTGATTTTTTGTTTGCCCTAACACCTCACCCACAGCGTCGTAAACTTGCGTTATTCCCCCCAGTAATTACACTCGAGGCAACTCAATTATTTTAAGATATTGTAACCCTTCACCCCTTCAGACGCGAACCGTTAAGGCTAGGCCCAACCCCCACCCACAGCCACAGACACAGCCACATAAACCAAGTGGGCCCACACGTGTGAATTGAGCAGAGAATGGCAGAGGATCCACTGAATCAGCAGGCATTCGCCCAGGATGTGGAGGCTGCGGCGGCAGCCGGTGGTGGCAATGGGTTCGCCGGCGCAGAGCCAGGCCATCCCGACTTCAAAATGCCCAGCCCCGATGAAATCTGGAAGCTGGTCGAGAGCATGGATGGCATATCGGATGCAGAGCGCGACGAGCTGCGCGAGAGCATATTCAATCCAAAGCCGCCATCGCCGGAGGACTTTATGCGCCAGTACGGACAGCCGGGCCACAGCTCTAGGGAATATATGATATTCTTTGTGATGTTGGCCCTCATTCTGCTCGTCTTTGGTAAGCAAGCGGACGACACTAAACCGACGACTGAAACTGAAACTTAAACTGCAACAGAAACAGAACAACCTATCGGAACGACCTTTCGGTCTACTCCAGCACCATAGACGGGGGGATAGGTGATTCGGTGTGTAGGGTGCCCTGTCAGAAAACTCACACACAGATATGAGCCATTGGCTAGCATGTTTGCTTTGCTTTATAGGCAGGCGTTCGATTTTCGATAAGATAACTCGAATCCACCACGGAACAACAAAATTTACAGCAGGCGACGAACCATCGGTGTGGCCCACGCGTTGACAGAGACAGTGTTGGATCGGTACCCATGCCGGCCAGCGGGCAGAAGTAGACTCAAAATTCGGAATCCCTGTGTGGTTAGCCTGTAGTTCCCTCCCCCACCATGAGTTCGATTGTCGGCGAGGAGTCGGCGGGCATCGTCGAGCAGCTGAAACAATCTGTGGAGGCCATTGTGGCCAAGACAGGACCCAGCAGCAAATTCGCACAGGATCTGGTTAAGAAGATCGGCGATATGCAGAACAAATTGGAGTCCCTCACCGAGGACGATCGCCGTCTGTTTCTTGCGGAAATGAAGGGCAAATTCCAGGAGACCATTGAACGAATCGAGCAAAGACTGACGCAGCACGCAAACATCGCTCAGACATACTCTAGTTCCATTGTGGCGGCTGTGATATTTCTCCTCATCTCAATAATTGGTCTCGACTCATCCTCGATCCGCCCGCTTGAGAACGATCACTAACCGCTTGCCTTTCCTCCCTTCCCTTCCATTGCAGCTCTCTTTGGCTACAAGCTGTACAAGTCGCTGACGGAGAAGGAGCTCAAGAAGCAGGAGAAATTGAAGACCAAGCAGCAGAAGAAGGCAAAGAAGTCGAACTGAGTGTGGCTCTGGATCCCCCTCACCTGGCCACACACACGCACACACTCACACATAACATATACATGTGTAGATTCTTCCGGAAATATATCCTTTTCCATCTGTTAATCAATATATAAAGAGTCCCGGCCCCCCGCTCCCTGTAAATGCAAACAAATTATCGCGTACCAGTAAACGTAATAAATTAATTATTACCACATAGTTTTATAGAGCAGTTTTAAAATGTCATGGAAGGTTCCATTATGGGTAACGGGTATCTGCATTAATTACCATTATAAACGCCATTAAACCACCAAGGAAATCATGTCGTGACAGTGTTTACCTACCTACCTACCATCCTCCCATCCGCAAACTTGTTGCTGATATTACGGCCAGACTATTTCGGTCGGGCATGCTTTTCGAATTCCGTCTTCGGTTGCCATGGCAAGTAAACAAATCATTTTGTTGTATCCCTTTCCATCGAAACGAACAAAATAGTAATATTCAGTCGTCTCAGTACACTTCAGTCTCTCCGTTCGTTAGTCTGATTCAGACGTGTCGGCAAGCACTTAAAACAAAAATACACAATGTCATACTCTAGCCGTAAGTATCCATAGCTTATTGATGTGCAATATTGTCGTTTTATGGCTGCCTACATTATATTACTATTACTTAGGCTTTGGTTTTGATTTCCATCTGCCCGATGAGGGTTGGTGCTATCCCAAGGACGATATGTTCTTCCGCCGTAGTGCCGAGTGGGTGCCTTTGGAGAGCGCTGGTGTGGGCCGCTCATTTGCCAACACGAACAGCGTGATCTATCCACGAATCACTGGCATGGTGCCGCGCTATGGCGGACATGTTCCGGGCGAGATTTTCAAGGTTGGCACCACTTACGGACGCGCCACAATCGACGCCAAGCGTTGGCTGGCCCTGCACCGCGAATAAGCTTACTCAAATCTCTCTCGAATAGTCAAATTAGCTGTGTTATGCTTTGTAAAGCACCCCCCAATAAATATTGTTCTGCGTTCAAACTATAAATTTCGAATTGACCGCGCCTTGCCTCAGGGTTGCTCTGACATCGAAATTACCTTCCTGCACCGATTGCAACCGCCGATTGGCCGAATGTGCCCATTCACGATTACAAGGCGAAAACGTAAACAAACCAAAGAAAGAAAGCGACAAAAGTACTAGACGACGACGACATGACCTTTAATTTACTGAATATCTGTAGGCGTGGCTTTCACGCGAGTCCTGCAAGACAACAAATAATCCAGAGTGGGACGCCCACCAAACGGATATGCATTGTGGGCGCCGGACCCGCCGGTTTCTATGCGGCCCAGTATCTGCTGAAGCATCTGGGCGACTGTGTTGTGGATATTGTTGAGAAGCTGCCGGTTCCCTTCGGTCTGGTGCGGTAAGAGGACCCTTAGGCTATCCTATCTAGAGGTGGTGGTGGTGTTGAATACGCCGTTTCCGAATCCGAAAAGGGGCCCCAAGACGGAGCGCAAAATGCCATTCAAGTAGCCTGTGAATACGAGTACAAGGATTGTCGGGATAACAACGCAACGCTGAGAGGACTCACCGCCGACTTGCTCAAAGCTCCATGCGGGGCTGGCCGCTACAGTGGAAAGACAAAGCCCAAGCACAAAGAAGCAGGCGAGCAGCGGAGCGCAACGGATCGTCCACATCTTGGTGGTGGCACACCAACGAGACTGTGCCAGTCGGCCGGGCCTCAGATGTTTTTATCTAAGCGTGGTCGCGTGTGTCGGGCAAGCAGTTTGACACTTATCGACTAATGACATGTCCCATTATGCAAATCGACATTCCAGCTTTGGCGTTGCGCCCGATCATCCGGAGGTCAAGAACGTCATCAACACCTTCACAAAGACGGCCGAGCATCCGCGTCTTCGCTTCTTTGGCAATGTCGCACTGGGTGCAGATGTGAGCCTGCAGGAGCTGAGGAACCAATACCACGCCGTGCTGCTCACCTACGGCTCCGACCAGGATCGGGAGTTGCAGCTGGACAACGAGCAGCAGAGCCATGTGATATCTGCCCGCAAGTTTGTGGCCTGGTACAATGGACTGCCGGGCGCAGAGCAACTGCAGCCAGACTTGAGCGGCCGCGATGTGACGATTGTGGGCCAAGGCAATGTGGCTATCGATGTGGCACGCATGCTGCTCAGTCCCCTAGATGCACTCAGAGTAAGACAATTGAGTGGCCTATAGGTGTTCGTTATACTCACACACGCTCTGATTTGGGTAGTCCACAGACACGACGGAGTATGCCCTGGAGGCACTCTCACGCAGCCAGGTGGAGCGGGTGCATCTGGTTGGTCGGCGGGGTCCTCTGCAGGCCGCCTTCACCATTAAGGAGCTGCGCGAAATGCTTAAGTTGCCCAACGTTCAAACACGCTGGCGCTCGGACGACTTCTCGGGTAAGAAATCGGGCTATCACTTCACGCTATGCACCACTGACCTGACCACAACGTTTATTTGCTTCCAGGAATTGCCAACCAGGTGGAGCAGCTGCAGCGTCCGCGCAAGCGACTGACGGAACTGATGCTCAAGAGTCTAAACGATCAGGGAAAGGGTTCATCGTCGGACTCAAAGCAGTTTCTGCCAATTTTCCTGCGTGCCCCAAAAGCCATCGCTGAGGCCGAAATGGAATTCTCCGTCACAGAACTCCAGCAGGATGCCGCAGTGCCCACAGCTGCCATAGAACGCCTGCCATCGAATTTGATTTTGCGCAGCATTGGCTACAAGTCGAGTTGCGCTGACGCCGGCATTAGCTTTGACGACCGACGCGGCCATGTTCGCAATCGAGAGGGTCGCGTCCTGCAGTTGGATGCGACAGGCAGCGTGGATGCTGGCCTGTATGTGGCCGGATGGTTGGGCACTGGCCCAACTGGCGTTATATTAACCACAATGAGCGGCGCGTTTGCTGTGGCCAAGAACATCTGTGACGACATAGCAGCCAATGCCCTGGACACGAGCTCATCAAAGCCTGGCTTCGAGGCGGACGACAAGCGTGTGGTCACGTGGGACGGCTGGCGGCGCATTGATGATTTCGAGATTGAAACGGGCAAGGCAAAGGGAAAGCCACGCGAGAAGATTGTCAGCATAGCCGAAATGCTGCAAGTTGCCGGTGTATAACGAAATCTTTTCACTTTCCGAAACTACCTAACTTTCAGGGATGTGTCAGGTGCCTCGCCTGATTGTAAATTATTGTTAATTCCATGCCCATTATTAAACAATTGTAAATTGCTTTAAGTAAACAGAACATTTAGAAACCAAAATTTGTTGTGTAAGAATAATTTGGTCGCCAGCATGATGAATGATACCATAACGCCGGAGCCGCATTTGGTGCCAGGGTAAGCTAGCAGGTGCGCACACATCAGGACTGCTGTCTAACGACTGTCTACTGTCCATTGTTGGGGCGCGCAGGTACACCGGCCACTGCACCCAGAACCGAGACCGCGTGGGCAAGACATATGGCAAACAGACGCACAAGCTGCTCATCGACCCGTGCATCTACCATGCACCGGAGTTGATCGTTTTGCCCATCGATGCCAAGCATGGACTCAAGGATTATCCCACGGAGCATGAGCTGAAGGTGCTGCGTCGTCGTGAGGAGCTCGTGGATGCTGTTTACCGGCATCCCATACTTCCAGGATATGCCGGCTTCGTCCCAAATATGGCGAGTCAGACTGGTAAGCGCTATGTGGCTGCTGCCTCGGCGGGTGTCGCCCAGCATGAGACCCTGATGGAGCTATATCGCTGCGAAAATCGTACACTTCGTCATCGCGATCTCTTGGAAAGCGGCAAAGGTCTCTTCGAGCGCAAGCTGAATGAGCGTCTGGTGCGTACTGTAACCCCATAATATAATATCTCCCCCTGAGTGCGTTCTTCCCTCAGCTCCCGCAAGCCAGATACCGTTCCCCACTCATTCCCGTCACCGGTCGCTCAAAGGGCGTCAAGCCTGGCGAGTGTCCGCCCAAGGTGGAGAAGCTGTGCTACAGCAAGTTCACGTCGCCGCACTTCCTGGAGGATGACGACGACGACAAGTTTATAATTAATGGCTATGCCGCTCATATACCCATGGCCGTTACCCGATTTGGCGAGTCAAACCAGGTGCTAACACATCGTGCCCTGTGCAGCTTCTCGGACTACATGTACAAGAGGAAGCGCGACATTTGGTGCTGTGGCCAGGACTTGACCAGGCCGGCAGTCACTTGTCCGCCGGTGGGACACTTTGTGATTTATCACGACGACATCGGCATGGTGCCCAGCTACGCGGGTCATGTGCCGGGAGAGCTCTACAAGTTTGGACGTACCTATGGCAAGACCACAATCAACGCCAAACGCTGGCTAGAAATTCATAAGGATCTTACCGGCCTGCCAGAGGTGTCGAATCTTGATTACACCTATTAGTTAATATAATTAAATTAATATACGTATGCTACAAACTTGTAACGTTTATCTTGTGTATTTGTTTTAGGTCAATATTTGTTTTAGGAAATAATTAATTAAAGGAAATAGGGTATAAAAATATCCATACTACAGGTTGAAAAGCAACAAGTGCTCAAATGACGTAACAATTCATTCTCAATTACGTTTTGTGTTTTTATTTTGTAATGACCTGAGTCTTCAAAGTTAGACAATTTTGTAGAAAATTTATGATTTCAGATCAGTGGGTTTTTATATACAAACACCAATATAACGAAACTTGAAGAGTTTTAACGCAGTTCTGGTGAAACATATTTAAACACAGTATTATTTTCCGCGGCTTAACTCAAGTTGTTCGCCTGCTGGTTTAGTGGGTTAAATGACGTTTCTGAGGTTCCAGTCACACTCGACAAAACAAATCAAGTGAAATTTTTATTTTTCCATATATCAATATACTTTTGAAAATGACCGCCAAACTCATTTAGCGCACCAAAAATACTGACAATTTTCGCTCTCAATTCGTAGTGGTTTTTCAAAAATTTTCTCTCTTTTCCGAGGTGACTTTCCCCTCCATTTCGTGGTGTGAGCCACATGTTTTGCGTATGGAATGAAGATTCATTGTTGCGTCATTATCGTTATATTATCAATGGATATTTTTTGATACTCAGCGGACTTGTGAAGAAAAATATTCGGCACTATTTTCTTGTTTCATGGTCGCGCGAACATTTTTTTGGACTTTGCCCAGAAAACCACCCCAAATGTTTACAGAAAATTTCGAACGATTTGATTGGCTGAAAGTTGAAAACGCGTAAGGTAAACCGTTACTTTTGTAACGGATTTTATATCGAAAAGTATTTTTGGGGTACAAAAAGAAAATATTTATTATTAATGATAGGCCGTCTGCCTTAGTGGTGGCCAAGTCGGATCTGGCGTGGATATGGCCAAATGAAATTGGCGGACACCCAAGATAAATATAAATGTACAATTCTCAAATTTAACAAGATCCAACTTCAGTACCTAACTTTCTCTGATCACATAAATAAATATTTCTAAAAACAGGAATGGGCTTGGTTTGGCTCATTTGTTAACCAAACAATTTTATATAAAATCATGTATAACTAAAGCAAGTAGTAGCTTACAATAATAGTAAAAATTGTCCGTGGAGGTAGGAAATTTTCCGAAGCTCTCCAGCTTGTAGCTGTTGACATTCTCCAGGCTAAAAGGTATCCGGGCCAATTTTCCGACGTTGTCTCCTCATTAATTGGCTTGAAATGCAAATAATTCCCTTTTACCAATAAATACTAAAACTATACCTAAATTTCAACCAATTTTCATAGGTAGACTGTAACGCGATACTATCATGATAGTCTCAAAACCATCGATAGTAAATACTATCGATAGTGCCCTCTTTGGTTTGACACCTCTATTGCCACCAAATTCCACAATTTTGGCATTAATTGTGTTTAAGTGTGTGTTTAATAAGCCAATTGTTCTCCATGCCGTGAGCAATTGGTATCCAGTGCCTCAAGCGCTTGGCAACAATGTAAAAGCCGCAGTTTTGGCATCGCAAACGGGTAAAATTTCCACGAAACGCTACAGGAAAAAATCTTTAGAATCGAAATCGGACAATTCAAACACACACACATAGTGCCGTGCTGTTCACACACTACAGTTGCAGTACAGTACCGCAGTGCGTGCGAGCGAGTCGAATAGTCGGTCGGAAGATAACATTTGTGTACCTACGTCTCTTTCAAGTGGTGAGTTGAATGAATGCCGATTATGCACCCTGCACGCAAACGGGGCGCCCAGCATATGAGTGCAGCGATCAAGTGTAGTTTTCCACACTCACACACTGCAGTGAACCCCCAAGATAGGGATCAGAGATTCTGAAAAATCCCTTGGCATCTCTGAACGTCCATTGAGATAAGGTGTTTGTGTTTGATTTTTGGTGGCGGGAAGTAAGCTGGAGCGTGCGCACAGGTCACAAACAAGTCGTTGCGAGCCGACCCCAACTTGTTTATGGAAAGCGAACAACGAATAAAAATAAAAACAAAAAAATATATGTGTAATTTGTTGTAGCAGGTGAGATTTACGAGTGCATATTGTGTTCGGAGAGAGCTTTTTGAATGAGAACGATAATAAGAATGGGAGCGCATAGGAAACGGGGAAAAGCCGCCAAAATGGGTTCAGTTTATTGTGCATCGATTTTCCCGGTCGAAATATGAAAATTCGTATTTACTTTGAATATTTAATTGCAGAACATTTTAACGATGAGTGAAGAGGTGGCACCAAGCGTTGAGGGCACGAAAATGCCCGAGCAGGATGGCCTGAAGGAGAAAGCTGATGAGTGCTCGAGTGCGCCGTCCACCAAGGACTCGGAAGGATCCTGCAGGGACATGAAAGCGTCGGCTGGGGATGCGAAAAGTGTGCAGCTGCAGAAGGAGCAAAGTCCAACAGATAGGGAGAAATCAACTACGGTGGATATCAACACGCTGACTCCATCGACGCCTTCACACACGCCGCCACAGTTGCTGGCTACCGAAACGGCAGCTACAGCGCCTGTCATACCAGATAATATATTGTCTCCTCCAAAGTCAGAAACACAAACTGATGAGACCAACACGGCCACATCGACGTCGTGTTCACCAGCTTCCGATGGCCAGCATTCGCCTGTGGGGGAACAGCCAGCGCCGGCCCCGAAGCAGGAGCAGCAAGAGGAGGCATCGGCGGTCAATGGCTCTACACCAAAGTCGGGAAAGCCGCTGGCCACAGCGCTAAGCAACAAAAAGCTCAATAAGTCCGCATCCACGTCACCGCGCGCCTCCCGATCTCGCAAACCAAAGGCACTGCCTATGTACGAGAGCGAGATCAGCGACAACAAAGTCGGCATTAAGCTGTGCATTAAAAAATCGGATGGCGTGGCGGGTGCAGACACCACGCCGTCAGCAGCATCGCCTCCCGTCCCCGTCCCTGTTGGCTACCAAGCCGGCACGCAAGCGCGTTCGCAAGCCGAAGCAGCCGGACAGCGACGAGAGTGAATGTGAGCCGCGAAAGAAGAAGGTCTCGACGAGCAGTGCAGCTGAAGCAGTAGAGGGAGAAGCAGTCGAACAGAGTGCCTGGGCTGAGAGGCTTCCTGCGGAAGTCCTCTTCCGAGTAAGTCAAAAGCGCTGCAGACGATTGAAAAAATTAACTCAATGAGATTTTGTTTTTAATTTTAGATTTTCGAACACGTTATTGAGAAGGACGGCTGCCTGCCCACACTCTTCCGCCTGGGTCGAGTTTGCTCTCTGTGGCGGCGGGTGTCTCTCACCCCCTCACTGTGGCACACAATGGACCTAACTACATGGATCAAGGAGAAGTATCGCACAGAACTCAAACTCAAGTGGTTTGTGGATAACCGCTGCAGTGCCTGCACCGAGTTGAATGTTTGTAAGTGACCAAAAACCACAAACCTGAAGCTTGTTTTTTAAACGCGAGTTTTTCTTTCTTTTGTAGCCAACTGGAAAATATCGGACATATCCATCAATTGCTTTCTCACCAAGTTGGCTGCCGGTTGTCCGAACCTAACTGGTATCACGCTGTCCGGCTGGAAAGGATTCACCTCAGACAATTTAACCTATTTGGTGGACAACATGAAGAAACTGGAACGGTTAGACTTGAGCTCCATTAACGTAAGTTGAGAGGATCAGGCTTCGGTAGGAAACAAAGCTAAATCGATTTTTCTGACTTTCATACAGCTTGAGATGAATGCCAGCAAGACCGCTGTGGGCATGATCTCTCTGTGCAATGCGCTTCAGACAATTGGCAGTCGTCTAACTCATCTCCACTTGGCGCACAATCGTCTGGCGGGTATACCCCAGATAGTCGGCGTACTGTCGGTGCGTATATGCAGTCTCCCCCAATCAAAGACTCTGGTAATTCTAAATTGTACATTTCAGGCACACTGTCCGAATCTGACGCTATTGGATCTCTCGAATGTGACCACGCAGGCCACATCTCACGGCGTGCTGCACATTGAGAAACTGCAGCATGGCTGCCAAAAGTTGAAGGTTCTGCGGGTGACCAACTCGCACATCACACCAAGCACAGCCGGAATGCAGGAGATTGTAAGCTTGCACATTTAGGCTGGTCTCAAAGAAGATAATCTAGGCTTTAAATATTTGTAGATGGACTCCCCTGGCTTTCCCAATCTCGAAGAGCTCTCCGTGGCTGCAACTACGGATGAATCGCGCATCATTTGCGATGATCACCTGCAGCGCCTGCTGAAGAGCAGCTCCAAGCTGAAGCTGCTAGATGTGCGCAACTGTACTCGGCTGACGCACGAGAGCCTCATCCGGTTACCAGCCTGGGACATAAAGCATTTATACCTCTCAGGCTGCTCAGTTACGCGCGATGTGGGGTAGGTTCAATCCTCGTAGTTTCCACAGCTTGAGCTTTACTATTCTTTCTTCTTGTGGTTTGGTCCTGTAGGTCGGGTCTGGAACTCATTGCCTCCAAGTGGGCGCACAGTCTCATAGAACTGGATCTGGCCTGGGCAAACGTGCAGCAGCCAATAGACAATGCACTGCGCGCCCTTGCCGAGAAGGGGAGCGAGTGCCCATTGGCGTAAGTATTTGGAATTTCGACAACAACATTTTAGAAAAATCTCATTAATTTATCCCTTGTAGTCATTTGAATCTGTGCGGCTCGTCTGTTTCGGATGAGGCAGTCAAGGAAATACTCAAAAACTGCGCCAACATGAGCTCAATAAACCTGGCTTCATGCCGTGGACTGCCACGCGGTGTCAAGCGTCTCATGCAAGGAGCGCAGCAGTTGCGCGAGCTGCGCGAAGTTCTTGGGGTGCAGCTAAAAGACAGCCGCAGCAGTGGGAGCAACTAATCCGGATCCAGTCAGTGTGCCAGTTCACACATCGGTTTTATTGTTGAGCAAGCGGGCCACATTTAAATGTAATTTAAATTGTTGCTTCCCACTGCACGCAGACGAGGCGATTTTGTTGATTTTGTAATTGTAGTCCGCGGAAATATTGCAATATGAACGATCAATTGCAATATGGCTTGCATCTTCCAATTATGCTTATCTTGTTTATAGGCGGTAGTGTGTAATAATTGTACTAGTTTAGTATTCTAGGCGATCCGTTCTCTTTCTCCACCCGAAACAAGAAAGGGTCCTGAGAGACAGAAAAAAAGAGATGGAGACCGCTGCAATCTTTTGTAAATGCAATATGTATTCATAATTTAGTTGATTCGAATTTTTTGTAGAACGGCGAGTACCAACCACTTGCGAGGACGATTTAATGATTTTTTTTTTATGTATACATAAACGATTGAATTCATTATTAGTAAGTCCGACCATTGTGTGTTTGTAAAGTATGTACGTATACAAGATTCTAGAGTAAGTTACCATACAAATTGATTTATTAACCATAAAGATAGTAGTCGTCAATTGAAAGTCGATAAATAAGACAATTTGTAGAATGTTTTTAACCCCAATTGAAATGTACATATTGGCGATTGAGAGCGCTCTGATTGAATGTTTTCAATATTAACCATTAATAAATGCTATACCACACATATATATTAATTAACACAATTCAATTGTTAGGCATTATTTGTAGTTAAGAGAAGGCAATTAAAGGTACATTTAATTTATAATAAACGCAAACATTTTCAATCTCTATTGTTTGTATTGTTGCTTCGTAGCGAATCCCCATCATCCCATTCCTACCATCGAAAAAATCCAAAGTTTCTTTGAGTTTAATATATGTATGTATAATTTTATTCAAATATGCGGGCCACATCTACTCGTCACATATCGGAGTCATCCATCCTTTAGTTTTTCTGCAGATTATCAATATCTTTAATGTATTCGGTGCCAACCTTGACAATGGCGGCGCCGGTTCCCAGACCAACCAAGGTGGCGAGAATAGCATTATCCTCAGCAAGGGACGATTTTAGCAGGGCCCAGGCAAGCACAGAACCCATACTGAATAAAACTCCACCGAGGGCCGCATACGCCAGGCGCTTATTCGTCTTGACGTCCTTCAGGTGAGGACGGCCGTAGATGTAGAAAGACGTGCCTACCGCAGACGAAATCAAGAACACATTAGTAAGGTCCTTTTTCGGCAACAGTCTGGGCACAATCTGCGGGTTCATAACATTGAGCGAGAGTGCTCCGTAACTGACAAGACCGTGTAGTGGTATGTAGTAGTTGAACACGTTTTCTTTGGTGAGCGGCTTCAAGCCTATTTTCTCGCATAAGCTGCACGCGTCGCTATTTTGTCCACTGGCCATTTTTTTTAATGCAAATGCAAATTCAACGTTGTAATTAATATTCCGGCGATGAAAGTCGGAAAGTCTTCTTCTTCTTCGTTATATAAAGATTAGCGTTGCCAAATGAGGAAAGTCAAGTTCTAAATAGATTGCCGGTTCATTATACTGCTAGTTTTGCCAATTTATAACAATTAGTTCGGAACTCACGCATGTTTCTTATCAAAAATAGAATTTTATGTCAATTTGTTCTAGTTTTAAGCTAGAAGTTTGGAAAATAAAATATATAAAAACAAGTTTTAGCGAGAAATGTCAACCCTGAACAACAGCCGGCATATATCGAAAAACTTGGTGGCATCACTACCCGGCGCTGGAGAGGAAGGAAAGAATTTAGAGAGAAAGAGAACGAGATAGGTGCGAAAAATTTTGGACTTGGTTGGAAATTCCTAGATTTCGCTTTGTAGAGAGCCAATAATTACAGAATAGACAGCAGCAACACTAAATGTGCGTGCCCCATATGCAGCAGCCATCGATCACAATCGCATCCGCATCCACCTCGTGAAGGCACTTCAAAAATAACACAAAAACACAGCCAGCCAGCCAGCCCATCTCATCTCCGTGGAAGACATGTTGACGCACAAAACTTGTCAGGCACGGAAAAAAATGCAGGTGAGTGGGGAAACGGAATGGCCCAATAAGAACATGGATAGCGGGAAGAGAATTGAGTTTACAATGCATTGCATCGCACTCACCAGGTTTCCTTTGTGATACGAGACGCCGAGGAGAAACAGCATCGGAATGGTGTCAATTCGTTGCAGCTAGATCCAAACAATGGCAAATTGTATTCGGCCGGCCGTGATGCGATCATCCGGGTGTGGAACACGCGCTCCGAGTCCAGCGAGAAGTACATACAGTCGATGGAGCATCACAATGACTGGGTCAACGACATAGTGCTCTGCTGCAACGGAAGAAACCGTAAGTCGGATAATGCATAGTGGGCCAATTATAGTGAATATTGTGTCTAACCATTTGGCCATTCAGTTATCAGCGCCAGTTGTGATACCACGGTGAAGGTGTGGAATGCACAGAAAGGCTTCTGCATGTCGACCCTCCGAACGCATCGCGATTATGTCCAGGCGCTGGCGTATGCCAAGGATCGGGAGCAAGTGGCCAGCGCTGGGCTGGACAAAGCAATATTCCTGTGGGATGTGAACACACTAACAGCGCTAACTGCCAGTAACAACACAGTTACAACCTCTAGTCTGACTGGGTCAAAGGATTCGATCTATAGCCTCGCCATGAATCCCTCTGGCACCGTGATTGTGAGCGGATCCACCGAGAATATACTGCGAATATGGGATCCACGCACCTGTATGCGAAGCATGAAGCTCCGGGGACACACGGAAAACGTTCGCTGCCTTGTAGTCTCGCCCGACGGCAACCAGGTTGTATCCGGCAGCTCTGATGGCACCATCAAGGTGTGGAATCTTGGCCAACAACGCTGCGTCCAGACCATACACGTGCACAAGGAGGGCGTGTGGTCGTTGCTAATGAGCGAGAACTTTCAGTACATCATTTCGGGGAGCAGGGATAAAAATATTATTGTGACCGAGATGCGTAATCCCAGCAACAAGACGCTCGTGTGCGAGGAGAAGGCGCCTGTACTCAGTCTGGGCTACAACATGGACAAGACTGGCGTGTGGGCCACCACCTGGAACTCGGACATTCGCTGTTGGAAGCTGCCCATGTACGACAGGGGCACTCTGAACTCGTCGGGCGGCATGGATGCACAGTGGACGCAAGGTGGCACGGAGCTGGCCTGCATCAAGGGCGGGGCCGCCATCAAGGAGTGCACTGTGCTGAACGACAAGCGTTATATATTAACGAAAGACTCCCAGGATCAGGTCGTGCTCTACGATGTTCTAAGAGTTGTCAAGAAAGACACTCTGGGCCCAATCGACTACGAGGCGGAGGTGAAGAAGCGCAACAAGCAAGTCTACATTCCAAATTGGTTCACAGTAGATCTCAAAACTGGGGTGAGTGACTACCATCATCATCATCACCAGCACCATTTCTCTACATGATATCTCTGATTGCAGATGCCAACGATTGTTTTGGGTCAGGAGGAGGTCGATTGCTACTCGGCTTGGGTGTCCATCGAAGCCGGACTGCCGGAGTGCGTCGATCCCACCACAGAGATAAAGGTATGTGGGATATGAATGTCTGATGGAGTCTCTTGATCATAATTGTCAATTATTGTGCAGATCAACTATGGGAAACTACTCCTGGAGGCACTGCTCGAGTACTGGACACCACCGCATAGCATACCGCCAAACGAATTGGAGCCGGACATGCATGGCAATGGCTACTTTCAGGTGCCCAAACATACACCCGTCATATTCAGGTGAGTCTCTTAGCATTTCAATTCGCTACAAATATGTATTTTCATATTGTGTCCATCATCCAACAGCGAGGTGGGCGGTCGGACTGTCTGCCGTCTGTTGGTTCGCGACGCAGCGGGCGACAGCGAGTGCACTCTTCTACATGAGACAGCACCGCAGTGGGTTACCGATGTGGTGATTGAGAAGAACATACCCAAGTTCCTCAAAATACCGTTCTTCCTGCAGCCCCATCCACAGATGACCAAGCCAGAGCGCACCAAGAAGGTAGAGCCGAATGCTAGGAGTGTGGTCCAATTAATCTCATAGTTAACCCCTGATTTACCTCTCATTGAATCGCAGGATCGTTTGGTGGCCAACGAGTTCATTCAGTGCCGCAAGGTGTGCGAGCATGTGCTCGAGAAGGTGCTCAATGCAGAGACAACCCCGAGCGGGGCCAACGCAAACAATTCCTTGCAGAACAGCCAAAGCGACGGCAACTCGGAAGGGTCGCAGCTGCCGGCTGAGGAACGCATTGAATTATCGTGCAACGATGTTGTAAGTTGCAGTTGGAAAAGGGCATGTAGATGATATATTCTATTCTATTGCCATTGTTTTTCTTAGGTTGTGGATCCCAACATGGACCTGCGAACGGTGCGCCACTTCATCTGGAAGCAATCAACAGATCTTACATTTCAATACAAAACGAAGCAGAACTTCAATTACGATGGTAAGACCATTCGAATTCGATCTAATTCAGACCAACTGAAAGTCCTTTTTGTGTCCCACCCACCCAACAGGTTCGATCGGGGATAGTCTGGAGCGCGTTACGCGCAAGTATTGAACGAAGGGCATGTGATCTCTCTCTCCTAGCCGATTTCCGCTAAATTGAAAGATTTAAGTTTTAGTTTGATTAACCATTTGTATGTATTTTGCAATGTATTCGTAATTACTTTGTCCTGTGGACTAACCATCTAATAAGAATATGTTTAAACATTTATATTTGATGTAAATGCACCCAGCAGAGTGCTATATATATTTTGTTTGCTCTGTTTCAGTGTGTTTCTTGTGTTTAGGAATTATTCAGATATACATATACTTCAGATTCAGACTTAAAAGAGATTAAGTTTGCGACACAACACACAAGTAGATAAACATTGTATGGAACAACATTTACATTAATTATCTGGCATCTGAAAACATTTAGATCTAGAGAATTGCGCATATATGTATGTAATATTCACATTTGTTTTACACTAGGTTTATATAGATATATATAAAATATATATATACATAGAACATATTATATATATCTGTATATTTAAGTATAAGTAAACTGTTAAAAAATACAAAAATCAATGCAATTGTAGAAAATCAACCTATAAAACGCTCTATGCAAGCCAATTTGTACATAAGTAACAAACAAACAAACAAAAGATAAGAAAAGAAGGATGATACAATTGAAAATCAATTAAAGTTATTATTAAAACTATTTGGAAATCAAGCTTGGCTTTCTTCCCTTATGCCACTTTAGATATTATTAATCATCTCACGGACCCGACGCCGTCTGATGCGCGCCGTCCTCGAGTAGGATTCCATGGTGGTCAAGATAACGAACAACTGTTGCTTCAGCGTCGATGGTATCATATAGTTGCTGATCACCCGTCGGGGCGAGTTGCTCGTGCGATTTAGATGGCGCGCAAGCAGCCACAAACAGGTGTCCTTGAGCTTGCGCATCGGGAAATGGATGTTCACCTGGCTGCGTACATCGCACAGCTCCTCGGGATGTTGGGGATTTTTTGGCACATATTTTGGAATGGGAACAAATATGCGCCTAGACTTAACGTGCATCCGCTCGCCTGTGTAGTAGTCGCGGAAGAGCCAGGTGTGCGTATTATACGTGTTGACGCGCACCTCCTCGAACGGCTTCAGGCTGAGATACATGTTCTCCGTATCGCGGTCACAAACCCAATACAAATCAACAGTGCGATTCGTTGTGTTACAAAAAAGCACAAAAACCTCGACGAGCTCGGCGGCTGGTGGAGGATGCAACGCTTGCGGATTGCCACGGTTATTATGTGCAATCTGCAACGCCATCTCCAGCAGGGTGCTAAGCCGATCAGTAATTGCTATGATATCAATTTTTAATGTTTTTCTCCAACCACAATGAGTATAGATAAAATTTTATCAACAGTGTGACTAGCGCTCGAAAATATACTGAAATATACCAAAATATCCCTTCTCATTTCCAAAATATACCGTAAATACAGTATATAGATGTGCCAGTTCATACACTGAACGTGTCGCAGCTGAGTTTTCTGTCCCAGGTCCCCAGGTATTCGGCTGTTGGACCTGAGACGTTCGGGTAGCGGACCTGAGACCATGAAGCAATTATATTCCATGATTTTGATAATCAGTTTAATATTACCAGCCAGCTAAGACTCTCAGCACTGAACATATAATTTTATCCGATTAATGAATCTTTTTCACAAGGTTGGGTAATTTTAAGGACTCCTTTCATTGGATTCTTCATAAAATAATGCTTAAAATAAGGGCTTGATTAGATCGTTGCAAAACTATTATCGAAATAGGGTCTTTAAAATTAAAAAGTGTGGCAGCACCGGACATGTTATCGATACTATCGATACCACTGACTATCAGCTGTTGCGCTGAAAATAAATAAACAAATAAAATAAAATGGCATTTTGTGTTGCAGTTATTGGCAAAGATGTAAGTGTAATTCGAACTAATTAATGACTGTGCTTACATTTCCAACATTTAAAGAATGCCCCGATGTACCTGACCACATCCGATATGGAGCAGGAGCTGGACCTGCAGTACCATGTACACGCAGCTCTCGACGTGGTGGAGGAGAAGTGTCTGATTGGAAAGGGAGCGCCCGAGTCCAAGGAACTCTACCTGGGACTTTTATACTCCACAGAGAATCATAAAATGTAGGTACACCCGTCTGGTTAGGGGCGTAAAGGCTAATCGGTATTTTCACTGCTTTTAGCTATGGCTTCGTCACCAATTCCAGGGTGAAATTCATAGTGGTCATTGATTCCAGCAACGTTGCTCTGCGCGAGAACGAAGTACGGACGGTAAGTACTAGTCCCCCAGATGGTAGACCTACTGATGCCACTTTCAATGCATTCCAGATCTTTCGCAACCTGCATATCCTCTACACAGATGCCATCTGCAATCCGTTTTACATTCCGGGCGAGTCCCTGACATCCAAGTGAGTCTATCCATACGTTGTTTAGACTTGTACTCATATCCGATTTCTTTTTGCAGAAAATTCGATCGTGCCGTGCAAAAATTAATGAGCGGCAACGCATAGCTTTAGATTAGAACAAAACGGGCAATAAAGTAAATTATTTATAATCAAAGAAGAGTGGTTCAGATTGATGTATGACGGGGGCGGCTGCCAGGAGAGCTGTGTGGAGCGTGGGTTGTGGTGTCAAGATGGCCTTGTCCACGCCCCAAGCTACTAACGTCTATATTTACACAAAAATGCGCACAATATTGAAACCGGTTGAAAACAAGACGAACAAATTTATTAAAATGCTAAGTTTTTTTTTTGACGAATATAGAGAATTAATTATATGTAGCTTTACACTATTTGTAGTAGTCGAGATATGTATGGTTGATGTCTGCGTCGCAGACACATCTTCCGCCTGTTTGGGTTTGGGTCTTGTTATGAATTTCGGTTGGATCTTTGGATAAGCGGCAAACGTGTATTTCTGATTATCATATGCATAATTAGTGGAATTTAAAATCCTATACGTCAGACGACACGACCTGAACTTGGGCTTATCGCCGCAGCATTAGCAGCATATAAAAAGATGCCAGAAGTTCCATTTCGATATCAGTAAGTCTATTCAAGTCTTCGAGCAAACACCATGAAGTTCATCGTAAGTGGCTACAAAATCCGAACGATCCTAGCAGGATAATCGCTAACTTGTTCTCCGATTCTTCGAAATAGATTGCTTTCGCCTGCCTGCTGGCTGTGGCCTACGCCAACGAGGATGCCAATGTGCTGCGTAGTGATGCACAAGTTAACGTCGACAGCTTCAAGTACGCTCTGGAGCTCGACAATTCAGTAAATGTCAAACAGGAGGGTGAACTCAGGAGTGGAGATGAGTGGGTGGTCCAGGGAAACCAGGCATGGACATCTCCCGAGGGTGTGCCAGTGGCCATTCAGTACGTTGCCGACCAGAACGGATACCAGGTGATCTCTGCCAACCCCGCTCTGCCAACCTCTCCCCCAATCCCAGAGGCCATCCAGCGCTCTCTGGACTGGATCGCAGCCCACCCCCCTAAGGAATAAGCCATGTTTACCAAAAAATAAAAGCAGTTAAAAGTTAAATTCAATTTCGAACTCATTTCACCATCCACACTTCCACGGAAGGATCGATCAGTTTGCCTCTCGGCTGATTGCTGTTTGCTGATGGAAAAGACTGAAAAATGTGATAATTCAAACGCAACTAATTAGCGGACACAGAAACGAGTTTCCCCAAATTAATGCGTAGCCCCCAACAAATGCCAAGGTCAACGAGATAATCAAGAGAAAAGCAAAACAGGAGGAGACACATTTACATATTTATGCGACTTTAATATTTGACTTTTTGGCCCTGAACTTGAGTTTTGAGATGCTCGGACCCACAGTGAAAGTGATGTCACTTTCTATGTCGTCCATCAGCAATGCAGAGGTAAAAGTATACGAAACTTTTGGGCGAACCTCGCTACCAGAAGATCTCAGACTCTGCTCGGAAGTGGCAGTTCTCTTGCCCATGAAACGCAGTAGCAAACACACAATAAATATTACGAGTGCGACGATTATTTCCCAGCCACGAAAAACACGCCCATGGGGTTACTTCCCATATGACGACGAGTGAATAATTTGGACTTGTATTCAAACGTGTAATGAATGTATTCTTCGCATTCACCCAGTTTGGCAATCCGACCTGAGACTTGATCCGCTTGGGAGATGCTGCGAGAGACATTTAAGTTTAGCAACGATATCGAATCACGTGATCACGATATGGGATGGATCAGTGGAGCAGGCAGGGCAGCCTTATTGTTGTCATAACTTCAAATGCAAATGTTAAGTTTTATCGCCTTTGACAGCGATCCGATGAGATGAGATGAGAGGAGTGGAGTGGAGGGCCTCGAGGAGAGCGTTTAGTGTACTCGTTTGATGCAGATGCCACTGCAATTATGACGACGGGCAAAGTGAATGCCTCCATCAATTATCCGGCTGCCTGAAAGAAACTCTGGGCAAAAGTGGTCTTGGCGACGATCAAGGCTAGACATCGCCGCCACACAAATGTCAAAATAACATTGAAACTCTGGCGCTCCGGTTACCGACTCGACTACAAAGAAGAAAAAAAAAGCCCCCAGTTGATTCTGGCGCTCTGCGGCTAATCGGTTGGGAAACGCAACATGAAAACGCTGACAGACTGATACTGACGAATCGATGTCGGCGCCTGTCCGTCAAGAGATCGTCAGGGAATCATCTCTTTGAATCTCTCACATGCACATCTCCCCCGGCTGTTGGCAATTAGTAATCTGTGGCATTTTGAGTTATTGGCATCATAATTTATATGCTAATTAATTAATAACCATATAAACAAATGGTCAATGTGTCAAAGTGACGTCAACTTAAGGCGTCTGCTTTGGCTGCCGCTGTCATAATTGGTAAACAGATTTTCTTTGGCTTTCCTCAATTTCCCAAATACCTCTGCTACGTATACGTGTACGTATGTATGTATGTATGTATACTCGTACGTATATTTGTGGAAATGTGTGTCACATGAATAGACATTGAAGTAGCTGAATGTATAAATCAATTTGCATATTATTCGGTCATTTAACGAAAGCGAAACACGATAATGAAGCTGATTTAAATTTAAATAGGAAGCAGAACCGCAAGAGACAATAAAATTCGAATCGTTTATAAAAATGTGTGTTGGCACTACGTTCGCATGTTGTGTTTCCCCACCCCTCCTCCTACACCACCACCATACATACATATAGCACTGATAAAAACGAGAGCGAAAGTTTGTGTTCGAATTATCTCACAGTGCATATGCGTACATGGGCATAGGGAAAGAATGATACATACTACATTTGGCGCGCGCTCACCACACGAACAGACACGATTTAATGACTGAAACTTCTTCGAAAAACGAGAGTGAAATAGGGTGGTGAGGGTGGTGAGGGTGGTAAGTGGAGTTCAGCAAAGCATCGTGTGAGAGTCAAATCTCGGCTTCCAGTTCGGCATTCGTTTCTGCTGTTCATGACACACACTAAGATCACTGCTAACATTGAGAGCGAAAGTTTTTGGAGAAATGATCTCTCAGTGCATATGCGTACATGGGCATTTGGCACGCGCTCACGACACGATTTAATGACCGCATAACAGAAGGTGGGTAACTGCAAGCTGTGATAAGAATGGATGGCTGAAGCTTTTTAGAAAAACGAGATAGAGACAGAGGGAGAGAGAGAGAGAGAGAGGAGAGAGAGAGAGAGAAAGAGAGGGAGAGAGAGAGAGGGAGAGAGAGAGAGAGAGAGAGAGAGAGAGGATAGCCGTGGCCCGTATGAGAGCGATAGAGAGGCGAAAAGTACAAGGGGGGGGGAGAGAGAGCAGAGGGAGTGACACCGAGGTACTATGAGAGCGATAGAAAGGCGCTTTTAAACCAATACAAGAAATGTTAATGGTTTGTTAAGTATTATGTTTAACGTAAGAAGCTTCGAAGAAGCTTGAGCCGTCCGCGCCGCTTCATTCTTATCACAGCCCGGTCCCGGTCCCGCCTGGAGTGAAAACACGTACAGTTCAAATAAATTGAAATGAATTATAAATAATTGAAATAAATAATCAAATAATATAAATACATACATTTACATCTTTGCATGGAATACTCGGTTTTCCCGCCATATAATTTATAGATTGATATTTAATTTCTTGTTAATTTGTCTGCGCTATAAAATCCATTTGTACCGGAGAAGTGATTGATTCAACTTTTATTGGAAAATGTGATAATAGTTGCACCGATTATGATGCGGTGGGTATATATCCTGCATATAATAAAATTATTCTTACTTTGGCTATACACTGAGATAAATGAAATGTTGGTGGGTACCATGTGTGGTATTCGAATGGCACTCCTTGACGGAAACATATAAATTAACAGCTGGAACCCTGAAGATTCAGATGGAACCATTTATAGCCATTTAGAATTCCAGTTAATTCTGAAATTTCTTCTCAGTGTCGGGGTAAAAATAACCATCGATGTCCACGTTAAGCCTTAGCAAACCACTACAAAATGGAATTGCTCTGGTGCTGATCATGCGGTTGGGTGTGGGTTAGGGTGCGGGTGGGAGGTGGGGTGTCTGCTTCTGCTGGCCAACAGGGGCACAGGCAATGCTCGACGGTTTTACAGTGCTTTTCGTATTCGTTTTCGTTTTCGTTTTTGTTTTCACAAAGCAACAAATTAAATAAAATTTTTAAGTTTTCCATTGGTTCCGTTTGCATGTGTGCGTGTGCGCGGTGTGGCCTCTGCTTTTGTTTGTTTGTTTCAATGGTTTTATTTTTGAGATGCTGTTGAAAACCATAAATTAGCCTGTTACTTTTGGAATGCCTCTGTACTCTGGTGGCGGATGTGTGGGTGTGCCTCCCCGGACGAAAGTATGGGAAGATCTGGGCAACTGATTCAGTCGTTAGCGGTGATCTATTTGGTGAACAACGAGCATCAGCAGCAGCAGCAGCAGCATAAGACTTTAGCATGGAGAACATTGTGAGTGGAGCGAGGCGGGGATGCAGGATATACGGATATTTATAATGCGGCTCTGTTGCTTTGCAGGATGAAGACCTGACCCCCGAGCAGATTGCCGTTCTGCAGAAGGCATTCAACAGCTTTGACCACCAAAAGACCGGCAGCATCCCCACCGAAATGGTGGCCGACATCCTGCGACTCATGGGTCAGCCCTTCGACAGACAGATTCTCGACGAGTTGATCAATGAGGTCGACGAGGACAGTAAGTAGTCCCACTGCCTTCGCCACGGGTATCCACTGACCTAGAACTTTGAACAGAATCCGGCCGCTTGGAGTTCGAGGAGTTCGTGCAGCTGGCAGCTAAATTCATCGTCGAGGAGGATGACGAGGCCATGCAGAAGGAACTGCGCGAGGCCTTCCGTCTGTACGACAAGCAGGGCAATGGCTACATTCCCACCTCCTGTCTGAAGGAGATCCTGAAGGAGCTCGACGATCAGCTGACCGACTCGGAACTGAACATGATGATTGAGGAAATCGATTCTGACGGCTCCGGCACCGTGGACTTTGATGGTAAGCAGTGACACCGACCAATTAGCAGCATGCCTCATGAATCTCTGAATCTCTGAATTCTCTGGCTCCGTGCCAGCCTTGAGAACAAGCAAATTATTTTAATTTGTAGGCTCTTCAGTCCGCTATTCTCCATTTTGCCTGGCAGAGAGAAGACAATGCTGCCTGCCCTTGTGGTTGACTATTTTTAGGCTTCCGGCTCTGTATCTGAATGCCACTAATTGCTCCACTTTCCCTCCATTTCGTCCACAGAATTCATGGAGATGATGACTGGCGAATAAGTCTCGACTCTTGGACACACTCTTGGAAACATCTCCTAGCATTGATGGCTGCATGCCGTGCACCACTCCCCACACCCCACACGAACTTTGAGGCTTGAATAAACATTTTCTATTTTATTTCTACGATTGAGTAATCATAATTACGCTATAAATAATGTGCTCGAAGCTAGAGGGCAGCTGGTACAGCATCATCGTCAACAGGAACTACTACTCGATAGAATAGAAAAACCCAAAACGCGGCAAACATTCTCCCCTGCTGGCAACTATGTAGCTGCATTTGCAACTGCAACTGCATCCGAGTTGGATGAATCATCATCGTAATTGACGCCCCCAAGTATTGGTTAATATTTTCGATAATATCTACTTTTGCAATGGCCTGGCCTGGCCAGGGGACTGCGATGGGGGCGTGCCACACACTCATTTGTGTGTTAATTTGGCAAGGCCAATGCAAAGCGTGATGTGCCGTACAACGCGTCGTATGATGAATGTTGCGCATACGCAACTTGGCCCGAGTCTGTCCCCCATTGTGTTGTCTCATTCTTTGCTGCTCGTGTGGCCGCATGCGTGCACATTCCTTTTGCCACTTGGCTGCCGTTCTGGTGCGCACAGCTGTGCCGCCTCGATCAGCCAAGGCGACCATCCCATGCCACCAAGAATCCAATCCAAGAATGGGAGCGCTTCGATGACAACCTGCCGAGGCCCGTGTCCGTGTGTGTCTCTTTGCGGTGGAGCTGCCTTTCTAAATACTGCGCGGCGACAACAGGCAAACGGGCAAATGTCAATGAGCATTCTCCTACTGATGCTGATGCTGCTGCTGTTGCTGCTGCTGCCAGAAATCGTCAGGCATTTTGGCCTAAACTTGGCCCATACAACGGGCCAACGAATTTTCACATTCAACCGAAAATGAAAAAGAGAAGCAACTGCCCTTTCTGCTGGATGTTGCCCAGGCAGATGGATGTTGCCACCAAATGGAGCAACTTGTTTTGCGCAATTTTTTTTTGGGTTTTTGTTGTCGTTTTTGGGGTCTCCCACCAGGCCAGGCCCCAGGGTGTCGATGGTGATATTAGCGGTATTTATTACCCATTTCGATTTCAGTTTTCCTACGTTTTCCCGGGGGTGAAAAGGTCAAAGACTGGACCCAGACCGGTACCAGTTTTTTGACATCCGTCTCGGGCCAGACATGATTAGAAGACACCACCGTATGCGATTCTTGACGCCAATTCCGATTGCATTCAAAGCGCATTAAAATTGTTTCCCAAACGTGCAATTCAATGGAGATGAGATGAGTCGTTTGGCATGATGATGATGATGATGATGCTGATGATGATGCACTCAAGCGTTGAGGGTTTTCGATTGGATTTCAATTTACGAGCACCAGAGCACCATCAGCATCAGCATCGGCATCGCCAGAAACTTGCTAATTTTACCGACCTGGCGAGAGTAGATGTAGATGTGGCCTGTGGCCTGTGGCTGAGAGCGTACAAGTGAGTATGTTTAACAACAAGACAAGGTACATTGGGTAAACGAGATGCCGCCGCTGAGACAATAGTCTAAGCAGCTCCAGCCCAAGCCCCAGCCCCAGCCACATCCCCAGCCATAGGTCTCCCTTCGGCATGCAATTGTTTGTGCCAGCCAACCAACACAGCTGCACACGATTGCAATAAATGCCATAAAGTATCAAAATCTCAGCCAGGCAGGCCAGCACTCGCTCTGCTCTCTGTCTCCGCCTCCGTCTCCGTCTCAGACATCGTCGCCATCGCCATCTCCGGCTTCAGCTGCAGCTTCGGCTTCGGCAGCATTTTCGTTCATTCCATTCCATTTGATTGCATTTGGCGCCAACCAAGGTATAAAAGCTGGAGAACCTGGGCTGCGATCGGCACACTAGTACTGTGACAATAGAGGAGCCACGACACGCGGAGGCGGCTGCTGCAGAACCCAAAGGAGCATAGGATTCGCATGGATTTGTGACTTATTTCTCAGAGACTGAAACTGTGTGTGCCAGTGTGTGTGTGTGTGTGTGTGACTGTGATTAGTGTTGGGAAAAAGGACATCCCAGGACATACATACATCTACCCACATATCTCCTGTCGAGACTTGGAATATATTCGAACAATCAAAAGATATCAGAGATGGCTCTCAAATGGGTAAGTATCCCTGCCAATCCCCCGAGAATCATGCTGCGCAGCATGCATGGGATTTCCCAATCCCACATAGCATATCCCAAGTGCCTCCATGCCCTTCCGACTCGGGCCCCCCCCGCTCTTATTGTATTGGCGCATAAAAAAAAAACGCATAAATTAAAAGGCCATTTAAAATCAGAGATAGCTGATGATGAGGTAAACCCGCCCGGCACGCAAAGTTGCCCAAGAAGTCTTCCATCTGCATCGTGGCTCTGTTTTTGTTTCTGTGATCGTGTCCGCCGCCGCCTCCAGCGGCAGATCATCAGCGGCTGGCCGGACCCAAAATTGATGCAGTGGCGTCCCAATTGGCAGCCCATTTGGAATTACCACAGTTATACGACGAGTACTTTGGGTGGCTTCCAATTCTGGTTGCGCAAGTCTTGGGACAACTGCTCTGGTCACGAACTCCCTGAGAATGCGGCTGCCACGGGGGCAGGCGTTGGATGCAGCATGCAACATGGATGATTCAGTGCCGCAAATGTCAGAATTTCCATTATTCGGCAGGGGGATGGGTGCGGGGACAGCTGCGCGCGCGGTGAGTTCATCATCGATGCAGCAGTCGATAGAGCTGTTCTGTTACGTTTATGGCCAGTGCTGCATACGAGGCGACGGGCAGCACTCGTAAACGGTTTAAACTTCAACTTGACACCCGGCCAGGCTACATTTACTTAACCTTCCCATCATCAGTAGCAACAGCCTCATCAGCTGCCATCCCCCCAGAGTCTCCTTAGCTGCCTCCTCTCTGATTGTTCACACGCTGAGGCATGCAACTCAATGTAGCTGCTGCCCGTCGCCAGTAGCAGACAAGACATCTTCTGTCGAACAAGAAGTGCATAAATATCAGAGTTCGCCGCAACCCCATGACGAAGATGGTGGCACACAGCCTTAATGGGGGATCCGCTGGCAACAATGGAAAAGCGAAAACGTGAGTGAGTGGAGTGCGCTGCGGTCCATCAATGAGTGAATATTTCATTAATGAAATGGCAGTTACCACCACTCGGTCGTACGTCTGTCTACTCTTGACCCCATTGGGGGGCGGGTGGCTCCATCAGGGATTTTGAGTGCGGGATCTTCCTGGGACAATGAGTGCTTCGTGCATCGCGATGGCAATTGGGATTCGGGTGAACTTTACATATGCCAGGAGGCATCAATTTGTATGTAATCCAATCCTCTCCTCTCTCTTTCTCTCCCTCTCTGGATTAGGCTCTCCTGATCACGATGCTGACGCTCGCGCGGTGTGCAAAGTTGGACAACAAATACCTGCCGCCGCCTGCGAGTGCGGCTAGCGCGGGTGGCAGTCCAGGAGCAGGTCTGCAAGGACCAGGGAGTGGCTTTGGCAGAGGTGGCGGTGCTGGGGGTGGGGGTGGCAACAACGGATTGGGTGGAATAAACAATGGACTGGGCGGTTTCTCAGGCGCTGGGGGTCCAAGTCGACCCATTGGACCGGCTCCCGCTCAACGGCCCAGTGCTCCAGCGGGCTCTCCTCCAGCGGGTCCGCCCATCCCGATATTGTCGTTCGTGAACGAGAACGACGGCGACGGAAACTACCGTTTCAGCTACGAGACGGGCAACGGGATCAAGGCCCAGGAGGAGGGCACAGTGAAGAACAAGGGATCCGAGAGCGAGATCCCCTCGGTAATGGGCTCCTACTCGTACACCAATCCCGAGGGCGAGCTGGTCGAGATCTCGTACACGGCCGATGAGAACGGATTCGTGCCCTCCGGAGCAGCACTGCCCACGCCCCCGCCCATTCCGGAGGCTATTGCCAAGTCGCTGGCTGCCCAGGGCATTAATGTACTTCCGGGTGGTGGCTTCACTGGAGGCGGCGTCGGCCAGGGTAAGTACCAGATGATTATTGACGGAGTGTTCTTGCTTACAACTTACCGTTCTCCGTTCTCAGGAGGCGGAGGCGGATCAGCATATGGAGGAGGATCTGGAGGAGGCGGTGGCCAAGGTAAGTGGAAAATAAATGATGACTTCCACAAGGGAGCGTATAAAAGTAGATACGCGGCACTTGCCGCGGCTCACAACGTTGTTGCTTGTTACACACAATCTTTTTGGCTTAGGTGGCGGCGGAGGCGCAGGGTATGGCGGCGGAGCAGGACGCCGAGGGGCTCCAGGATCTGGTGGACAAGGAGGATTTGGAGGTGGGCCTGGCGCCCCAGGAGGCGGCGGTGGCCAGGGTAAGTTGGAAGATTAATAAACGCAAATCTTTGCGATTTTTAAATAAAACTTTTCTGATCTTAGGAGGCGGCGGAGGAGCAGGGTATGGCGGCGGAGCAGGACGCCCAGGGGCTCCAGGATCTGGTGGCCAAGGAGGATTTGGAGGTGGGCCTGGCGCCCCAGGAGGCGGCGGTGGCCAGGGTAAGATGAAGATTATTAAAGAAAATCTTTGCGATTTTTAAATAAAACTTTTCTGATCTTGCAGGGTGGCGGCGGAGCAGGGGGGGGCCGGGGTCTGGTGGCCAAGGAGGATTTGGAGGTGGGCCTGGCGCTCCAGGAGGAGGCGGTGGCCAGGGTAAGTGGAAGTAAAGGAAATTTTGCTTTTAAATAAAACTTCTATCTAGGGGCGGCGGGAGCAGGGTGGGGCGGAGCAGGACGCCCAGGGGCCCCAGGATCTGGTGGCCAAGGAGGATTTGGAGGTGGGCCTGGCGCCCCAGGAGGCGGCGGTGGCCAGGGTAAGATGAAGATTATTAAAAGAAAATCTTTGCGATTTTTAAATAAAACTTTTCTGATCTTAGGAGGCGGCGGAGGAGCAGGGTATGGCGGCGGAGCAGCACGAGGTGGGGCTCCAGGATCTGGTGGACAAGGAGGATTTGGAGGTGGGCCTGGCGCCCCAGGAGGCGGCGGTGGCCAGGTAAGTTGGAATAATAAACGCAATCTTGCGATTTTTAAATAAAACTTTCTGATCTTAGGGGCGGGTATGGCGGCGGAGCAGGACGCCGGGGCTCCAGGTCTGGTGGACAAGGAGGATTTGGAGGTGGGCCTGGCGCCCCAGGAGGCGGCGGTGGCCAGGGTAAGATGAAGATTATTAAAAGAAAATCTTTGCGATTTTAAAAATAAAACTTTCCTGATCTTAGGAGGCGGCGGAGGCGCAGGGTATGGCGGCGGAGCAGGACGCCCAGGGGCTCCAGGATCTGGTGGCCAAGGAGGATTTGGAGGTGGGCCTGGCGCCCCAGGAGGAGGCGGTGGCCAGGGTAAGTGGAAGATTATTAAAAGAAAATTTTTGCGATTTTTAAATAAAACTTTTCTGATCTTAGGAGGCGGCGGAGGAGCAGGGTATGGCGGCGGAGCAGGACGAGGTGGGGCTCCAGGATCTGGTGGACAAGGAGGATTTGGAGGTGGGCCTGGCGCCCCAGGAGGCGGCGGTGGCCAGGGTAAGTTGGAAGATTAATAAACGCAAATCTTTGCGATTTTTAAATAAAACTTTTCTGATCTTAGGAGGCGGCGGAGGAGCAGGGTATGGCGGCGGAGCAGGACGCCCAGGGGCTCCAGGATCTGGTGGACAAGGAGGATTTGGAGGTGGGCCTGGCGCCCCAGGAGGCGGCGGAGGCCAGGGTAAGTGGAAGATTAATAAACGCAAATCTTTGCGTACTCAAAAAAAGTTCAGGGGTTTATTGTACTTGTGGTAAAAGTACAGAGACGTACAGTACGCAGAGAAGGAAACGTTTCCGACCCCATAAAGTATATATATTCTTGATCAGCATCAATAGCCGAGTCGATATAGTCTGTCCGTTCGTCCGTGTGTCCGTCTTGATCTCAGAGACTATAACAGCTAGAGCAACAAAATTTTGTATCCAGACTCATGTGATATCACACTGCTACAAGTGTATTTCAAAATTTCGCCCCCCTTTTCCCCCAAGAAAGGACGAAAATTTGTGGCAGGCACATTTTTAAAGATACGATAAAACTAAAAACGCAGTATCGGAGCAAATGACCATATCTACCAGACTGCCGAATCTGGATCAGATCGGATCATAATTAACAAGAGACAATGCTACTCATTATCTTTCTCGCTCGCACACTCTGCCTCGTTCAGTGCGCGAGTGCCCGCCAGCGGTGAAGATGTAGAATATACATTGTAGATGTAGATAACAGATGTAGGAAAAATCTCTAAAATGTACAATTTCTTAAAATTCTACATAACTCATAAGCTCAAAATGTTATATACTGACTGAGTACGGGTATAAAAGTAGAGTCGCGTCCCCAGAAGCGACTCACACGTTCCTTCTCGTTAAATAAAACTTTCTTGATTTTAGGCGGCGGCGGAGGCGCAGGGTATGGCGGCGGAGCAGGACGAGGTGGGGCTCCAGGGTCTGGTGGCCAAGGAGGATTTGGAGGTGGGCCTGGCGCCCCAGGAGGCGGCGGTGGCCAGGGTAAGTTGGAAGATTAATAAACGCAAATCTTTGCGATTTTTAAATAAAACTTTTCTGATCTTAGGCGGCGGCGGAGCAGGACGCCCAGGGGCTCCAGGATCTGGTGGCCAAGGAGGATTTGGAGGTGGGACTGGCGCCCCAGGAGGAGGCGGTGGCCAGGGTAAGTGGAAGATTATTAAAAGAAAATTTGATTTTTAAATAAAACTTTTCTGATCTTAGGAGGGGCGCCCAGGAGGGGCTCCAGGATCTGGTGGCCAAGGAGGATTTGGAGGTGGGCCTGGCGCCCCAGGAGGAGGCGGTGGCCAGGGTAAGTGGAAGATTATTAAAAGCAAATCTTTGCGATTTTTAAATAAAACTTTTCTGATCTTAGGAGGTGGCGGAGGAGCAGGGTATGGCGGCGGAGCAGGACGCCCAGGGGCCCCAGGATCTGGTGGCCAAGGAGGATTTGGAGGTGGGCCTGGCGCCCCAGGAGGAGGCGGTGGCCAGGGTAAGTGGAAGATTATTAAAAGCAAATCTTTGCGATTTTTAAAAAAAAACTTTCTTGATCTTAGGAGGCGGCGGAGGCGCAGGACGCGGTGGTGCTCCAGGTGCGGGCTCTCAGTACATCCCTCCCCCACCAGGACTCCCAGGAGGTGGACGAGGCAGCGGGGACTTCAATCCGCAGACCGGCTACAGCTATTGAGCGCGGCGAGCTCCCTTTTCCCAGCCAAAACCACTTCACTCCGATCGATGAAACCTCAGTGCAACGCAATCGCAATCTGCCTTAAATACTCGTGCTACCGAGTGTGGCGCTTAAATTATTTCTTATTTGTGTAAGCTACCCCGATCCGATTCTCTCCGATAAGGCAATAAATGAATTTTAGTGAACGGCTGAGTCCATGATTTAAGGGATAAGAAGCAAAGAGAGCAGTTTGACTTTTCTGGTGCATGTATTTCATGCCTTTGAACGCGACTACGTGTATGGACTAAGTGTAAGTATCGATGCAACACAATTTGGTCAACGTGGGAATAATCACTTCCTCGGGGACTTCTTGAAGCGTCTGCCGTACTGATTGTAACCATACGGATCCACCAATTGGTTCGATCTGCCTCTCAACTGTTGGGTTATCAGCGCCTGCTGCTGCTGCTCGTTTTGCTGTTCCTTCTGCTGTTGCTGTTGCTGCTGCTGCTGTTGCTGTTGCTGCTGTTGTTGCTGCTGCTGCTGTTGGTTGGCATTCTGCTGGCCCTGCTGTGATGTGAGATTGCTACCAAATTGCTGACCATATTGTCCGGCATACTGGGCTGGCAGGCGTCCGGAATGGAGCTGATTGAACGGCTGCTCCGGCTGATACTGTCCAGAGTTCGGCTGCTGCTGCTGCTGCTGTTGGAAGTTTCGCTGCTGTTGCTGCTGCTGTTGCAATGAATTCTGCGGCTGTTGCAGCGCGTTCAGCGGCTGTTGTCCTGGCCCCTGTGGTCGAAAGGGTGCCGTGGCCAGCGGCGGAGGCAGTTGGCGGAACGGCGTCTGGTATGGATTCAGATTGGGATTGAGCACGCCCTGCGGCTGGTACGACTGCTGTCCACCTCCCACAAAGTACGGAGGCGGAGTGGCAGGAATGCCCGTGCCCTCGGCTCGGAAACCGTTCTCATCGGCGATGTATCGAACCGTAATGGGCGTGCCCTCGGGCGAGGTGTACGAGTAGGAGCCCTGAATGACCTGCAATGCTCAAGAAATGAGATGTTAGGTTCTCCCGAAAGTATGCCACACGCTTTGAACCCCAAAAGAGAGGGCTCCCCACACCCACCTGTGCCTCAACGCCTTCGCCATATCCGAGATTCTTGACATAGCCCTGGGCCTGGGCAGTGGTTCCATCGGCAGAGGAGTATCCATAGGAGAAGCTGCCGTCCAGATTGAGCTCGTTCTGGTAGGCCGTGATGGGGACATAGTTCTGCTGCTGGTACTGGTTGTACCGATAGGGATTCTGGAGAGCGGCTCCCGTCAGCGGCGGAGCCAAGGGGTTGACCAGCGGATTAAGCGGATTAAGGGGATTAAGCGGACTGCGCTGCGCCGGAAAGAGGCCCTGGCTCTGGCCCAGAGTCGGCTGACGCACGCCGAATGGTGACTGCTGCTGCAGCTGGACTCCCTGCTGGCGCTGCGCGAAGCCTGTTCCTGGTAGCTGCGCCCGGCAAGCGGAGAGACAGAGGCCGGCCAGGAGGCAGGCCACCCAGCGCAGCTTCCTCATGCGGGTGGAAGCGGGCATTTAACCTGTCGTCAGCTGGTGGATGCAGTGGCTCGTAAATCCCACGAATGTCCCACAAATTACACGCTCGATTAACCTGATGTCTCACTTTCGTTGGGCGCTGAGTTGTGGTGGGAAAACGGAGCCCGATGTCCGATGTGGAGATGGAAATTGTGCCGATTTGTGCCGAACCGAACCTAACCGAGCCGAGCCGAGATGTGATGTGATGTGAGATGCGACGTTGCCACTGGAAGTCACTGAACGAATGCCGTGCCCCGACTGCAACTGCGGCACCGACTGCGGCCCGTATTTATACGAATCTGGACCCAGCGGTGGCCTGGTGGGCCCTAAAGCGCGGCCTAATCATAAGAACAATCGACCCAGCGACGCCGCTTCCTGCCGTGGTACTACCGTGCTCGTGGTATCTCTGCCCCAGCTCTGCTCCAACCAGGGGGCTGGTGGTGCGGGGCATTGGGGCATCTATCTCGATGGTTATCTTATGCTTGGCCCAGTGGCGTGTAATTTATCTGCGGCTTGCGAGTCGTGTTAACAAGCTGCTCGCTGATGCCACAGATGCCGCAGATGCCGCAGATGGCAGCTTTATTGGTTTTTTATCGGCCATTGACAGAAGGACAAACGAATTTCGTTGCCTGATTGATATCTTCATGGTGGCCAGCCCGACCGTTGGCCTCTTCCGGCGTTTTCCCGATGCGCGCACTTATTTATGATGCATCCCATCCAACCATCCATCGGTTGCATCTTCAGTGTGGCTTCTGGTTCTGCTGCGGCTACTTCTGTTGTCGACCCCCATATGCAAATGATGCGTTTTTGCTCTAGCTCGTGTCTCCGCCGCTGCCGCTGCTGCTGCTGCTGCTGCTGCTGCTGCTCTGAGGCACTCCTAAGGTGTTTATGTGAGTTATGTGCTGACAGTACGGCACCTCCCCCCCCAACCACCGACTGACGGTCCGCTGTTCTGGCCTGGCCAGGGGTCAAGGTGGTTGTCGGACCTCAACCTGATCTCCAAGTGCCATGAATATCATTTATCAGGCCGTATCTATCCGCAGGAACCCTTATCCATCCCTGCCTGAGAGAGTTTCCCCGGAGGTGTTCCATTGTCTCATGCCCCAGTCATCCATCATGCTGCGATTGCTCATGCCGCGGCGCGTCATGATCGCCATCAGTCATTTGTAAATGCCTAGCCCGCGCCTCTCGCTCTCGTTTGTCATCTGTTCGAGCAGCCATTAAAATTCGAACACACTCGTATTCGTACTCGCATCTTGTTCCATGTTTGCTGCTTTAATTCTTGCGTTAATTGCAAATATGCAAATGAGGATGGAATGAGATTTTGCACTGGTCGAACCAAGGTCGAGTCAGGCGAAAGATGAACTCAAAATAAAAGTCATTCTGGAAGTGAATTATCTAAATTCAAATTTTCACTAAATCTAATTAATTTCCTATGTGGAAGAATGTTGAGAGCCAAATATTGCATCACTTTTAATCCATCTGCGACAGAAGATATAATTGTCTACTGCCTGGCTGTAGGCTAGTTAATAACTAGTTAGTTCACAGCTTCGTATAACTGCCTAAAAGTATTCTATATGAAAACAGATATGATAGAAATACCATCCACATCAAGCATACGCAAGTGCTGAATGCGCTACACAAGGAATATTTACAGAGTGAATGGTATTAGCTTTGGATTTAGATTAATTCGTTGGAACCCATATATATACCTATATAATTGAATTATATTTGTGAAAATAAATATAAACTAAAATATACAAAGAGGAAGAGGCTCTCTTTCATGCTGAAGGTTGCCTCCCATAGCTGAATAAAATATTGAAATATTATTTTTAGACTTTGCACAACTGCTAAAGCATCTAGAAAATATGAAAATTGTCTCACTTTTAGCCGTGCTATTAGGGGAGTGAAGGTAACAAGGGAATCATCAGTAGTGTACTTTTCTCATCACGATATTTAAGGGAACATCGTGGTGGGTGAATCAATTTGCCGTTGAGGTGTTCGAAAGGCAGCGAATCAATATTAATTATGAACATGCTGCCCCACATTTCACAACATTCGCTGGATGGAGCTGCCATTTGAATAATTTACGATGCTGGAAGAGCCCCCAGAGCCCCGAGAGAAACATAAAAAGTTGCTCCCTGCCCACCCCTGAAATTTATGCAGAAATGCGAGACAAGCGCACAATGCGGCTCGATGAGCAAACTACATTAAACACGGGACGGACACTCCTCCCACGACTCTTCATTCGAGTGTAACTCCAATTTGGACAGCGACAGCGACTGCGACTGCGAGGATTATTAATGGTCCACAGGCACCGAAAATTGTGGCATTTTTGCGGTAAGATTGGGTAGGAGAGAACGCGCTTGACATTTGTGTAATTGCATTTGGCCAGGTTGGCCGGCCTGGTTAGTCAGAAATTATGGCCGCCAGCGCAGCTAATTGATTCTCTCGTGGATGCTGTGCGTAATGCGACTGCAGATCTCGTCTGGCTTCTGGTTCCGGTTCGAGGCACTGCAACTGCAACTGAAACTGCGACTGTGACTCTCGAAAGGTTAATGTGTCGCCGCTCTAAATTACGACCTCGTTGGCATTGCATCTTTGCATTAATGGGCTGCTATTTGTGCAACAGTGTAATGCCAGAAAGTTATTGGATTTCCATGCCAAATGGGCGAGACTGTGCAGCTGAGAATCAATTTATTAACACGTTGGCCCGAGAGCACCACAAACTGAAGCTCCAAGTTGGAGACTTGAAAACTTGGAAACTTACAAACTGAATCTGGAACTGAAACTGGGCGGGCCAAGGCAAATGCCAAAAATCCAACTTCTGGCGTTGCGAAATTGCTGGAAATTATTATTGAATTCTTTTTGTCTTGCCGTTTTGGCATACATAAATGTTAGTCGCTTCTCAGTGGCGGTGCCGCAGTGCTGCCAGGTGCCCACCCACTGTAACAGCTGTAGTGGAGAGACCCAACAGCTCCATCTCAGAGTCCGACTCTTGGTGTGGAATTTGCATGGAAGTCTGGTGGAAGGGTGGAAGGTGGGGCGGAAGAACGGAACGATTTGCAGTCACTCAGCCGTTACCATTTCTGCACCTTTCGCTTGCGGGGGCATGCCACAGTGCACAGTGCCACAGTCGCAGCCAAATTTGACAAATTTTATTAACTGCCTGCAAGTGCTGCACCTCTCCGATCCGCTCCGATCCGATCTCAGCCCCCACACGATCCAAAGATTACTCGCTATCTGCATTGTAAACATGACAGCATACGGTTGAGGGTGCGGGTGCGGTTGCGGGTGCGGGTAGGGACACACTTCTCTTCTGATCGGATCTGTATCATTTGAATTGCAAATCTGCAGCCAGTCTGCGGTTCAACAAACTCTCTTTCTCCCGCTGCTACTTTCTACTGACCTCAAAAGGCCCTCACTATCACAGCAGCTGTTGCATAACCAAAGAAATGGCTGAATGGCTGGCTACAGAGCCGAGCCGAGCAGAGCCGAGACGTCTATAGGTGCTATAAAAAGCGCAGAATCTTTTGTCCGCGCCCAGTATTAGCATAAATCATGTTCGCATTGGTAAGCAGAAGCGGCAGCTCATTAATAGACATCTCGCTCTACCTCTACCTCTACCCTTATCTACCCTCTACCCTCTCCTTTTGTAGTGGCTCATCTTGGCCTGCTGCTGCCACTGCTGCTGGCCAGCGGAGAGTGGTGCCGCGATTGGAATCGTTAAATCATTGGCCGAACAGCAGAGCGATGGCTCCTACTTCTTTGCCTACGAGGCGGCCAATGGCAACTACCGCGAGGAGGTGGGCATCGTCAAGGAGGACAGTCTGGAGGTGTCCGGAGTCTATCGCTACCTCGACGACAGCGGCCAGAAAGTGGAGGTCAGCTATATGGCCGACCAGAACGGCTTTGTGCCGCGAGGCTTCCACATCGGAGCTCGCTCGAATATAAATAAACCTTTATAGAGTCATGTGTTGGCGCATAACCATTGGCTTTGATGGGGGGGCACTCCAAATGCTAGCCACACAATTACAGAAGCGGCGCAAGATCGAGCGAGGAGTGCCCTGCCATCTGCAATTGGGTCCGCTCCAGCAGCTGTGAAGCTGGAGCGAGGGGATATTTAATTTGCACACACACCGACAATCGGGAGATTTTCGAAATTAGTTAAGCTGTCAGATTTATAAATTGTGGCAATTGCTGTGCTTGGCCAGCAGCAGAGTCTACCACAGTCTCCCACTGCGGGCCATGGTTGCCCTTTTGCCGAACGTACCAAATGTCGGTGTCGTCGTCGTCGTCGTCGTCGTCGCTGGGCAAATGAATCCGTATTTATCACCCTATCAAATTAATGACGATGCCAACACGATCGTTTATAATGGGGCCCGGAACTCCACTCGCGATGATTCTACAATTTTCTGCTTATTGAATTAATAGCGCAATGCAAATGGAAGTGTTTTATGCGCCGCATCAAAATTCTAATTCAAAGCATTTGTTAGCAGCAAGATGATCGTTGCAGGGAGAGTTATGATCTCTGATCGTCATCTGTGTGTGTTCGATAATATTGAGGGGATTACACCCTCCTCCAGAGACATGCCTTGCGCACACTGTGGGAAAAACCACAAAACGAAACGAAATTCTCGATATGTCGATTCGAATTTGATAATCTTTAAATATAGCTCTTAAAATATGATTAAAATTAATTTAAAAATAAACTTTTAATTCAAGACAAGACCTTTTTTAATCTGGAATGTGGAGAGATTTGGATTTTGATTCCCGATCGATTCGTTCCAGTGCACAGATCATAACATAAATTGCAACAATGCTGACATTTTACATGGCAAATGGAAACATTTCTGGGCTTGGTATTGTGTGGTCCCGCAGCGGATCGAGGCGAGGTGCGATTGATTAATCGCGACACCTAGCGAGTGGGATGAAGCCGTCGTGTAAGTTATGCAGTGAGCGGCAGAGGCCGCTAATGGAACCCCTGATCGGTGTCATCAATCGCCGGCGTCATCGGCCAGATCTGACTCAGGCGCAGAGAGCAGACAGCAGAGCAGAGCAGAGCAGATCTGATTGACACATTTCTGGTGAAGCCTGACCCAGTGCCGACCCTGACATTTGGAAGCCACAGTCAATTGGAAGTTTTCGGACGTAGCGGCGTCCACATAAAACGGGATGGGATGCAAACATGTTTAGCATGTTTAAGTGAAAAGTGAGCTGAGCTGAGCTGAGCAGCTGCTACGGCTGCTGCTGCCGGATGATAACCGAAATATTGCGTATCTATGTCGGGATGTGAGTATTTGGGAGTATAAAAGCCAACTGGCTGATCCACTTCGGGCTCACACGCGCTCCAACTCTCGCTTTCAGCCGTACTGCTCCACTCTCGATTCCCTCAAAAAATGTGCAAATTCGTAAGTGGATTACCCGAACATCGAGGATGGGATGTGGAGTGGTTCTCATTTCATCTCTTGCATCCTCCCCATAGCTCCCTCTGCTCGTCCTCGCTGTGGTGGTGGCCTGCGGCCATGCCCTGCCCGTGGAGGGTGAACGCGAACGCGAAGTGATTGAGATCCTCAGCTCGGAGACCAACAAGTTCGATGATGGATCCTACAACTCGCAGTACTCGACGGCGGACGGAACCAGCCGGCACGAGGAGGCCACCGTCGTCGACCAGGGCACCGATGAGGAGGCGCTGGAGGTGAAGGGCTCCTACAAGTACATCAATGACGAAGGCCAGGAGGTCGAGGTCCACTACACAGCGGGCAAGAACGGTTTCGTGCCCTACAGCTCCATCATCAGTCCGGAGATCACAGCTGTTGCCGAGGCGGCCAAGAATCTGCCCAAGGAGCCCGAACTGAAGCCAAAGGCATTGCAGGAGCCATAGGTTTGTATCGTTATATAACAAATCAAAATAAATTAACAAAAAAACAAACAAAAAATTGAAAGAAATTATGAAATTGTTCGACTCTGCTTGCGTTGTCTGGACTGGCATAATCTCCTCCTGCTTTGCATATCGTCGTGGTGTTTGCTTAGGCTTTGGTGTTCGCTTGATGAGACGACCCATTCCGCGCCCCGACGGACCTTGAAAGCAGACCCCAGTGATTTCGTACTATTAAGCACACGTTTGTCCACTTTTTGGGGGGGGTGTACAGTGAGGCTTGCGCTGGACAGCCGCGGGGCACATTACATAGCTCACTCGTAGAGTCCATTAGCAGTGCGCGAAGAAGAGACAAGAGGAAATTAAGACCCAAAAGAATCGAATCTGGCCATTTAATGAGGCATAAATCATCTCTGTGGGGGAATTTGCATATTTGATGGAAGCATGGGAAGTCACACTCTCTCTGTCCCCCTCTCTCTTGCTCTCCCTCTAATCATCCACGCCGTACGCATGGATCACATCGGTCTCGAGCAGCAGCAGCACTGCCACAAAGAACAGATAGTAGGCCACGAGTAGCAGGCCACAGGCCCGTCGCATCTGGAAGTTTGTGGTCAAAGCGGCCACCAGGGAGAAGACCAGGCTCACCTCCGCGAAGATGCAGGCAGTCTCCCCAAAGCTGCCCTCATCCACCTGTCAGAAAGTGTCATACAAAAAATCAATAAATTATTTTGGAAACCATTTAAAGATCTCTCACTGGGAAGGCATTGCCCACGGAGCGCACAGTCGTCTCCAGGGCCAGGGGCAGGGCCAGATTGACAAAGGTTCCTGCGTGGGGAAGGGGTGGGGCGGGATTAGCAAATGGTGCGGGGAATAGTGCTTTCAGTAGAAATAGACCCACCAAACACCGGAGAGGAGAAGGTGGCCGCGAATGCCATGCGTGGAAATCCCTGCCGTGCCAGCACTATGCCGGCCACAAGATCGCCGGCGTTCATGCCCCAGCAGATGGCTGTGGCCATGACAAAGGACTGGCTCATGTGCCAGATGGTGCCGATGGTGAAGAACATCGCCATCACCTCCGAGGTGAGGAAGAAGATCAGAAAGATGACGGAAATGAAGCCCAGAATGGCCGTAAACTGTCACCCAGGAGGATTGGATGGGGATTACTCCAGCGAGGAACTCATTTTGTTATCCTTACCCTGAAGAATTTCGGCGTGGTGTCGGTGCGGGTGCGCCAGAAGATGAGGCAGCCCAAGGGCAGCATTATGTAGAAGGCCACGATGTAGACGGCAGTGCCCAACAGATTGACGTCCTTGACTGCAAGAGTAGGGGATTCTCTGAGACGGATCAGTCGGATCAGTCGGCAGGATGACACTCACGCAGTATGAAGAAGATGTAGGTGGGGGCGATGATGAACTGCAGGCAGCAGAGCAGCTTGGACCAGCCGTGGTTGGGCTTCTCCACGTCCACAACTGGGACCAGCAGACGGAGCAGCATTTCCATGGGCTCCTTGATGAGCAGATAGATTCGGACACCGATGGACCCGCGCCGGAATTGCTCCTTGTCGAACTTGAAGATCGATTCCCAGAACTGCTGGAGGAGATGTCTGTTGGCGCCTCCGCGACGGCGTGCAGCACTCCTCGTTAGCTTCTCCCGATTAACACCCAAATCCGTTTGCCGCATGAGCTCCTCCAGCTGCTCCGCCTGTGGCTCGCTACCCTCGGTCTTCTGCAGCTCTGAAGGATATTCCGAAAATGTCAAAAGAACCAGGAATCAGATGCGGTGCCCACGGTAAACGCGAGCCTGAAGCAGGCTCTGATCCATGATGGCCACCATGACGTGCGCCAAGTAGATGAAGGCCCCTGGAACGGCTCCCAGTTTCGTGATGCCCGACTCCCGCTTGTGGATAAAGTCCATGAAGGTTGTGTTCAGGAAGAGGAAGCCAAAGTCCCGCAGAAAGTAGCTCGGCTCCACGTAAAAGGGTCTCGTGAGCATCACCAGGCCCGCCACGAAGGTGTGCTGGAACAGTGTCTGCGTCATGGACATGAGGAAGCCCCACTTCGAGAAGACCAGCAGCCCGGCCACAGCCGTAAACAAGTCCGACGACCCATTGGCTATGGTCAGCAGCGTCACCCCGGCCAAGTTCTCGTTCATGCTGAAGGTGTCCGCCAGCACCTTGAGGGTGGGACAGAAGCTGCCGGATCATCATTAGCTACGGCTCAAGCCCGGCTCTTTTGAAGGGTGACTCACTACGCTCGCACGGACTTCTGCATCATCCAGAAGATGTAGGTGGCGACCACCGTCATGGCCAGCATGCTCCAAAAGGCGTTGAACTTGTTGCGCGAGTCCACGTTGCAGTAGTGCCACGTGAGGTAGTTGATCAGGTACATGTTGTCCCTGCAGTCTGCCGTTTCCCTCACGAATTGACAGCGCTGTGGCTCCGGCAGATGGTTGACCTTGTTGCAGGCATCGCCTTGGTGCAAATTGCGGGTCCAAATACCATTGAACATTTCCGATTGCAGGGATATTCGGGTAGGCAATTGACAGGGAATCGGCAGGGCCTACTATTCATACTGTACTTACAGTACAAGAATCTTCCTCCCTTTTTGTACTCTTAAGAAACCCCAAGCCATTCCCACATGCTCCAACTTTCCCACAAATCAGATTCCATTGTTCGTATTGCGTATTCCCCGCTGCGCTATCCGAAAGATTTCTGCTTAAATTAGCACTAAACATGGCACTAACAATTTAAGCACAGCATTTATATGCAAAATATTAACTGCCACTGCTCCTCTTTTTTCGAGTACATTCCAAGCCTCAATTGGCATGCGGCTGCTGTTGAATCAGCTTCAAGTCCGAGTCCGAGTTTGGTTTGGTTTCGTTTGGATAGAGGGAATCGTTTTTATTGCTAGACAATTAAATTAGCGCGCACACATTTCACGTTTAAATGTAACAATACTTAAAGTAAGTAGAATCTAGGGAGGCTAGTCCTCTATGAGGTCTTAGGCAGTCGTGGTCTCGGCCCTCTTGGGCTCCGCCTCTGGCTTGGACTCGAGGACAACCTGCACGGGCACAATCTGGGCTTCAGCGGGCGCTTGATCCTTCTTCTCAGCCACAGCCTCCTTCTCCACGACAGTCTTCAGCTGCGACACAGCCTCCTTCTCTACCACGACGGGCACAATCTGGGCTTCAGCGGGCGCTTGATCCTTCTTCTCAGCCACAGCCTCCTTCTCCACGACAGTCTTCAGCTGCGACACAGCCTCCTTCTCTACCACGACGGGCAAAATCTGGGATTCAGCGGGCGCTTGATCCTTCTCTACCACAGCCTCCTTCTCCACCTCCTGGGAGCGAGCCTTGCGATGCTTCAGCCTGAGCTCCTCCTCTTCGGAGATGTTGGGCAGATCGGCGGCAGCCTGGGCCACAGCTGTGATCTCCTTGGGAATGATGGTGCCAATGGGCACAAATCCGTTCCTGCCCGCCGTGTAGTGCACCTCCACAGTGTTGCCATCGGCATCAATGTAGCGGTAAGAGCCAGAGACCTCCAAGGCCTCATCCTCGGTGCCGGCGTTCTGGAGTTGTCCCTGCTCCTGGCGGTACGACTGGTCGCCGCCCTCGTATTCGAAGTGGAAGGAGCCGTCCGGGTTCTTCTCCGTCTCGAACCGCAGCAGTGGCACGATCTCGCGCTTCTCGGTGGTGCTGCTCACCGACTGGCCACCAATGCTGGCGCCCCACGCTCCAGCGGCCACGGCCAACAAACAGATGGTGATCTTCAGCATTTTGGGAGTGAGAGTTCTGCGAGTTCCGGGAGTTCTGGGGAGTGTGTGGTGCGTTCCTGGCGAAGATTGGCTTTCGACTTGGCCTACTACATCAGCAGGCGGGGCTTTTATATCGGAGTTAAATGTGCGCAGCAGCTGCGAATTAGCATCTGCCAGTCAGTCCATTACGCCATCTCGTCACCATCTCCGAAATATAAAAACAAAACAAAATACAAAACGAATCATGTTGGAAAAAACACCAAAGAAATTCTATGGAAGCGGCCAGAATGTGATTTAATAAAACACTCACAGAGCCAGAGCCGCAGCCGCAGCCGCAGCCACAGCAATGGGATTTGCATATTTATGATTCAACATCAAGAGAAGAGAAAGAGCTCGAGGAGAGAGCTAAAGGTCACATCGTAACCGACGAGAGCAGGCTCTGTAATGAGTGCGATTTCTGCGATCGAATAAACCACTTAATATCAACTTAATCGATTAATGTGTATGTGCCAATAATCCAGACAGAAATTGCTGCCTGGACAGGTTCATTTCTCATCATCTTCAGAGGCAGCAGCAGCAGCAGCACCCTCAGAACACGTCACAAACAAGTTAGCTCGAAGCTACAAAGCAGCCAAATAGCCAAGTGCTGGAAGGCAATCCATCAGCTGGAATGCCCGAATATCTCGTCTCTCAGTCACGTCTCTCAGTCAGTATCTTGTGTATCTTGTATATCTTGTGTATCTCTGATTGATTGCGAATGTTTAGGAAACTGCGCTCGATTAGCATAGAGGCTAGAATTGGGTAGCATTGTGATCCGACAAGACAAAGGGGCATAAATTAAGATGCACTTTAGGTGCACTTAAAATGCGCTCAGATTGGATCGGAATGAAGCCCGCATGCGATGCGCTGCATCAGTCATCACACGGGAAACTCGCGAGTGGAGTGGAGTGGAATGGAGTGTGATGAAAATCATAAACGATGAGTAATCCCATAGATCTCTGGCAGGGGGATTGTCAATGATGTATGTCAAATGTGCAAAAATGCACTAAAATCAACGACACCATACACTCAACTCTCGGCCAGACCCTGCGACTGCGACTCCGACTGCGACTGCGACTGCAACTCCGACTTCCACTGCAGATTCAATGTGGCGAAGGCCAAAAGTAAAACGCGGGCAACCGCGAAATTGGCCAAGTAACATGGAAAACGTACGAAAAGGAAAATCCACAACTGCAGCTGAGGTGGCGAGGTGGCTGGCAAAGGGGCGTAGGGTGTAATCTCGGGCGATGTTCATCATGTTTCGTGATCATCTTTGTTGCAGTGGCCGGAGCTGTAGCTGTAGCTGAAGCTGTTTCAGTGTTCACTGTTCAGCTTGCTGCTTGCAGCTCGCAGTTTGCTGCAGTTATTGCTGTAATTTTTATGAATTGCAACTGACATTTCCTACACGCTGCAAAAGTTTAAAGTTTAAGCCGAAAATTGGCTTTTTCCAAGCCACTAGACTGCTAGCCGGCCGGCAACCAAAAACCGGGAATGGCAGGGAATGGAATGGAATGAAAGGGGGCTCAGAAATGGGGCCAAGTGGTTAGTAAAGTGGTGCAAGGGAGTGCCGGAGTGCTGACCTGGTCAGCGAAATTGCGATTGAGCAGATTTGGCCAAAGGGCAGACACATCAGACATATCCAGATCCCCACAAACGCAAACAAAGCCACATAATGCTCTTTAACGATGCATTCAAACGGACAAACTGGCCACGCCCCGACACGCCCCTACGGCCGCGGCCTACTTAAATGTCAATAGAAATGCCGCGAATGCTTTACGGATCTGCATTGCAATCCCAGTGCTCAAGTGCCCAAGTGGCCAAAGTGGGCAATTCATCAAAAATAAATCCAATTGCAACATCGGTAATCTTTTAATTAATATTTGAGCTGGAGAATTATTGCGGCGAACGGAGCATCCAGCAGCCGACCAGGGGCCTTAATCAAATGAAGTTCGCATTGCTAATTCACATAAATTAATGCCCGGGTAGATGTGGAGAACCGATCTCGGCATACGCCGTACGCCGCGTATGCGCAACGAGTTTCAAATGCAAATGGGCGTTGCGCATACGCCGAGTGGTACATCGAAAGCAGCAGCAGCAGCAGCGGCAACAGCAGCAGCAGCTCTTCCGATTCTGCCGCTGTCAGGCGGACAAACACTGTTTGTTGCCTCCCCTCCCCCCAACCAACCTGCTCCTCTTCCCACTGCATCTCGCTGCGGATGCCGATGCCGCCGCTGCATCTGTCTCTGCCACTGCCACTGCCTCCGCTTGGGCTGCTGCGACTGCACTTTTTTTTTTGGTATAAAAACGTTTGTGGCAACTGCATTCAAGTCAAAACACTTTTGACGAGCCTCCCCAGCGCAGTAATCGAAATCAAGTCGCGAATTCGAAGTGAGTTTCCCAGCGTTCTTCTTGGTGTTGTGCAGCGAAGATCCTCTGGATCCTCAAAGTGAAACAGATCCCAACAAGATCCTACCCCGAAGCATCCTTGGCTTGGACACTCGTTACCGCCAGCGAAAGGGAGCTTGTGCCTTTTATGGATAATTTTCCCACGACCTTCAGCATCGTCATTCAGCCTCATCTTGGGAGAACTTTCAAAATCCACCCAAGTCAATCGATGCATCAGATATACCGATGTATATAAACTAATTGCACAGCTACGAGTTTGACATTCAAAGCGGGCACGGGCACGGGCACGGGCACCCATCGCCGCCGGCGGCAGCTCCATCGATGCTGAGCCATCAGTTATGACTCTATTTAACCGACGGCCGTTTCACTCATTCATTCATTCTCCCTCCCTCGCCCAAAAGGTCATGCAGACACACACCCACGCCTCCTTGCTTGCCCTGGCCCTGGTCCTCTGCTGTCTGGGCGCCATCCATGCCCAGCCCCAGCGCGGCCTGCCCCCACCGCGATCCAATTCGTTCGACGCCAACGCTGTGATACTGAAGCAGAACTTTGACCTCAATCCGGATGGATCCTATCAGTACAAGTGAGTGCAATCGATTAGAGATCTCATCTCCGGTAGAAGAAGCCAGCACAACTGATCCAACTGATTCTCGACAGCTACGAGACGAGCAATGGCATTCGAGCTGATGAGGCGGGTTACCTCAAGAATCCGGGCACACAGGTGGAGGCTCAGGTGAGTCTACCTTCGGGCGGAAGCCCCCTTCGTCTGTGGCATACTTTGAGGGGCAACTCAAACTCTCTTTGTGGGGGGGCTACAGGTGATGCAGGGCTCGTACTCATACACCGGACCCGATGGCGTCGTCTACACCATCACCTACATTGCTGATGAGAACGGATACCGCGCCGAGGGCGCCCACATACCAACACCACCTCCCGTCCGTGCCGCCGCTGCGCCTGGCAGATTCTTCAAATAATCAACTCCACCCATCCATCGGTCCCAATCTTCAAGTTCTGAATCAGAGATAAAAGAGATTATAATGGGCACAGAGAGAGAGAGAGAGAGAGAGCAGCTGCTCATCAGAGGTACATGCATCCATTTCCCCACCCTCCTCATTCCATTCCAGCTGAGACACAACCACATCCTCCCCTTCGTGCTTCATTCGTGCTTCATTTCTACAGTCTTCCATTCCTCAATTCCAATCTACTCTAATACTTAGTGCTATACGAACTGTGTGAGATACGATACGTAATGTTTTTTGTAAGATATGTAAACTCGATTCTTAATCGCAAGCTCAGCAATAAAACGAATATTGCGCCAATAACTGCGTCCAGTGTTCGCTGATCCTCTCTACGAGAAGGAGCGCAGCATGGTAATATATGACATGGCGGTGCGGACAATCTGCAGGGTACCAATCGACAATTAGTAAATGGAACTCTGTAGCTGGCCGAGAAGAACCTTTAGCACATACCGATGAGAACGCCTCCATGTTGGCCTCGAAGAAGTAGCCTGTGATGCGGAATCCGCGATGTGCACGCATCATGCTGATCAGCAGGGAGCGGCAGATGGAGGAGGAGGCGGCCCCAGAGCCCAGGCTCTCGTGCCAGGGACTATCGTAGATGGCCCACTCGAAGAGGGCGCTCTCCGTCTTCAGGTTCTCGCCGCAGTAGCAGTAGATGTACGCCTGGATGACGATGGTGGCGATGAAGGAGGCGTAGTAGACGCCCTCCGTCTGGCTGAAAGTGATCGAGAAGAGGTAGCCGAGCATGCACAGCTGCAGCGAGGAGATGAAGAACTGGGCGCAGATGATCGGCTCGTAGCAGCGGTTCAGCTCCGCGCACATGTCCAGGCTGGTCTGGTACAGGGCGAATGTCTTGTTGAGCTTCGCCTGCGACTCCTCTGGTGTTCCGCTCTTGAAGCGCAGCACCTTGTACTGGGCGATCTTGAAGAAGGCGCACAGGTTGCTCGTGAAGGAGCAGAAGATTGTGTCCAGGCTGACGGCTGGCAGCACCACACCCGTGGAGGCAAACGCACACCACAAGAAGGTCAACGCGTAGTTGCGGTTGTTGTGAATGTCCCAGGGAAAGCTGCATGCAAGGGAATCAGGGAATCAATGAATGCCCCCACCTACATGCTTCAACGGATACATACAGACAGGGAAAGGGTAGCTCTGGCTCGGCATGCCCCGTCAGCCAGTAGCTCAGACCCATTCGCACAAACGGCAGGACACTGTTCAGGGCCCAGGCGAGCAGGAAGCAAGTCCGGAATATTCCGCACACTCGCTGATCCTGCTTATTGGCCGCGATTATTATCTGGGCGTACTCATCGCCCTGGGCCCCCTCTAATTAGACAGGTTGGGGGATTAGAGAGAGGACTGAGCTAATCACATGATCACATCCGCCACTCACCATGGGTCATCAGGTGGCGAAACTTGTCAATTATCCGACAAAAGTCCTTTCGCAGATAGATGATCATGCTGAATTTGAAGAGGCCCAAGATGGTGATGAGCAGCGCCACCATCGCATCCGCCAGCAGCATCACGTTCTTCCAGTTGTGGATCACCGCCGCCACGATGAACGGAAAGATGGCCGCAATGGAGTAGACATTGATGCCCCTGTGGCGATACTTCCACATCTCGCCAGAGCCGCTGAAGAGATCAAAGCCAAGCATGGCGATGGTGGCTTTCTGCACCAGGAGAAAGTTTTCCGTTGTCGACATGCTGCAGCTCAAAACTATGCCTGCTCCACGCCGAAAGGTGCCTTTTATGGCTGTGTCCCCGGTGGGGAAATGGCTAATTATAGGCCGTCCACTTTGACACCTCTTTGAGCATTGTAAATGAGAAACAAGTGGGGGGGTTTTGCATTGCTAAATGTTCTTTATTGGCGCACAAACATCTGGAGGTGTCACCCTGATGCGGCGATGGGAGAGGCGTGGTCGGTTGTCAATCCATTTTGATGACAAATGCCAGCCTATCGGCCCCAGCCGCCGCCACCATATCCACGTCCTCCCCAGCCATATCCTCCACGTCCCCAGCCGCCGCCGCCATATCCTCGACGTCCTCCCCAGCCGCCGCCGCCATATCCTCCGTGTCCTCCCCAGCCGCGTCCTCCATAGCCACCGCCCCACTGGCGTGCCTCTCGGTCGCCTTCGTTGGCATGGGCAGCTCCCTGATCGGCCACGTCCAGCAGGCCAATCACTTGGTCGTTGTTCTGGTTGTCGTCCTGGTTGTCCAGGGCGTAGGCGCAGGCCAGGCACAGGACGCCAATGAGGGCGAGTAGTGTTAGACGCATCTTCTTCGAGTTACTGGATATATTGCTGATGGGATTGAATTGAATTGAAGTCTGGAGTGCAACTGATGATCTGTCCTCTCGGCCAGGGGCCTTTTATCTGCTTCTCCGAGCGCTGGGATGAGCTGTCGTTCCTGTTCTCGTACGCATCAATATAATGCCCAGCTCTAACCCAACCCAAGGTGCACTCGTACGAGTATGTTTGCTTGTGCGAATATATGGTATATGTAGACAGCAGACCGTAGACATTTTAGGGGCTTTTTTTCGACAGTGTTCTGTTTGTGTGTGGCTATATTTCACCACCAGATTATTACACCCGAGTCGTTATTGTTATTGTTATTGTTGTTGATATTGTTGCTGCCTCTGCGACTGATTCATTTCAAATGCTAATGTCTCATTTTGGGATGCTTTTGTGCGGCTGCGGCTGCGTGCTGCTGTGGCTGCGTCTGCGGCTCCCCTAAGTGTTTGGGTTGATGCATTGATCACTTGATTGCGCTCTAATTTTGTTTGGTACCTGTTTGGATTAATGGCTCCGCCCAGGGGAGAAAGTCACCAACTGACACATCGAACGTTAAGGTAATAAATAGCCCATCAAATAATTAGTTAAGTATTTATCATAGAAGTTTCACCCCTTTTTGTTGACTCTCTTCAAGCTTATTTGAAATTCTTTATATTATTTATGGGCAGCGGGTTTCTTTGCAAACCCAATCTATTTATTCCCAAGGACTCGTATGCAAATGATCTGCTAATTGTTAAATGAATGTCAAGATCGAGTCTAAAGCTAAGAAAAGAAAGGAGCTATGAACTTATAAGCCATTGAACCTATGCATTGCGAACAGGTTTCCTGTGTTGAAGTGTTTTTTGATATTTGCCAAAATACAAACAATAATTTAACAACTTTCAGCAACTCGTGCGAGATACGATAATGCGCAAACACGCCCCTTGGGTCGCCATAACAGAGCCGAAAAGCTTTCAGCTTTAACAGATCTGTGAAGAATATAGCCTGAGCTTTAACAGAGGCTTTGCAGTAACCCTTTAAGTGCCGGAATCCGGATTGCAGTTTCACTTAGCAGAAGGATGTGTGTCTGTCCGATTGGTGGGACTTTCGTAGATCAAATATGTGTACATGTAATTGACATTTTATTTGGGGTGCACTGAATCACTACTCAATGGCAATTATTTTTTAGCAGTAGAGGGGAAATTCCAAAATATTCCTCTCACGATCGGTTACACGTTTATCGATTGCCCTTAAATATTGCTAATCCAATCGGGATTTGCTCCCAAACACACAACAATTATAGCTATGTTGACCTTACTTGATATACCAAATAAGACAAAAATCATTATTTGGTCATTTGCGGCTTGCGACAAATGTTCGATCAGAGGTCCAACAAAACCATTTCAGTGTATGTTTGTTCTTCAATATACAAAATACATATGCGCAAGCAAGGCTCATTGTGGTGCTATATCTATTCGTATCTATCTATATCCATTTTATAATTCTTCTACTCAAAGGTGGATTGATCCAGTCCCGTAATTGCTTACTTTTTTGCTTTCATTAACACCCACTCGAACCTGAACCGTTCGTGGCCCTTCAATGAAGTTTGTTGACATGCTTACAAGCCTTCTTTCAACATTACGTTTATTCATGGTGTGTTCTCCCTCCAGTCCCAGAAATTGCTTACTTTCTTTGCTTGATTAACGCCCACTACAAACTTCAACCATCTCACCCTATGAGTGGCAGGTATACTCCTAAAAGAACATTTAACTATGGTATGAAATAGGGTATCATTTAGAGAGATTCCATCCATATATGTACAATGTACACACATAAATACATACATGCACATATGTTAATTGTCCATGTCCATATAGACATTGTCATAAAGAAATATTTACACTCCGTCATAATTGCCTTTAAAAATGTAGTTTTATTTATATACAAAATTTCGAGGGATTGTTTTAGCGACCGTAGTGGCCATGGTGACCACCGTGACCGCCCCCATAGTGACCTCCGCCCCCATAATGACCTCCACCCCCATAGTGACCTCCGCCCCCATAGTGACCTCCACCTCCATAGTGACCTCCGCCACCATAGCCGCGAGCCTCGCGCTCCCCGTTGCTGGCATGGGCAGCTCCTTGATCAGCCACGTCCAGCAGATTCACTCGTTCGTCGCCGTGGACGAAGGCCAGGCAAAGCAGGCCGATGAGTGCGGGTAGGATCAGACGCATCTTGAGTTGTTGTTGATTTGCGGATGGTTCTTGGATAATTTCTGGGCAGATTGAGTGCGTTGTGCTGCGAGCAACTGTTGATGGCTGAGCCCAGGCACCGGCCTTTTATTTGGCCAGCAGCAGCAGCTGGAACCCACATCTCATCTGTTATTCCAGTTCTTGTTGACTATTTTTTGCATTTATGTTAGATTAAATTTAATGTTCTGCAATAAAATGACAACGGCATAAACAAGTGACGATTTTCGATGGAATTGATTTAAAAATCGGTGTAGAGAAAGCCTCGCGAAGCTTTAACTGCGCTTTAACCAAAACTTGGAGCTTTTGCGTGGAAGTAAACAAGATTAGCTGGGAATGATATTGGGAATTGCTTTATTTGTGACACATACGAGTACCACATGCGGCTACCACCAGTAGCTGCGATAGCCATAGCCCCAGGGGCTATAACTACCACCGCCCCATCCTCTGTTCCAACCGCCGCTCCATCCTCCTCCCCATCCTCCTCCCCATCCTCCTCCCCATCCTCCTCCCCAGCCCCCCAGAGCCAACGGGCGGGACGTTCTCCCTCCTCTGCATGCTGGCCACCCACATCGGCCACATCCGATAGGGCCACAGCGGGAACTGCATCCGCTATGGGCTGGTCCTGATTAGCCGGCCGGGCCATGGCCGCTCCCAGAAGTACAGCGAGAGCAAAGACTAAGATGAGCTGCATTCGGACCATCCTCTGCAGTGGAACTGTGCCCCAACCGGGGCCACAGACACCTTTTATACCTGCATATATCGCCTGCACTTCGCGCACTTCTAATTGAAGTGTATTCGCCATGCATTTGTGCAGTCAGTCTTCAAAGGTTCGCTCAGCCCTGACCCATCCACCACATTATTCCTATGAACAACTTTTATTAACACTAATTTGCATGGGCCCGAAGAGGCAGACAGACATACGGATAGACTTACGCTAAGCTTTAACAATGTGATCTTTATGGGAAGACCCACCCACCATGCTCGTAACTGTCGATCGGACATCGTTAATACTGAGTGACTTAAGGCCTAGCCGAGCAGACCCAGCAGGCCGCTCAGTGCTTGTGGATTTGCACCGCCGCCCGCTGCTGCTGCTGCTCCGCCCGCTCCGCCCCCGTTGGCCAAGTATGGGCGCAGACTACTGCCGAGGGCCTGGCCCAAGAGTCCGGCCAGCTGTGCTGTCTGTTCGGTGGATAGCTGTGGACTCCCCGCTCCAGCTCCAGCTCCAGCTGCAGGTCCCGCTCCAGCACCCACTCCCAATGCAGATGCCCCGGGCGAGGCAGAAACTCCGGCTGCACTGCCGTAGCTGGCATACGAGGGATAGCCAGCGCCCGCTGCTCCTCCTCCGCTGTAGTTTGGCCTGTAGCCGTAGTAGTTTCCGGTATATTGCTGGGGTCGCTGATATCCGCCGTAGTTGTAGCTCGGCCGGTAGTAATTGGATCCATATCCCAGACCGAATCCCGGATAGCCATAGCCGTAGCCGTAGCCGTAGCCTGGATAGCTGCTCGCATATCCGTACGGATTGTAGCTGGGCCTATAGTTGTAGCTGGGATAACTGCTGCCGTAGTTCTGATCCGACTGAACTGCTCCGGCTGCAGCGCCGCCCACAGGCGCCTGTGGCGCCACTGGCACGTCAAAGAGGGATCCACCGCCACCAAGGCCCAGCAGCAGGGGCGTCAACAGACCCAAGGTACGTCCCTGTGGACGATTCGATCTCGATGTGCTGCTCCTTTGCGCCAGGACGGCAGTGAGAAGGAGACTCAGCAGAGCCAAGCGCGCGGCAAGATTCATTCCGTATCCAAGTTGCACCTCAACTAATCTGTGGCCTAGTCCACAGTCAACTGAAGACTGGCCAGCGGAGCCAAATAAGTTATATAGCGGAAAAGTTCTTGGGCAAAATTTCCAAATCTGTTTGCGGCAAAACTTGCAGACCTTCACGGGCCCCAAAATGACAATCCCCAGCCCCAGCCCCGGCACCCGAGCACCCGAGCGAGCGAGCGAGCGGAACGCACACGCAACGGAACGTTACTCTTGGCCGAAAACGTCATCAACTGGTTGCTGCCTCCAGATGGCTGGCTTTCACGCTCCGCTCAAATGATCTTCTGCAGACGGCTGCGGATTCGCTTGGGGTCTGGCATCGTCATCGGCACACCCGACATTGACCTTGCCGAATGTTGGCCAAATAAGTCCGAAATCTGTTTCACACCGTTAACTCCGATGGCTTACTTCCGCGGGTTTTTTCGCGGCTTTTGTTTTGTACCTGTTTTGGGGGCGTATTCGCAGAGCCAATTATGTTTTGTGTTTGCATTGCAATAAAGATTGTCAATAGCAAAAGTTAACTGGCGACCATTTGAGCGGGGCATTGGAACCAATCACCCATTAGCAGATGCATCCGACCAGTTGATCTGAATGACTGAAATCTTTTAGATAGCTACATGGTTACCTGTCCCCCCCAGACAGATATTCCCAGGTGTTGCCATGCAACCGTAGACTGCCGCGAATTATAACCTCTCCACTAATTGGGGAGACTTTCCGAGACATGGAAATCTCCGGCTCTTAATTTGATTATGTATGTCTGGCCTGACGTCTGATGTCTGCTCTGGCGAAATGTCTATCAAAACAATTAATTAATCATCTCTCACATATGAGTGGGCATGTATACATGTGTGTGCTATGTACTCGTAGAATTATAGTCACTGGGAAGATGCTGTAATTTGCCCAAGCTAACAGAGTAGCTCGCCCTTACCCCGTCGTAACTCTGACTAACCGGTTTGCTTCATCCAAGTGATGTACGATTTGTTTTGATTACAATTCTCACTGTTTTGTTTTAATGGCCCACTCAAGCTTTGATTTTATACCCCAACAAGCCGAATGGCTGAATTCTACCAGCTTGAAAGCATCAAGAAGTTCAGAAATGCTGAACACCGATTGGGTTTCGGTTGTACTTTAATTGGAGAATCTCACAAACCTTTAAAACATTTTCTCCGCAAGTGTATTTAAAGCTTCGGTTTGGTGCGGTGTGTAAACGAGTTCCAATTGCATTAATTTGGATAAGCTCTTTTTAAGAGAATTAAACACACTTAAACAGAACCCGCATCGTATCGTTTCGGCGTGTAATTAATGTGCCATAACCAAGCAGTCGAGCTGATTCTGAGTCGTGGCCATTAATTAAACCCGATCCAGCAATGGATCGTCGTTGAATTGCTGCGCAAATTTTGACTTTCTTCGGGTCAGTGATCACATGGGAGCCAGCGGGAGAAGTAAACCCCCATCCTGGAGGCCTGTTCGATCATTATGAATGGCTGTGAAGTGCTGACGCTATTTGTTTGTCTACAATTTCGTGAGATTCATTCTGGAAGCAGCAGAACCCAGAGGGGTCTGGGAATTTCACTGACTTGGGCGCTTACAGGTTCTGCTGAAATCATCGCAAAAATAGATAATTGCCGAGTGGCGTCGGTAACTAATGATACTTGTGCCGCGCACATTCAAAGGATGATGATGTCGATATTCTTGCGGTACATCCCCTGCTCTATTTGCCTATAAAAGACGCCGTTCTATTCCGAAACGGCAATAGAAACATTTCTGGACTCAAATATGAAGCAATTCCTGCTGCTGCTGGCACTGGTCGGTGCTCTGGCCCTGGCCCTGGTCCATGGACATCCGCTGGAGGAGCAGCGCCTTACACTGGAGGGCGCCGATGCCCAGCCCGTGAACGATGAGGGAGCCGGCTTTAGGGCAGCACGTCACTTTGGTGGAGGCTTTGGCGGATTTGGTGGCCGAAGAGGTGGTGGCTGCTGCGGCGGAGGAGGCGGTGGATTCCGCAGAGGTGGCGGTGGTGGTGGCTATGGCGGCGGCGGCGGCGGTGCATCTGCTTCGGCATCAGCCTCCGCCTCTGCCTCTGCCTCCAGCTATGGCTAATATTGACATAAACGTTTTGAAATATGCCAAAAATAGATGAAAGTCGAATTGAAATCAACAACAGATGAGAGTTTTTCTGGGTCGGAGGGGGATCTGTTTAGAGGCAGAACTGCGTCACGAGCTGGAACCGGTTGCCGGACGCAAATACATCGGCAGCATCGGCATTATCGGCATGAGGATCGCCAGTTCAATCGCATTCGATTCGAATGGAACCGCAGAATAATATCTACATACTCGTACATACAAAACAGTGCGAGGATTGTTTATCGCTCGAGCCGCGAATTGGCAGTCGCTTGTGAAATGCTATGACAAGGAGCGGCCTTTCTGGAATCGTGTAACTTGTTCTCGAGCCAAACACTAATTGACACGTCAATAAAATAAAATGTGTAGCTATTTCCAGTTGTTTCCCTTCACCCAAGACCTGTAAATCTGTAAATAAACCTTGGGATTCCTCATTTTTGCAAGTTCCAGACGGAGACTTTCACCAGAAGTGTACTCGCACCGCCTTGGGGTAGGGCCACACAGAGATGGGGGATGGGGTTAGGGCCCAAAGATGAATCACGGCCTTCTAATTAGCAAACGCAAATATTTTCCACTCTCGATTGTGGAGATTCATTTCCGTGGAAATATTCGCACTGTCAAAATGATTCATATTTTTATTCCCAACTTTCCTGTACTGGCACTCAATTAGCGCCTCGTCCAAACAATTTTTAGAGTCTGAGAGTTCGCCAGACATAAAGCAGAAAATAGCTCCTGGATAGCTCCTATCGCACAAGTCGCCAGATGATGAAGATGATGATGAAACTATGCTCGGAGGAGGCCAACTCCGGTGGGTGATTCAACAGCGATGGTGCCTACCACAACAAAACCGCAGAAGGCTGATACGCCGCCCACAAGTGGATCGGCGCCTGGTGCTGTCGTCACTGTGGTCAAAAACCGGCCAAAAAGGCTGGACTCTGACGGAAATGTTGTGCGACCTGGCGATGCTAATTGAATTGAAAGATGCACGCCAAATTAAATTAGTGCCCCACTACACTGTCATCACAAATGGGTGCTGGGTGTTGGGTGTTGTGTGTTGGGTGGCGAGTGCTGCCTGGGTCTGTCATAATAATTAGCGCGTAGTGGATAATGCTCGGGCAGATCGCACGTATAAAAGGCAAAGGCAGCCCCAGTCCAGACACAGAACCCAAAGGAACTCCACCACGAGCGGACAAGCCAAAGCCAAATCAAATCCAAAAAAAACAAACAAAGTGATAATCCCAATCTAAGAAAACAACACACCAAAACACAAACACAAACACACACACACATCCAATATGCAGCGCACACTCTCCCTCGCCGTGATCGCAGTGATTTGCCTAATCTTCAGTCTGAACATGACCCAAGGGGCACCCATCAGCAGCAGCAGCAGCAGCGATACAGCGGCCATCCTCTCACCAACAGATATCAGCGGGGAGGCAGTGCGTGAGAAGCGAGCCAGTGCGGATTACTACAGGGGCGACTACTTCATCTGTTATCCCAAGAGCGAGGTATACGCCAATGCCTACGGAGGCGCCCATCGGCGCTCGGATGATTCCGTGGCCAGTCCACCTCGCTACCTGGCCGATGACTCCTTCGAGGCTCGCAAGGATCGCGCCGATGCCAGACGCGCCGCCTACACTGATAGCTACGGCAAATAAACAAACAGGCGACTGGTCGGAATAAACCCACTGGAATTGCACAGGTCTAGCTTTAAGAGTTCTCTGGATAAAATATGTTTATTAATTTATTTAAAAAAAAACAAAAATAAAATGTACATAATATCTACATTGAAACTACATGGTCTACATTGGCACTACATGCATATATACTTGCCAACAACATGTCTCTCTCTCTATAGAGTTTTCTTTCTATCAGAAATATTTTCCCATTATCCGCTCATGCATCCAGATTTCGATTCAGATACCCTGATCAGAAATATACAAAAATCCAGGCCTGGACACGGCCTCAAATGTGTTACATAGATTCTACATGCTGTCACAGATTCCAAAAGTAAAGCATACTTTTGGGCTGAAATAGAGAAGATTTTCATTCATGGAAAAAGGCTTTAAACCCCGACTTCCTATAGGCCCAAAACACCGACTTTCCTCCATATAATATATGGAATTTTTCCTTATTTTCTATTTATGAAAACTGCCCTCTCTACAAAGGGAAACTGGTCTGAGAATTGCAGCCCAGCCGGGCCCCGTAGCACCTTTCGTTTGAGCCGTGCCACCAGTCGTCAGATGACCATTTCACCATCACAATGCTGAGTGGTATGTAATGGATTGGGATGCATGTACACAATGTACTCACCACATGGCGAGTCGTCGTCGTCGTCGTCGCCGTCGTCGTCACCCACCGGAGCAAGCGTAATTTTCTGCAAGGCGATCTTTCGGCTGTTCGATCTTTCGCTGGAGCGCTGAGACATTTCGCACCTTATTTGCTTTCGGCATTAGGCTAAAAGTGTGAATTGTTTATAAAGAGATTACAAAACGAAGACAAAATGATCTGTGGGCCGCAGTGTTCGACTTTTGCTGCCATAAAAACCTAAAAAAAGGCATCACTTTAAAAGAAAACCAACGCCGCTGCGCTGCGGATAATTGCCAAAAGAAAGTTTCCCTAGGTTCGACTCTCCGACTCTCCGACTCACGGCCTCGGCATAAAAGGCCATACCGGGTAGCCGGAAGCAAACAGTCACCCAACGAGATCGCCACCAAAATGACGAACTTTATCGCAAAGAAAGCCCTCCTGCTGCTCTCCCTGCTCCTGCTGGGCACCGTTCAGGCTCAACCTTTGGAGGAGCACCACGGCCGTGAGCAGCGCCAGCTGAAGGCAGGCCCAGGAGCCGCCACCGATGCGGACGTGAAGATGGTGGCCAATGTTACGCCAGCAGCAGTTAACTCCATGCAGATGGGTATGCCGATGAATCAGATGGCCCTGAATGCTGTCGGCGCCCAGTTGGTGCGGTACCCCAACTATCCGGGACTGATGTACGCCCAGGGCATCGCTCAGGGAGCTCTGAATGGATTGAATGGCCTGCAGACGAACATAGCCAACAATTATCCCGCCTATCCAGACCAGAATCTGGTTGGAGCAGCTCCTGGCTTTGGCGCAGCTTCTGGATTCGGTGCCGCCCCAGGATTCGGTGCAGCCCCGGGATTCGGTGCATCACCTGGTTTTGGAGCAGCTCCTGGCTTTGGAGCAGCTCCTGGCTTTGGAGCAGCTCCCGGATTCGGTGCAGCTCCCGGATTCGGCGCAACTCCTGGCTTCGGCTTTGGCAGCTATCCGGGCGCCTCAAGCCCTTCCGCTCTCATGTACGGCAATTCCATGGCGTATCCCAATCCCCAGCTGCCCAACGGATTTGCGCCACAGCCATCGGTGGACAACTTCGCGGCTCTAAACAACATCGTGAACATGGCCAATGTACAGGGACTGGGGGGATCTACCCAAGGATTCTATCAGAATCCCCAGCTGCCAGGACTCTATGCACCCGCCGGAGGCTACATGGATCGCATGAGCATGCAGGGATATGCACCCGCCTTCTAAAGGACTCCACATACTCCCCATTGTAGTAGACTTAAGGGCATATTTATTTTATTTATTTATTTAGCCAATTAAAGGAGCATTTAACCAGAAGGATCTGCCTCTGCCACTGCCTCGTCAGTTGTGCTTCTTCTTTCTAGTTATCCAGCGATAGGGAGGGTACTGGGACTGTGGTTGTGGTCGCTGATTCATGTGGGAGCGACTGGCGATCACCTGACCCTTGCCAACGATCTGCGGAGGAAGTCCGCCAAGGCGCAGGCGGTAGCCGTCCGCAAAGCGCAGGCTCACCCTTTTTCCAGCTGCAACGAGGACGAGCAGCAGCGGCAGGAAGAGCAGCAGGGAGAGCAGCAGCGGATGCCTCATCTTGGACAGAACTTTGGCCAGCAACTGGAGGCGCCTCACGGCCAGCTGCAGCTTTTATGCCACGTTCTGTCCCACTTTTCATCCATCCAGCGGACCAACTCTGGATGAGTGTCAGTCTCTGGGACTCCAGGCTGGAATGTAGGCGAACGGGTTCTGTTGGCCAAACGACCCCTCATATATCACAGCGAATCCCCGAAGAGAGTTGTTGCCTCTTTGCGTGCGCCAATTAAGCAGCAGGTGTCAAGTGCAAGGCTCTTCTCTCTGTCGCCTGTCTCCTGTCTTCTGTCTCCTCTCTCCCAGTGGGAAACCAGTACGTACTCGTGTGGGACATCGGGGCCATTCGGCCAGGCATTCTGAATGGCTGAAAGTGAAATGGAACACGCTGATTCGCACCCGCTGCGCCTCTGACAGTATCCCGTTTCCCGATTTGGCAGGCAGATAAAGATGCGTGCGTAATCTGTATGGAATGAGAACCTTTTCCCACTCTGATTTACGATCTGCACACATGAGGAGACATGACAGTGATTTGTGCACCTCTACCTGCAGACACAAAACCCAAAACACAAAACCATTGATAAGTTCCCTCTCCCAGAGTGTGTGAGTTGTGCTGAGTGCACTGCAGGTAGAGGAGTACTCGAATAGGATTGGGATAATCCGCTAATGGACTGCAATCGTCTGTCCCGCTCCCGCTCTCGTGCAGCAGTGCATATATAGAGCCTTGCGCAGGGGTCAGAGTGCAACAGTCTTCAATCAACCAGGGCACCATGCACATGCAACACTCTTCGGTGCTGCTCCTTCTACTCTCTCTTGTGATACTGCAACAACTCTGTGCTGCCACGCCTTGGTGGCCTTCCAACGATGTCGGCTACGATGCCAGTCTGGATCCTGTGGCCTGGTCCCGCGCATTCGTCCAGGAAAAAGTACGCACATCCCGCAGAAACAAGAACCGTCACCAGCAGTCCACCGGCTGGTGGTACCACACGCCCACTGCTCCCGAGCCGACGGCTGCTCCACTGCACTTTGTGGACCGGAATAACTACAGGAGATTCCTGAAGAGACGCCGCAAGCTGGCGGCACGTGAGCGTTACCTACAGAGGCATTCATATCCATATCAATATTCACATCGTCATTAGGTGCTAAGCGTACATTAATTTCTAGTAATTAGCATATTAAACAGAAGACCAAGAGAAGGCCCAAACAAGCCTGTTTTATTTTTAGCTGGACGGGTTGTCGCGCGCGTCAGCAAAAGCCTGACTCGCTTCGATTAGCAGGAGTCTGAAGATGCTTCCAGGTAGATGGATCGTGGAACCCAAACAAGTTCTCGAATGGGGGGATCGAACTGGGCCACCATATGCCATGCTGCTGTTTGTCTCAGGCAAACAGAGGCCCCGAGACGCTGGCTAAGGTCAAATCCGCTTGCGTTTCAAGAGCATAGACCATTGGCAACATGGTGACATGGTAAACAGATTGGCAAACATGATGTAACTGTCCGCAGATCCAGCGTAAGACATGAGCAAACCTAGCGCCAGTCGCGGACTCTTTTGTTTGCGCATACACTCCAGCGAAGACCCAGACCAGACCAGACCAAAACCTAACCCATCCCAAAAGTCTAACACAATTTGGATGAATGAAAGTACGAGTATATTTGGCCAAGATAGAGCGACCAGCAACAGCGTTGGGCCCGCAATGTTGACACAAGAAATTAGCAGCTCTCCGCACGAGCCCAAGACCAAGACCAGACCACCAGCAGCCGACCATAAGACCATCAGACCATCAGACTAGCAGGCCAGAAGCATCTATATAAACCTAGTTGTCATGGCGTTTGGAATTAAGTACCAGCCCAGCATCAATCACAGCAAGATGATGAATTTCCCCAGCCTCAGTCTCGCCCTCATCGTTGTCGTCTGTGCCGTGAGCAGCAGCTGGAGCCTGCCCGTGGAGTTGGATAGCGGCGCCATCAGTCTGCTGGACCTGGAGGCAGAGCAGCAGCCGGTGGTGGACTTGGAGCCAGAGGGCGAACGTGTGGCACGTGGACTGGGCGGCTTTGGAGGACTCGGCGGCAAGTTTGGCGGCCTGGGAGGAGGACTGGGCGGACTCAAAGGAGGATTTGGCGGCGGACACGGTTTCGGTGGCGGATTTGGTGGTCATGGTTTTGGCGGCAGTTTCGGCAGCTTCAAGGGACTCTTTGACAAGAAATTCCGATAATTTCGATAATTCCGCCATGTCCTAGCTGTAGATCCTGTTTATTTTGTAATAAAATTTGTTTAAGAGAATGTTAAAGTTAAAAGTTGCCCATCTGGTAAATGGGATTGAGTGCGCCATAGAACTGGAGTTCAGGCTCAGGAGATGTGGAGCTCCGCGTTCTGGTCCTGACTGTGGGTCTTGTCAGGGGCTCTGGCTCTGCCATCGGCTTGGGCTTGGGCTTGGGCTGCCAGCGGCTCAAGGCGAGACGCACTTGACTGGCAAAGCTGCGCCACAGCTGAAAGGGTTTCAGCACTGAAAATGGAAGCAGAAATCAGATAGGAATCAGGCAGAAGTCCATCCATTACCAGTGGTTTCCATAGCAAGTGGTGCCACCTGTGGATCGTACTCGCGCTCATCCAGAGCCAAGACCTGGCCGAGAATGGTGCACACCAACAGCAAGCGAGGCAGAGTTAACATTTTAGCAGGTGGGCACCCCAGCGGTCCACTTATAAACACTTTTGTCCGCTTTGTCCGCTGCTTTCTTCGACTCTGAATTCGATTGATTGTAGGCCATAAAGTCCCGACTCGATTGGCTTGCATAACGGTAACATTTATTGAAGTTTATTGAATCACAAAATCACAAAATCAGCATCGCAATCACCCGATCTCACGATCTCTCCTAGCCATAGAAGCCACCGCCGTAGTAGCCTCCTCTGCCGCGGTAGCGGGTGCGTGTTATGACCCGAGTCCGCTGGAAGCCACCGCCATAGCCCCCACCGAAACCACCCCCATAGGCGCCGTAATAGGGTGGCGCGGGTGGTCCAAAGAAGGGCGGAGGCGGGGGCGGCCCAAAGAACTGGCGAACCTTGCGAACGTTCTCATCTGCCGCTTCGGTCTGGTCGGTCTCTCCAGCCTCCAGAAGCTGAACGGGGCTCGGCTCCGCATCCAGATCCGTTTCCACTTCCGTTTCTGTGGCTGCAATCGAAGCACCGAACAGCATCAACGCACTGAGGCAGAACAGTAGAAATACTCTGGTGTAATCCATTGGTAGGGGCAGTCGCACTCGCACAACGACTCGATCAAACACTGAAACTGAGCTCCGATCTGGGCTTTAATTTATAGCCAAACACAGGCCCCTCCAAGAACCCTACCAGAGCCGCAAAACAAAGGCGGTTCATTGGCATTGTTGATTGCCATTTGTGCTGTGGATGGATTCTCATTTTCGTGTTCGTCTAATTTCAATTTTGTGCCGAGCAAGAAGCGGGCGAGCTTAATTATTGGAATAGAAGAGAAAAACCCAAAAAGTTATCTATAGACTTGAATTAGATGAAGTTGACCCAATCTTAATGTGATGATGGAACGAGATGTGAGGCGGAAGTGTCTGCCTTACAGTGGGCCGCAAAGGGTGTAAGTTGATGCAGAATATAATGTGATTAAATGAAGTGTGAAATATATATATCCCTGTTCTGTAGGAGTGTGGGAAAGCGCATACCCCTTTTAAGATCATTTAATTAAATAAAATATCATTGATATTTGTAGCTCTAATAGTGTCAGAGATCTATCGGATCCGCTCTAAGTAATATCAGATTAAACAAGTCTAGCAAAATTTCAATCTACTCCAGTGGTTGGGTTGCCCAACGTTAACCACTGTATCTATGTCTGTATCTGTATTTGATGGCTTTTTGTTTGCCACTTAGATCCCATTCGCATCGCTTTGCGAGACATTCAGTGGGCAAACACACGGCAGAAAGACCATTCCAGAAATATCACCAACAACAACCAGCCCGTTTAAGTGGAATATGCAATCTCATCAGATCTGTTGATTCCAAACACTCAGAAAATGAAGCTCGTTTTTTTCATTCGTTGTTTATTTATTGTTTACACTTGAGAACCAGTCAACCGAAGAAACCGCCTTTAAATTTGGCAAATCCCACGGCGCCACCTACGAATCCACCACCGCCCAAGCCTCCACCGCCCAAGCCACCTACTGGAGCGACTCCCAGGCCATTGCCATAGCCATAGCCGTAGCCATAGCTGGGGATCGCCTGGATGGTCGATATAACCGGCACAGTGGTGATCACGGGCACTGTTTGAATCAGGGGAACCGTTTGAATGACTGGAGCAGCCGCCACACCACCGCCACCGATAAAGCCTCCCCCCACTATGCCACCGCCTCCTATGCCGCCAATGTGCCGGGTCCTCCTGACAAGATCCGTGTGGCTGTCGCCGCTGGCAATGATGGGTGTGGACGTGACCGAAGCAAGCGCCAAGACGAGCGCCAGGTAGACCGTCTTCCACAGCATGGTGCGATGGACTGTTTTGCCTGTCGCGGCACCTGGCCGGGTATTTATGCAAATTAATTAGTGTCCACTTCCACTCGGTCAGCCACTCGGCTTGGAACTGTTTGTGCAACCAATTCACAGATCGGGCGCCGAAAATCCCCAACATGACAGCGGCCAGCACTGTTGCTTGCTGATTCTAGCGATGCTCATGGATGGGTTTACCCTCTGGGCGGTTCGCACCTCGTCATCTGCGTCATCATTGCCACAACATCGTGAAGGTCGGGGTACACACGACCTGCTACACGTACCTTCGTGTGCATAAAACACCAGACAGAGTCTTGTCTCGCGTCTCACAACGTATCTGACCACGCGACAAAGATGAGGTTCGATCTGCAATTACTGCTGCTGAGCATCTGCTCCTGGACGGTCAGTGCCCACTCTCTGGTGGGTGGTGGAGTGGGAGGAGTGGCAGCCGCTGGAGTTGGCGGGGGATTTGTGCAGCAACCGCCGTACATCCAGCAAGTGCCCATTGTGCAACAAGTGCCCGTTGTGCAACAGATTCCCATTGTGCAGCAGCCACAGCCGCAGGCCCTGGGACTGGCCGGTGGTGGCCTGATTGGAGGAGGAGGGATCGGCGGAGGCGTTGGCGCAGCAGCTGGCTTCGGACGCTATCGGGAGAGCTACCGTATTAGAGGTCGCGGCCTTGGTGGTGGATTCCGTGCTCGCTACGACAAGAAGATTGGCGGTGGATTTGCTGGCTTCGGAGCGGCAGCAGGAGCCGGCGCAATAGGTGGAGCAGGTGGCGGTCTCCTAGGCTAAGTTTTAACTCTTTTTAGAATAAATTAATAAATAGAAAATAATTATTTTAATTAAAATAAATCTTTGAAACGCAACAAACAAAAATAAAATGGAAGTTTCGTGTTTGCGGATGACTCCTCCGGGGCATCATCTTCAGGAGTGTATTCTCGGTTTAACGAGTCATGTGGAACTGTTTGTGGCCCCACTTTTGCACCTTCCCAATGGACTTTACGACCCACATGAAGAATGTGAACCATAGAAAGAAGCCGAAGCCGATTTTCTGCTGCACTTTTTCCTTCCAGCCACCCGATCCCACAATCCCCTGCACCTTCGATTCGTGCATGTACGGAAACTGCGGTTTCGTTGGGTATACGAGGGGATCCCACCCTTGGGGATCACCTAAGAGAGGCTTAACGACCACATGAAAGCGGTAGATGCGCTTGCCATCTAGCTGCATGGCGTGATAGAGTCCCATTCGGTCGGAGTAGCGTAGATAGATGCCCTCCGGGGTCTCGCGCATCCGCCGAATCCTGCCCACGGCGTGGAACGACTTCAGGATCTCCGCGGTGGCCTGTCGTGGGAAGCCGCTCACCTCCACCCACGTGACCGGAATCCCAGTCGCACCAAAATCTGTAGTCTCAGTCGAGGCCCCATACTTGCGATCCGTGAAGAAGAGACCCTGGGATTTGGGGCCACTCTGGGCTGGAGGCTGACGATACTGAACGGTATGGCTATTCAGTATCTGGGGTGGTGAAGCGTGGAGCCAATCCCTGTGGCGCTGCTGCGGCAACTGCTCAGTCGGCCATTTAGGAACACTGTCCGCTTGTGAAGCGCTCACTTCCAACTCCATGGGGCTTGAAGTGTCGACGATCTGGCCGCAATCTTTAAATGATTCATGGATGGAACCAATGTGGTAGACGTCCTCGTAGTACATCCTGAAGGCTTCACAAAACGCAGTGCAACAGAAAGTACAATTTGTGAAAAGTAAAGAACCGAATTTTGAAACAATTTGGAACTAAATTAATAATTCGATTTCCAAAGACACTTGGGAAAAATTAAAGTTTGAATCCCCATAGCTGGGACTTGACGTATGTCAAGGACTACTATGTCTAGATTTGTGATGAATGTGAATTCGACAGGCAGGGAGATGAATTGGTCTATGCTTTAAATAAAACTTTATTTATCTTTTATTTTTGTCGTACTCGTATGTATGTGTATAAAGTATGGTACAGCATATGTATAATGTTTTCGTTTAGTTAACAATTTTCGGGAGCCAAACAGGAGCGAATGTCTTGTTGCTGCAGCTCTTTCCGTTTCCGTATCTGTTCCACATGTGTCTCTCACAAACTACGTTACCTAGGGCCCTCCCTTTACTGTGGGATTCTATTTATATATATATATATATATATATGTATGTATTTTTTATGGTATAATAATCTTTCTAGGCGTAGGACATACACAATACCGAAACTATTCCCGTACGTTCGTACACACACACACAAACATTTTAAATAAGTTGGCTAGCTAATCGTAATCGTACTCAAACATTGAAACAATAAGCCCTGCAATAGCCCAATCTCTCTTATAAATAAATACACTTGTAAAACAATATTTCTGTTCTGTTTTCGTTTTGTTTTGGGCAATAAATACTATTGTAAACAGCAAAAGCATAAGGGAAAAGCCCACCACAAACAGCAGCGTGTGCTCTGTGGGTCTGAGTGTGAGTTTTTGTTTGCAGAATGTTTGGAAGCAGCTCGAAATAAGCAACGAAAAATTGCATTTAGCGGGAGGCGGGTATGTGTGTGTGGGTTCTGTTTATTGCATAACATATCTATAATAAATAACATTGCATGTCCGCTTGCGGGATGGGCAGGGGGGTGGTCTACTGACTGTTGGGCCGACTCGAGTGTACGATCTAGTTTCAATTGTGACAAGATACACATATCTCTCTCTCGCTGTTCTCTTTTATCATTTCTTTTGCATTCTTTTTTTTTTTTTTTTTTTTAGTGCAATAAATCAACAAATAAATAAATACATGCACTTACAAGTTACACCTAAGTTACGCGATTGAGGGGAGGGTGAGGATGTGAGGGTAGTGGATCAGAGAACTAGTCCTTGTAATCTTATCTCGTCTGCCTATATTCCATATATTGTTCTCCACTCGTACTTCCTGCCTTTAGACACCAGAGTCGTAGACTCGTATTTATGCTCTATGCAATAATAGTAGGATTTTCTGCTTATATACTATTTAACCTGAGCCCGAATGTTTTGCAAGAATTCATAGTACGATAAACTCGATTCACTGCGATCGTCGGTTAATCTCTCAATAAACTGACCCTTGGCCGTGCTCGTGTCTCTGTTTTTTGTTTTGGAAGAGGAGCGGAGAATGCATATGGTTAGAAACTGACTATCTTTGCGCTGGGTTTCAAACACTCACCTGATTATCTGTACCAGCGGCGAGTAGGGTTTATCGTAGTTCAGGCGCAACAAGAAGCGCTGCAGTATGTCGTACTCGGCACTCACAATATGTGGCAGTCCATAGACATAGTCGCCCAGCTCCGCAGTTGAGCTGATGCCTGAAACCGAGCAGAGCAGAGGATTAGCCCCTGAAACTTCACCCTAGAGTGACACAATATCTTACCCAGCACTGCCTCCAGGACATCGGGTGGCACATTGAGGCCGACATAGAGCATTATCAGTTGACCACAGTCCATCAGGAATATCGAACGAGAGTCCAGGCTGTAAATTGATTGATTAATTAGCTGTCCACCTGTCCAGATATTCGCTCCTCAAACTTACTGCTCCGCAGATAATTGCAGGCGCGGCAACTCCGGCAGCGGATCCTCCTCGTCGTCTTCTTCAGTCGTGCTCGCATTGGAGTTGCGAGCATGGTAGATGAGCCCATCGATCTTGTACAGCTCCGGATAGACGAACTTCATCAGTTGATCCAGTGGCAGCGTCTTCATGCAGTCCATGGCATACACACGATCATCCAGACGCGTGCTTGTTCCCACACGGAAAGCAGGCTGCAAAAAGGAAAAGTTCCACTAAACGACTTCGGCTGGGAATTGAGGCAAATACATACATGCTTGAGGAGCCCCAGGATGTAGAGGGGCAGCAACGCCAGACTGCGGGGAGCAATCAGTTGGCCGGACTGTCCAGAGGGCAGATTTTGTGCAATCTTAAATGCATTGAACACGTCGATGGTTGCATTGATGAAGGCGTCGCGAGCATCGGACAGATTGGAGGCTATTGACCGGTCCACGGCCATCTTGGACAGCAGGCCGATAATCGCCTCGGTGTCGGCCGAGTGCATTACCTCGGGTAGCGACGACGTCACCGGCAGGCACACCGTATGCACCCGAATGCGTCGCTCGCCCTCGCTGTTCGTGTAGAGCAGCGCTGCCTGGAAGCAGATCGTCTTCACGTCGGTGAGGCTCTCCTCGTACGAGATTTGCATTCCGTAGCCCGCATCCGGATTCACGTTGGGCAGCGACAGCAGATCCGTGGAGCGCACAAAGAAGTTGCCGTGGAATGTGTGTACCTGCAGGCCGCGAGTGCAGCGGATGCGCATCACCGCCTCGAAGCCGATTTTGCGCGTCAGATAGCGCTTGAAGCACATCCTGAACGAGTCCACCATATGCTGCTTGGTCTTCTGGTACAGCGGGAAGTGGTGCACACAGCCGCCGCTGTGTTTGCTGATGCCAGCTGCAAAAGGTGTTTAGTGATTAGATTAATGATCGGATGCAGGAGGAGTCCTAGAGTCCTGGAGATACTTACAAATGGTCGCCATGTCGCTGTACTGCTGGTTCATCAGAAAGAGATCGCAGGCAATCTGGTAGCCAGAGCACTCCAGCGCAAAGCGCTTGTAGAAGTCGGTGGCCGGATTCAGGTGAGCCACATCCTTGGCCGAGCGATTGTTGGGATCCTCGCGCGGCTCCAGAGAGCCGGGTCCCTTGTTGGGAAGGCACGCTTGAAAGACGGTGATGCGTCCACCAGACGACTGCTGCGATGGCAAGACGGTGGAATGTCATCTGATTCTCAATAACCCCGAATTCTACGAGTACTTACCATCAGCTTGAAGGCCACCTGCAGGGCGGAGCCCAGAGCGGAGCCGGGATCATGTGTGTGGGCGAATCGTTTGGGCAGCAGCTTGAGTAGATCACGCACCAGCTCTTTGCACTCCTTGAGGTTCACCAGGAGGCTGTCGGGACGCGGCAGGAAGGGCTCGTCAATGTCCAGCAGCGTCATCTCGTGCGGCTGATTCAGACCCTCGGCCATGCTGTAGAAGTGCACGAAGCTGTCGTAGCAGATGAAGCCCACCTGGGTCCGTGCATCGCCCGGCATCTCGTCCAAATGCCTGTTGAGCACCGAACATGCCGCCTCCAGGTAGCCGCTCTGCTGGGCAATGATCGACACGTCGAAGAGGAACAGATACATGGCCGGCTGCGGCGGACGTAGCATGTACTCCGACGGCGCAATGAACTCAATGGTGCTGGAGCGCACCTCTGGCCGTCGGGTCACATCGCCGTAGGTCTTGGTGGCCGGATCGAACTGGAAATCTTCGGGCACTGAAAGAGAGAAGCATTTTATGTTGTTTGTTCTTGTTGCGAGATAAGCGATTCGATGCGATTGTTACTTACATTCGTTCACGCGATAGCAGAGATTGCACTTCCACATCTTGCTGTCCACGAAATAGACAAAGGGATTGATGTACGTGCGGCACAGCCGGCAGCGCACAATGTTGATGCACTGTATCACGGGCAGGTTCTGTGGAATACGAAATATGAGTTGAAGAATTCAGATTTAGCTTCTAGGGGACACTCAAACTTACATTCACATCCCGAAACGGATGAATCACTATGCCCAGGGGCAGGCGCGACTTCTGCAGCAGCGAATTGCTCTCGGGGATTTTCGTGACGGTGCAGCGCATGATGCTGGGACTGCAGTTGATTGACTCGTGGAACTGATTGTGCAGCACCACTTTGGGCGCCGGCAATGTGGCCGGCGAGAGGATGTGTCTGTTCTGCATCAGGTCGATGGTGTCCTGGCCCCAGAGCCGACTAAATCCCTGCTGGGCAACATTCAACGGAACCGGCGCGCCAAGCTGCGGGGGTCCGGACGTTGGCTGTGGCTGGGCGTAGGGATGCTGCCCTTGGGGCTGCATCGACGGAGGCGGCGGCTGCGACTGGTACTGCAAAGGCGTGCTGCTGGGCTGAGCTCCGAACATGCCAGGGGGCGGTGGTGGTTGTTGCTGCTGTGGTAGCGGCGGTTGATGCAGCGGCTGCTGGTACGCCTGGCCATACTGATACTGCTGCGGCGGAGCGAACGGAGCTGACTGTGCCTGATTCTGTGGCTGCTGCGGAGCGAACGGCGCTGACTGTGCCTGAGGCTGCGTCTGTACTGGAGGCGGAATTCCAGGCACGGCTGCCTTTGGGAGACTTGGCGGCCAGGCAGTGCCAGCTCCAGGCGGCGGTGCGGCCCTTTGCAGATTGTTGTTCTGCTGGTTTTGGCTCTGCTGGTCATTGCTGCCAGGCGTGCCACCATACATGATCCTTTGGCCTGCCTGCGGCAGGGGCACTGGCTGGGCACCACCCACCGTTGGACTTCCGATCACCCTCGACGCACTTGGATTCAGATTGGGAGGCTTATTCGCCATAAAGGGGACCCCAGCCGTGGTGTTCGCTAGTGGCAGCTGCTGGTGTTGCTGCTGTGGTGGCAACTGCTGTGGACTAGCGGATGGTTGTCCATTGGTCCGATTCAGATTCATTTGGTGCATATTGCTCGTCAGGCTGGCCACAGATGGGGGCTGTTGGGGTCGAGCTGCTGCTGCTGCTGGGGGAGCTCCGTGCGCATATTGGAGACTGTGGGCCATCGGCGCCGCACCTCCCGGCGGAGGAGCACTCATCAGGCCAGGCGAGGCGGTGCGCGAGGAGTTGGCGCTGGGCGCTCCGTTGCTGCCATTCGTTAGAGACGTGGGTCCATTGGCGGTGGGCGGACGAAAGTGAGGCGGCAGAGTGCTGGGCGGTAGCCCCCCATTGTTGGCACTCGTCGAGGAAGGCGGCAGAAACTTGTTCACAATATTGCTGTTGAACTGCAGAGGCGGCGGCAGACTGCTGTTGCTGCCGATCCCCGGATACTGCTGGGCTGGTGGCTGCTGTTGCTGTGGCTTCTGCTGGAGATATTGCTGTGCTGATGCTGGTGCCGCTAGCGGAGGCTGCTGTTGATGCTGAACTGCTCCGGGCAGACCGTTGACCAGACTGCTGCCCTGGTTTCCGTTTGCAGGGCCGGCGGCGGGTGGCACAAAGTTCTGGTTATAGGCGGACATTCTGCTAATGCATACGTTCTGAAAGCAGAGAGAAATCTGTCAGTTGTGATCTTTAGCCAGTGATTGTGCCAGTATCTTATCTCCCTGAAGGTTAGTTATTGTCGCAACAAATTGGCCCTAACAGCGGGGGCTGCTCTCTTGCCCGTTACCCGCCGACTGTTTTGCTATCTTATCGTTCAATGCCAGAATACGAATTACATGCAGACTGGGAAAGCTCTAGGGCGAAACGTGCGCGGCTGATAACTCACTATAATTCGGAATTCCAATTGGAACGGAATCAATGGAATGGGGCAGAGGAAACCCTTGCTTGTGGCCTCTAATTGCAGCGCTCATATCAGAGTGCAATATGGAATGCGTAACGAGCTTCTTCTTCGTCTCCAATTGCCATCAATATTGCTTTTATGGGCCCATTGTACACTCTCTATACGCAAGCAGAGTATGTGTGTGCATACCGATATGTCTGTGTGTATGCTTTATAGTGTCTGCGTCAACATTTATTTGGATATAAGTTGGAAATTTGTATCACATTCGTTTATTTAAACAGCTTCGACGACGCGACGGCTGGAGACGTGAAAAAGCTCCGATTAAGCGTGTTATATGCTATGTGTGTGCTTGACCTCGGAGCAAGCGATGATCGACGACGATGCTTGCTAATAAGCAGGTGGGCCAAAGCCCACTGGCACAGCACAGGCTCCACTCGGTGCAGCGGGGAAGTGTTTGCACAGCCGTATGACGACCAAGAGAGCGGAAGCAGGAAGCAACTGAATTTGGAAGCTTGAAACTCCAACTGGTCGCTCCGTGAAAATCACTTTCGTTCACGCGGCAGTGAATAAAACAGATAACAAAGCAACATTTTTGATGACGTGCCTACCTACCACCTACCGCGCTGCCATGCCCTGCCCTGCCCTACCCTTTCTTTCTGTCTCTGGATAGTCATTCGCCCTGCACACCACCCACTCGTTCGGGCTGTTGCTACCGTTCAGAAATTATAGAACTATTGGCGCATACGATTGAGTAAACTTTTACCCATCAACTTTCTGCAGGCCCCAAGAGGCATGCAACGCCACAAGCACACACACACACTAACAATTGGGCGCAGGCCAAAGAAAATCGCGTTTTTCACTAAGTACTTGACCAGGCAGCAGCAGCACTTGCACTTTGTAGTTGTCTCTTCTTCTTCCGCCCTTGATTGGCGATTTATCGCTCTTTGCACGCACGCACCGTACGCAGGAGAACTGCACTTTGTTCGTCTTTTTCGTAATTATTTTTCAAATAGGGTTTTGTTATTTACAAAGGGGTGGGGTCCCTGCACTGGATCTCTGGTTATTTATTAATTGGCAATTATTTCCGTGAAGGCGAACAATTGAAATTTTCCTGGCTGGGGCTTTCTATGACGGCACAGAATTGCGCTCTCTCTTTAATGTACTCACTGGCGTCTTTCGCGTTTGTGGGGAAGTTTGTAAACGCCAACGTCGGTGAGCTTGCTGTTAAACAAACTTGCTGTGCAACGCTAATCGCAAATTACAAAATTTTTAAACTTTGCGAACCAGAAAAGGAACAAAAAATTTTGAGGCCACGTCAATCAGTGTGACCGTCTGTTTTAAAAATCATCATCGGGGTTGAAGAGTGTGGCAGGGAGTGCTGTCCTTTCAGCTTATTTAAAGCTATAGCTAAGGTTTTTGTGGAGTGGGAAAACACACATTCGAACCAATTACATTAATTTAAATTTTAGTTAAAATTGTAATACACCTTATTCCTGCTATTAAATTTGATATATGTAGCAGGTAGCGCAAAAAAGGCAAGTGTTGTAACAACTACGATTTGGTTTTTCAATATAGAAATTTCATATCAAAAAGCGAATTTATTTTCGGGCCTAGCCATTCATTCGAATAAATATAGCTTTCTTTTATTTTGAAATTCTGGCAGCACTGTTGGAAGGGCTGCCACACAAGCACACATCAGCTGTTTGACAGCCATATGTTCTGTGTGTGCACAGTGGGATATGGGGAACTAAAAATTTTGGTTAAATCCACATTTCATAGGTCTTCAATGAAAGAGATCTATAGAAAATGGTATATTGCTTTAAGAATAAATTGTTTTATTTGCAGTAATCGTATCTGGGCTCCATTACAATCAATTTGTTAAAGTATTTGCTCTATTAAATGTTTAACATTTCGGTTTCAAAAGGAATTCGAAAAAATATATACAAGTTCTGTAAGTAACGGTAACGGTTGGACAGGCTATCAATTGCTTGGTCCAATACCGCGATTGTTGTTATTCCTCTGGGGAAACTACATTTGTTATCCTACAGAGTTTCGACTATTTTCGTTAAATATTATTTTAAATATCGAAGCGTATATTTTGTATTCGATTCACTTTTCGTTAACTTTGCGTGGAGTATTCGGTAGCTTTGCAGTGGGTGTTTTGTTTGTAGGTCTTTAGGAGAGTTGAAAATTAAAAGCTAGCTAGGATAGTTCATTTCAAAAATGTAAGTTTAATTTAATCGTATTACTGTATAGAGGTGTATGTGTGTATTTCGTTGGAGTGTTAGCAGCGGGCTGTTAGTAAAGCTTTATTCATCATTGTGACAATTGGAATTCGAAACATAATACTAGTAGAGGTGTGCGTTTATATATAATATAATCGTATTTCATTTAAAAACTATGCAAGTGGGACAAATCATTATCATTGTGCACTGTGTTTCTTGTGGTGTGGTGTGTGCTAGGTTGGGTCTTGGAAACAAGCGTTAGATGCAGCATCGATGCAGATGCATGCATGCATACATCATTCTTATCAGTATTGTATTTCGTCTATAGCAGAGTCTTTTATTTCAAAAATAGAATTTCTATCCTTAATTCTCTATCGTTCGTAATCTACAGCATTTGATATATCCCACTATTGGTTTTGTTTTCCGTTTCTGTTACCTTTAGTTAGTTTGTTAGTAATGTAAAAGGTATTGAATTGGTGTTATTTGTTTTGCAGTTTACTGCGATTGCCTTTGAAACACACTAGTCCCTAGGAAATAATAATTGTTAATTGTGTTGTGTAGTGGGTAGTGTGTTGATAGTTTCTAGTGAGTGTCCGCCGCTCTCAAGTATCACTCAAGTATTGCAACCCGTTTCAGAAGAGCTTAGCTTTCCTATTCGATCTATCTATCAATCCGTCGGTTCTGCTGCCTTGGATTATGCTTTTCTGCTTTCTGTTTTCTGCTTCTGGGTATATTTTATTTACAATTAACAGACAGACTTTAGAGAAATCTGCTCCGACATTCTGTTGCTTCATCGTTTCCTGCATATGTTACGTTGTTACTGACGATCAGTGTTCAGAGGTTTGCGCACTTGTGGAAATTATACATATAGTTGAGGCTCGTTCTTGATATGAATCATATATGTATATATGGTATATGTATAAACAATTTTGGTGTTGCTCTTGATGTCTTATCTGCCGCCTCCAGTTGCATGCATTATCTTCTGGCCTCCTTCTCCTGCAAGTACATGCGCTGACTCAGCGACTTGGCATAGATCCAGTTTTCGCCCACGGGCTTGAAGTGCTGCATGGCAGGGATACACATACTCAATGTCAGAGATTGGCAATATAAATGGGGATTGGATTTGATTACCTTGTGCTCCCAGGCCAGGTCGTATTCCTTGCGCACCTTGACTTGATCGCGCTGCTGCTGTTCCACAACAAATTTGGCATTGGTGGCACGTTCAATGTCGTTGAACCTGTGGGAGGAGCATTGAACGCAAAGAGAGAAAGGATTACTTGGTGTCCGTGTTGGGGGGTTAATTGATTGATTGGGTTATTGGTGATCTGTTTACTTGAGTCCCGCTGTCACTTCCTTCCAAACGCGTCGCGATTCGTATTCATCCTGCTCAACGATTGGTCGAACTTGTTTCTTAAATATTGGTATGCGATTTACGTCAACGAATACTTCGGTTTTCTAGAAAATTCAAGAGGCACACATACACGGGTCACTAGGCGATATCGACAGCAGTACTCAGAGCGGCTCTAATACTCAACACACAACATATAGAATATGTCATACAGGTACATATGTATTTTTGTATGTATGTAGCAACAGTTTGAAATGTACAACAGTTTTGGACAGACAGGCAGGAGGAGTAGTATATGTGGCTATACGAGCACATGGTTAAGTTAATATTGTAGTTGGATAGAGGCAGTTGGAAGTATTAATTTTCTAGATAAACAAAGTAAATACACAGGAAATGCACCCAAACTATTTAAGAGAAAAGCAGAAGAACCGTGAAAAGTAAGTAGAGGTACAGGTACAGGTACATTAACAGTTAGTGGTGGTAGAGGGTAATGTAGAGGGTGTAGAGGATGTGGCTGCCAACTCGTGGGGTTGTTTCTTGCAGCATTTTAGGCGCAGTGTAGGCATAAAGGGGGGATAAGTATATAAATAGGTTTCAACATTTACAAAAACAGTATGAGAAAGTACAGTAAATACACGACTACATACACGACAACACAGGCAACAAGAGGCAAGGGTCAACTTACATTCTTATCGTGCCATTTGGCCTCCATCATGCCGCTCCACTCGCCGGCTATGGACACAAAGGGTTTCTTTTCATTGGGAGCATAGACCTGCGAATAATCTCAATCATTAACTGTCCAACTTTAGGCACAGGCAAAGGAGCAAACCTCAGCGGAGACCTTGTTGCGTTTGCCTCCATAGAAGGGCTTCGTGAGGAACTCCACGTTGGCATGGTAGCCCGTCTGTGGACATTTGATTTCCACCGAGCCGCCCAGCTCGATCCAAGGCACCGTTAAAATAGATCTACGGGAAGAATACGCTACGTTGAAGAGCAGGCAGACAGGGAGAATAGAAATCTAAGCACTTGCCTCCCGTAGCCATTGGGGAAGGTTACAATATACTCCTCGCTGCGGTCCACCAGGGTGACGACGCCCTCGCCGATGTTGTGCACGCCAATGGAGAGGCCCAAGAACTTTGACTTGGTCCAGACGTGGGCCGCAAAAGTAATTTTCTTATTATAATGCTCAGCATAGAAGGCCGAAACTGCAATGAGACGGCGCTCGGTTATACGGGCATTCATTTTGGGTGCATTCGGTTCTCTTACTTGGCGGATGATGGGACACCTGCTCCGCTAAGAAGGTTAGCTGATTCCGTCGGCACCAGGGCACTGGACCGTCCTGCACCTCGTTCGTGTCCTGAGCTTCGTCTACAAAATGTATCCTCAGTCAACTGAAGATTATCGCTTGGTGGATTCTGGCTACTTACCGGGAATATCCCAGTGGCATTGAAAGACTTCACCCAGTATGGGATTGTAGGGCTTCTTGGCCACCGCACTCTTGCGTCCGGCGTGGTAGGCGCTCAGATACCAGCGGCAGACCTGGACAATGCGATCGCGCGGGTCGTCCAACTCCGAGATTCTGAGGGTTAAGTCAATCACTTAATATCTGAATCATACGGGGGGCAAATGGCTTTAACTCACTTGAGAAACAGATCGGGATGGGCAAAGTAATCGGCATACATCTCCAGCAGGGAGCGACGCTCCAGGATGAAGGTGGGCAGTACCACCTTGGTCAGGTCCATGCCAATCTTCACCTGCGACAACAGATGGGTGATCATCGAGCCGTGCGCCTCCATGCTGAGGTCAGTCTCCTCCTCCTCTTCGTACAGGGCATCGTAGTCGATGCCATTGTCGTAGCTGTCGCTGCGCGAGCTCATCGAGGTCTTGGCCGACTTGGTTGCCCTGCTCGCCACCGCATCCCCATCCGCAGCGGTCTCCTCGATTTCCGGCAGTGTGCTGGCAACCGTCTCAGTCGACGGCCCAGTGGCCTCCCCATCGTGGGTCGGCGATGTGGGCTCCGCGAATCCCCGCGTGGCGCTGCAAAGTGAAGACGAATCCGAACTTGTTGATTAAGGTTCGGGCGGCGCTTGGGTATAAATTATGCGCTGACATAAATCCTCCACCATGATGTCAGGGTTTGCGTCACATGGGAGATGACAGCCTCCTGCCACCCCTCCTCATTCTCCTCTGCTGTTGCTTGCTTCATTTACAATTTATAAAACGAAACACTTACAGCGACCTAGCGGCACACAAGCATCCACACAGATACCACACACACACACACACACACACAGAAGCACACAGACACACACTGCTATAAATGGTGGCACATGCACATGGTGGGGGTCACTGCTCACCTCAGGCTCACGCGTCGGACCCACTTCTTGAACATGGCGTGGGAGGCAGGCTGCTGCTGCTGATTCAGCTTCAGTGCACCAGTCGGTTTACAGACTCAAGGTGCATCCGCCTCGAATGGAAAACAAACGGAAACGAAAGGCAGGAAAGCCGCTGCTAATTTGTGTGTTGCCTAGGCCATTTCGGCCATTGCTAAAAAAAACTATTGAAAATGCCCGTCGTCGGGAGGGTTAGGCGTACGGTGGTGCACTACACCACGCGCTGCGAGCCGATGACGAACGCAAACTACAACTGACAGGACGATTTCACGGACACAGACGCAGTCACGGATACGGACACAAACACAAACACAAACAGAAGAAGACGAAGGCAACGTCGGGCGACAAGCCACCACAAAAACGACGACGAAAGCTTCGCCGCGTCAGCTGTGTTGCCACGAAGGACCCTCCTGTCGGTGGGCAGGAAGGCAGACAGGGTCGGTGGGGGAATTGTATTTATTATTTACACGCGACTTGGCCGAAATTACAGACTTCGCCGGAACTGCTGCAACTGCGACGAACTCCCAAAGGGGACGTCAAGCATTGCATTCTGCAGGTACTCCCCAGGCGCATGCGTCGGCCAACTGAAGGAACAGAGTAGCGGCATATGTATGTTCCCTATGTGAATGGGGAGGAAGAGGAGGCAAGGCAATGGTTCAATGGCAGCCCAATGAATGCGTAATTTGAGTACGCATCATGCCAACCGGCTGCTGCATCGCATCTCTGATAGATGAAGCCCTTCCAGAGGCAGTCGTCAGCAAATTTGATGTCGCTTTGAGAGGGACTTGTTTCTTGTTCTACTCACCAGCCAATCGGAGAACTGCCCAGGCTGGTAAAGGGATCATCGTAGGCATCGTAAAAGTCCTCTTCACCTTCGCTGCTCGAGTAGGAGGTCTCGGGCACAACCAGACCCAGGGGCGCTGTGGTGGCTGAGAATGCAAATCGGAATTAGCAATAGACTGGCAATAGAAGCTTAAATATAACTCGAAGAGCACTCGACCAGAGGCGCACTTGACCCTGAGCTAATTGCCCAACGAGATATTTACAATGCTAAACAAATTAGTGGCATTCCAGCACTTGACCACTCACCATTTTCCGTGATTGAATCATCATCGTCGTCCCCTGGCTCGCCCTTGCCGGCCAACACATCCTTTGGCAGCCCAATGCCACCGCCGACGATGGAGACACCGCCGCTGCCCGAGGAGGTTGTCGAGGGGGCCGCCTGGGGACCGTTGTATATGCCATTGATGGGATGGGCCATGTTTTTGGCAATTTGTAGGCTAACAATCGAGTGCTTGATGTGATCCAGCATGGCCTGCACAAAAGGAAAAGGGGTTTATTCGCTTTCTTTGTTTTATATTTTGTAGACAGGCCTGGCCAATCGATTCGCCTTCGCCAAAGTTTGGCAAGGAAATGAGCAGCGACTGTGGGACAGCTGGATAGCAGACACAGACACAGAGCCATAACCAGACCACTCTGCCAGCTGCTGGACGGGTGTCATTCTCCCAAGCTCCCAGGCCCATAACCCTGAACTTGCATTTGAAATCGATGGTGATGGGGAGGGGATGGGGATGGGGAGGGATATGCCTAACTAGTGTGCCTTGGGGAAAGTGATACAATATAATTCTGTATACACTCGTACATGTACTAGTAGATCGTCGTAAATTCGTAATTCGAGTAAATTCCAATCATTGTTAGCACACCTACATTGTTATACACTATAACTACATATATAGTGTCTGAGGATTCGGCGAAATGAAGAATGATTCGGACATTGAGCTGCTTGATCCGTTCAGGCACAGCATGGATGAGGTCAGCGACCGTTTCAATGAATACATAGACCGCCAGAAGAAAAAGGACCTGCGACTCAAGATGGCCAGCCTCAAGCTGCAGACGAATTTGTGTGCGCTGAACTTCGATATGATTGGCATTCGACAGGACATGGAGAAGTTGGAGCGAGGGCAGGAGCAGCACCAGCAGCTGCAAAGGGATCTCATGGTGCGCCTGGAGCCCGATGCCATTAAAGTAGCTCCTGCAGCAAATGAGTCCCCGAAGGTGGAGACGCAGCACAGCCCAGCAGCGGAAGGAAAGGACGAAATCGTTTGGATTCGATTCGGCACAAGCAAATGCCCATTTCAGAACTGTCAGCGCCAAGTGGACAGCCAGCTGCTTCTGCTGCACTACCTCTTCGACCACGAGCAGGAAGAGGCTGGCGTCCAGGAGTGCCACCGCTTGATCGAGGGCCAGCGCGCGGTGTTGTCCTTTCAGCCAAATAGCTGCCCCTTTGGGGTGAACCAGGTGCTGGGTCTGCTTGCCTACTGCGGGTCGATGGAACAGCAGTTCGTACAGCAGAAGGGGCCACTGCAGAGAAAGGTCTACAACAGCTTCCTGCCGCAGCAGCACATGCACCTGGAGAGCGACGTTCCCGTTGTGGTGCTCATTTGCAAGACGAAGCCCAGTTCCATGCTCTCGAAAACATGTCAGGCGCGCCACAGCCAGCTGCAGGACAAGCACAAGGATCACATTTTCGTGATGTGGCTGGTCACGCCCGAAAACAGGCGCAAGTTGAATGCCACGCTGTACTTGAGCGGTCGCGATGCCGCTGTCACGTTCGGCAGTGTGGTTCGCGTGCGGCGGGTCAACCGGAGCCAGGACACGCACTGCTTCATGCGTATGGATACCAACTACTGGCGACTGACGTATGCCGACATGCAGAAGCTCTCAAACGACTTTCGCGACGAGCTACACCTGGAGATCTGCCTCACAGAGGCACCGTCCACATAGCTTCATGTCCTTCCTGTGCGTACTTACACTGGCGTTGTCCTGTAGCGCTTTGCATTTGGCCTGCTCGTCAGGGTCGCTCAGATCCGCGATGCGCTTTTCCAGCAACTGTTTTGAGTGGAAAAAAAAATGCCGTTTAATTACATCATTCGTTTGCATTACGTGGGAAAGTACACAAGGGAAGGGTGGAGAGAGGACAGACAACTCACGTTTGTCTGCTCTATCATCAGCTGGAGGTAGGCATCCGCTTCGGAAACGCGGCGTGCTAGCAGCTCCAGATGGTTGGGCCGTTTGCCGCCGTGGCTCGACTCCTTGGTATAGCCGCCAGCAATGTAGAATGCGCTCTGACTGTCCCACAGACGCGAGCGGTTCGCGTGGCGTCGTATTGTGTCCTCCAAACGTCTCACCCACTGCTCCCGCTCCTCGCTGTGACGCGCCTGCATACACAGACACCAGAGAGAGAGATAGAAAACAATGTTTTATCGTTACAAAGCGTCACCCACCAGCAGGAAGTACGGTAGAATGTAAGGGACAAGGCAAGTAGAATAGTGTATACTCTTGCGAGCTTGTAATTGGATGCATATAAAGTGTTGTTATTCCATTCAGGAAACTCTTCCCGTTTAGACTGGGGAAGGATCAAGGGTCAACGAGGGAAAGGGGGAATGTTTTTACGTCAACACATACGCCTTATGTATACATAATCAACGAGTAGTTTTAGCTAATTTATGCGCACACGTGCAATGGATGGAAAGGAGGGACTTGCCTGAAAGTGAAATGTCTTGTGATCGACGGTTATCGTGAAGGTGTTATCCTCCTGATCATCGATGCCGATCAAGGCGTCTTTGAGTCGCACACAGCCGCGTCGCACGCCCTTCATCATCTTCTCCTTGGACTGTAAGCAGATAAATGCGTTGAAAATTGGGTAATTTGGGTAAGGTAAGCTCATTAAACAGAGTCCCCCCGTCCAGCACTTTGGACGGGATTGCGTCAAAGGTGAGTGCGGTGGTTCCGAAATTAATGAATTCAAATCAATGCTACTGTGGAATTAAAAATAATGTGCTGCGGAATGGAGCCGTTTAGATGTACGCCAGCAGTCGGAGGCAATAGAACGTGCAATCGGAGCTATCTCTCTAGCTGCAGGATCTCAAGGAGCGCATTTGTGGCTGTGAAGGATACCCCTATAAGCAATCAACCATGGAAACGGCAACAAGTGAGCACCAACCACCAGGACTATGGATATTTTCGCCATCTACCATTCAGCTCCCATCTAATATGTCGAATTGCAGGTGCGAGTGCCAGTGCGACTGCCAGTGTGATTCAGGAGATAAAACATCCTTGGATGATGGCAGATCCGTGGTTCATGGTCACCATGCTGGGGATATATCTGTACTTTGTTAAGGAGCAAGGTCCACTGTAAGTCGTGCTTGGTAATGCTGCTCGTTTGCATTTCATTCCATTGAACCATACTGAACCTCTGACGGAAATTAATTTAAGCGATTTCGTGCCTGCGACACAATTATGCAAGAGCCAGTTGTATACGAGCTTTCAATTTGTTGTCCAATTTCAGATTTATGCAGTTCCGCAAGCCCTACGAGCTCAAAAAGCTGATCATAGGCCACAACGTGGTGCAGGTCCTCTCCTGCATATACGTCCTTAGAGAGGTGAGTGAGTGGGAGGCGGAGCGATAGCTGATATCTGATTTTTGATTGCATCCTTCACAGATTTCCTATCTGTCGGACAATGCCATATACATTTTCTGGAAATGCCGAGACCTGGGCAGCAGTCCCGAAATGGTGAGGCGCTACTTTGAGCTGGCATACTTCCTCTTCTGGCTAAAGACGTCGGAGCTTTTGGAGACGGTGATCTTTGTGCTGCGCAAGAAGCAGAATCAAGTGTCGAATCTGCACATTTTCCATCACTTTTCCACCCTGACGCTGATCTACATTCTCATACACTACAACCGGAATGGTAATGTTCTTTGATCTGCCATCCAGTGATGCAAAGACTTATGCTATTCATTCCATTCCAACAGGTCTTGCTGCTTACTACGTCGTCTTCCTCAACTCCCTTGTGCACATAATCATGTACTCGTATTACTTGGTGACAGCGGTGGCCGATAAGGGCGTTATCCGCGCGCTGACTCCCGTCAAGAAGTCCATTACGGTGATTCAAATGGTGCAGTTTGGCCTCATATTGACCCAGGTGGCGTTCCAGACTGCAATTTGCGGCATGCCAAAAGTAGTATTTGGCTACTTCACGTTTGTCATCATGGTCATGTTGTATGGCTTTTACGACTTTTACACGAGAGCCTACAAGAGTCCGCCGCAAGGCAAGAGCCACGCTTCTGTGGAGTAGATATATGAATATGAACAATACATGCGGACCAACAAATGTGCCTTTGTCTCTATACGTTTATCCAAATTCAATTTGCAGATAAGATAATAGTTCTGGGCAAATCGGTTTTCGGTTTTCTGTCTTCTGGGGCCACATTGTCACACATCGTTCCGTGATTCTGGTTGGAGGAGTCGTCCGAGTCTCAGCCGTGATACGTGTAGAAATGTTATTGGCATGCTATTATTCATATTCCAGATGACATACAGCGCTCGCGCTATCTTTTGCACACACACTCACCGTGTAGTAGGAGAGCAGGCCCGCATTCTCGTCCAGCACGAAGAAGCGGTACTGCCAGCCCTTCATTACGTTCGTCCATTTGCTCAGGGTTCCTTCCAGTGTGCCGGCGCCGGCACTAGCTCCAGCTCCAGCTCCGCTGGGCGCACTTGCTGGAGTGCTGGCCATTTTTACAGCGGCTGCAGTGTCAGTATCTGCAGCCTGATCGCCTCGCCCCTCTTCCACCTCCACGACTCTTGCCTGGACCTTTCCGTGCCGCTGGCGCTCGCGCCAACCAATCGTAGACACTTTGGCTCTTGGTTAAACGATGCTATGCTGATGACGCAATATTCCTCCTTGCACTTCCCGGTCAAATCTCGTTCACGGCTCGGATTTTTTTTTGCAAAACAAAGCATTAGGGATGTTAAATATATATTGCTGTACCGATATATTTTTGTGTTTGATAATCGCGTTGCTAAATCAGCTATTTAAGAGCTAGTTCTGGAAATCTGGCTATTCAAATATCTGATAATACATTTATGTATACATACATATGTATGTAGTCAGAACTATGAGATGCAAATAGAAATGGGCAAAATAATAAAACAAAAAAATTGTTTGCTAACAAATGTTGGCTATTTTGTAGTATGTATATTGTTTTTTTTAAATCAGCTATTTTTTCTTCAAAAAAGTTGGCAGCACTGCTAGACTCACACTTTCGTGGAAATATGAGTACGGTGCTTTTAAAAATACCAAAGTACAGAAGAAGGTAGAAAATACTACTAAATTTGAAATGGAAAGTACATAAACCAACGTTTTATTTGCTGCATTTCCAATCATTTACATTCCCGCTCAACAGCACCAACTACAACTAAAACACTTAGGATCTAAGAATCAAACATATCAACTGCGGCTTGGTTGGACAGGGCACGAATTTTGGTCTCAAGCACTTAACTAAGCTAAAAACAGATCCCATGCGGGTGCAGCTGCCGCCTAACTGGCGAAGAAGCACCTGTAGAGCATGTAGAGGATGCCAAAGACCCAGATGCCCTTGTAGACCTTGTCCACCACCCACATACTGAAAGATAGATTGAGATCAGCGGAGATTTCTTGTCAGGTAGCAGAATACTTACACTTTCATGTGTCGCCGGGCCGCTGGAATGGACTCGTCCGACTCCTTCAGGATCAGGCGACGGGCGCAGAGTACACAGTTGGTGAAGTAATCTATCAGATCGAGCTCGATCTTTTCTATTATATAGGTTTTCCGCTCCCTGTTGTTCATTAGCTTTCGTAGCTTCACAGCCTCCGAATTGTCAAAGTTCCAGACGTTATTCGCATAATACTCGAACACCTCGAAGCCCTTGAAGATGCGGTTCTGGACACGGCAGAGGACGGGAGGGTAGCGAAGCAGCCAGAGCAGGGCATCCACGAACAGGGCCGGCATCCATTGGAAGAGGATCATGCAGATGTAGTGCACCCAGTAGTTGGATTTCATGGATCCGCCCGGGTACCAGGCCACGCCGTTCAGCGGCACCTTGTTCTCGATGACCCAGCGGCCGAGCTCGATGATCTCTGCCCAGGATACCTTGATGTCGTTCGAGGAGGTCATGTGGGCCACGCGGTTCGTGGTGTCTGTGCCGGCCGTGATGTTCCTCCAGCTGGCCACCAGTATGCCATTCACGGCCACGTCGACGGGCAGAAAGTCACCGTATCCCGACGATTTGCAGTACATGGTGCGGATGACACCCTTGCCGGCGCCGATGAGCAGCCCCGTTGGTCCATTGATGTTGTCCGTCCAGCCGGGAATGGGCTCCTTCCAGATGGGAATCACGATCGAGGGCCGCAGAATGACGGCTGGCAGCTCGTTGAACTTCTCCACCACCAATGCCTCGGCCAGGGACTTGGTGTAGGCATAGGTGTTGGGTATGTCGCCCAGGATCTTCTTCTCAATGGTGGCCACCTCGTCGTCCGACAGCCACTCGCAGGCCTGCATCACCTTGTGCGGATCAGCCGGGGGATCGTAGGGCTTCTCGTACAGCGTCTTCACGTGCAGGTGGCAGTAGGCCGTCGAGCAGTAGGCGAAGAACTCCAGCTGCTTCAGGGTGCCAGCCAGCTCCAGCATGTACTTGGTGCCGCGCGTGTTCATGAATACCGCGCTACGCAGCGGCTCATCGAAGCTGATGTGGATGGATGGCAGTTTAGTCATAGATACGACTGTACGAAATGTATCCCACAGAGGGGTTAGTTACTCACCGCACTGTGGCCGCACAGTGGTATACGATGGACACCTCCTCGCGCAGCGTGGCCAGGTCCTTCTCGGAGATGCCCAGGCCGGGCAGGAGGACATCGCCGGCTATGGCCACCACCTGCTGCAGGATGCGCTCCTCGCCGCGCTGCTGCTTCACCTGGTCAAAGAGCTGAAAGCACACACACACGTAGGTTGATTATGAAGGTAAATGAGGCAATGAATTTTCATAATTGCCACCGCTTACCACATTCTGGAATATATCCTTGATGCGCTCCTGCGGATCCTTGCCCTTCTTGGGGCGAATGAGCAGATAAATGTGTTTCAGTTCGCCACACGAGCTGCGATAATTAATAATATTGCATCATAAGCATAGATTGAGATTAATTGAGGTGCGCCGTGCGCGGCCTGGCCACCCTTTGACCTTTCGACCCAAGCACCCCACGAGCCAACCAACCACCCAGTCAACCACTCACCGCAGTAGCTTCTCGACCAGGACCTTGCCCAAGAATCCAGTGCCTCCTGTGATGAACAGACTGCGGCCCTTGAAGCACTCTGCAATGCGATCCACCTCGTTGTCATCCACATCGCCTATGGTCGCCAGGTCATCCTTCTCGTAGACAAACTTCGGTTTGGCGGTCATCTCTGGCTGATGATGTGTGTTGTTTGCAATCTGTCAGATATGGAAATGGAAGCCTCGTCACGTAATTGTCACATCATAGCCAGAGCCAGAGCCAGAGCCAAGTGCACTTTTAATTTCATTTGATCTTGGTCGTAAAGTTGTCCGGGCCTGTTACGACTATGTGGCAATAACCAGTCCGACTCACGGACAGACGGACGCTAGGCGACAAACGCAGAGCACAAAATGCAGTATCGGCGGCCACACTCTGCTGGCCACACTCCGCTGTCCTCAATCCATGCAGAGTGTCAACGCAGTGACCATCGAGTGGGCAAGCGAACCGACGCCGATGTTGAATTACGGCACTTGGGCCGATTGCCACATCTGTGCCGCATGCTACAACGATGCTATGGTGATATGAGCCATGAGCTTGCCTGCCAGTGCGCTCGGGCAAGCATGTCCAATGCGGACAAGAAAACCTGCCCTGGGCGCCGTCACCGTTGTGTGTCCTTCAAGTTGTTGTTTCAAACATAAACCCGATCGAAAGCCGTTACTCCACTGACACATTGACCCACAACATACGGCACACACGGCAATTGCAATGATCGGACTTGGACCCTGGACCCACCCCGTGATACTAAAACAATAATCTGCCGGTCCGCTGTGGAAAGCAATGGGATATGGGGATACGATAACTTATAATCCGAAACGCCTACCGCTCGCTCCACTGGCTACTGAAACTTGACACTGAGACACTGCACATAAAAACAAAACAACAACGAATCTTGGCTATAATTTCAGATCTACTTTTTTATGGCCAATTCTGTGAACGACTTGAATGCCTCAGGCCCAAAAAAAGAGTGTTAATGGCTAATGCAATGGCAGAGAGACAGCCGCAGCGACAGCGACAGTGGCACAAGAATGGAAAAGGCCCCGGAGGCCAGGCCAAGATCAAAACAATTAAGTTGCAGACCATACATATAATTCCGTTTGATACCAAAGACTCGAGAAGCGAACGTGATTTTCGAAAGGGAAATTCCCTTGGGCAGAGGGCTGGCCGGGCCGACTGTTAGCCTGGTTAACCACTCAACACAACTCGATTGCCAGACGGGCTGCCTCTTGTTGACCCGCTTGTCTCGTGTTAGTCCATGTAGCAATTATTGCAATTTCAGATCTACAATCTGGTTGCCATCGGAACTTTCCTAAGGCAGGGGCGGCCGTAAACGTTTCCATCTTTGCATCTCAGTCAGGTCTTTGTGCCCAGTCATGACTCCAAGTGGGGAGTGGGGATCTACAATTTATTGCAGTGTTGATTGTTGATGCAGCGAATGCATGAACGGATCAACAGCTGCAGCCGCTCGAGAAGAATGTGAGCCACATGAGGTGGCACTCGAATTGGCACTGGCAGGAGTCTGGGCTCTGGGGTCTGGGTGGGGGGTGACGGGGGGTTTACTTGTAGCAAAGACACAGTTTCGTAATAACCGAAAAATGCTTTCTGGTCCGTGTGTTTCTTTTCTTTTGGCCACGGTTGGGCAACCAGTTTTTTTGGCCTGAACAGAGATGTCAACGATGCGATAAATAAGCAGGGAAACCAAGGAGTGGAAAACTCAAGTTATTGGCTAATTGAATTTAAAGTTTACTGGCACTTTTTTCATACCACAATACTAAGAAAATAGCCAATGGCATTGCTCACAAATTTATGATATATTCACGCCCCTTGAACTGGTCCTAAAACGCCGCATAAATCTATTCACAATTTTCCAACACAAAGTCCCCTTTCAAATGCATTAATTACATTAATCGATCAGCCAATCAATTGATAGAAAATTATTAAATGCACAATAATTCAAGCAATTGACAATCAATGCTGGCCACAGACGAACCCTTTTGGCCAGACGAAAATACACACAGATACTCAGCAATTCAGCTACTCGTACACGGATGCGGATACGTCTTCTGGGTGTTGACCTGCACACACCGAATGCTAAACACAAACTGATCAGACCTGGCTGCGGCATCCACAGAAAGAGTCGTGCACTCGACACAAACTTAATAGAAAATAAAACGAAAACCACTTTGGGCTAAACTCTGTATCAAAGCTAGTTAAAGCACACACAGAGGCACAGGTTCACAGATACAAAGCTACACAGATGGAGGGGCCACAGATCTACAGAAACTAGCCAAGCACACAGATACAGGGGAGAGCCAGAGAGGAGAGTGACATACGAACCATATGCAAAGAGCGTGCAACGGGAGAGCGTGCTTCCCCCCTGTGCACTCTTCACTGTGCACTGCGCCAGTCCCGCTCCACTGTACAGCAGTCAACGGTCAGAGGTTTCAGCTACTGTGCGGCGCTTTCTCACCCTGGCTCTGGGTTCCGCTTCGACTTCGTCGTTGACTCTGCTCCAAGAAAACGGTCAAACGGTTTACCTGCCCAGCGGCTACATTTGGCTGTGGATGCTCACATCCGGCATGCACTCAGAACATGATGAAACTGTGCACCTGCTGTTTAATTTGTGCGCCAAGCGATGGCCAGACGTTGCGCATACGCAGTGAGTGTCATCCCCCAAATGGGGAATTCTACTGCGGCCGCTTTAGCTACTGAATCTGAACCAATCTGGCACGGCGCGACCCGGACCGGCTTTATGGCTGGCATAAATCTCCATTGCGCTGGCCATTAATTAGACAGAGTTTGTTAGTTACAGTTGTTGGGCAAATGCGCGGATTCGGCACACAATCATAAATTTCGTTTGGATTGGAGCTCGGCACTGGACGCGGAGACGGCCATTGGAACGGCGTGACAGAAAGAAGAGCAGACGAATATTTGACAATGGCATTGACATCGAAATATCATCGTGGTGTGGTTTTGGCTTTATTTTTAGCCAGGGCTAATCAAACATGAACGAAATGCTCTACGAACCAGTAGATACCCTTGAAGATGCCCATAGAGATAAACTTTAAGTAGCATGTCAGTTTGCAGGCAAGTATCTTAAAAATGGAGAGTTTGTTTCGAACTGAAAGTGAGAAGCAGGCAGCCAGACCCGCTGGAAGAGTGTTAACAGTTTCTATGCCTACCAATGATTCGAACTCGACCTCAAATAAACTTTTCAACTCGGGTCAACCCATCGAAGCAGCAGCAACAGAAGCATCTTGGCCAGTAACAAAGGCAAGGGGGACTGGTGCACGCTCGTCGCAGAGCGTGGCTTGGTCAAGAAACCGCATTGAACTTGAGTTGGTTTTGGATCGTCATTTGTGTTTCCATTGGCAGTGTCTTTGGTTTCGTTTTCCGCAGCTATTTATGCAAATGAAGCCATCAGCAGCATGCATAAGTATGCGAACGGGTTTCTATTGATTTTGGGCGATCGTAAAGTGAGCATCCGACACATTAAGCAGATACATGACAATGGACCCGACACATTTCTGCCCCATCATGCGTACTGGACAAAGTCATTGATGAAACGGCCATAGTAAAACCAACAAAACAAACAAACAAACACGCAGATACACAGATACATACATACACATACACACAGGGGCAGAGTTGGGCTGGCTGGCTGACTTGCTGACTGGCTGACTTGTCTCCAAAACTTTGGCCTTTCAAAGTGTGGCCGTAATTACAGACTTCCGCCTTTGAACAGTTTCGCAGCCCCACCCAAAAGGAGGGCCCTGGTAGAAGGGCAGGAACAGAGACAGAGACTTAGACAGGGGGCTGAAGGATGCTTGCCACAGGCGCCACATCGTATCCCGTTACACGGCCATAAAGCTCCATAAACGATGCGACCGAGGGCAAATTATAACGCATACGGACACGTACACGATCCACTAGCCGATGGCTAATTGGACGTGCCAGGCGAGGCTACTCCAACCCCTCTCCCTGCTGCTGCTGCTGTTCCTTCTGGAACTTAAAAGTGGGCGTAACATAACAATTGTGGGCGATTTGCATACAATTTGGAGCTCCAGTAGCCAGCAAACTGGCGTCAAAATGTTGCTACGTCATTGTGGCTTTTGCTGCTACTGAATGTTGAATGTTGAATGAAGTACAATAATAAGCCAACACGGCATACCATACACAATGCCCTGGCCAGGCCTTTGTCTGTCTGACAGCATTCCACTATGCATGACAGTCATGACAAACATATCAGAGCGAGGGCAGACCGCTGTCCACGGACACGGACACGGACAACAGACCACAGGCGGACAATGTCAGGGTCTCATCCCGCACTGTTGTTGCAGGTAATCTGCATTTAACCGCTAAAAAAAGTCTATTCATATCCAAGAGAGCATATGCAATTCCTACTCTAACGGCCCCCAAAAGTTGGGGCTGTCTCCGTTCGTGAAACATGTTGCTGGCAACACTTGTTGCTTGCGGCCCACACGCACCGCCTGACGAAGGCAGCGGCAGCGACAGCAGCAGCAGCAGCAGCAGCAGCAAGCGAAGCTTCGCATCACTCGCCCATGGTCCCCCACAAAGGACCCCATATAAAACAGGATGTTTCGCCAAACATTTTCACAGAACAGTTTCACATTCGACCGGGCAACAAGTGTGTGTATGCGAGTGTGTGTGTGTACGTGAGACACCAAGAGTTGAGGACGAGCGGAGAACCATTTCCAGAGTCTAGTTCTCCAGAAACAGCCACAAGAAAGGTGAGTAGCCGTAGCCTCATTACTGTAAAATTCGGCACTAAATGCAAGTTCCATTGAACATGAAGCCTTTCATAAGAGTCAGAGTCAGAGTCCCGTCGCACGTCATTAATTGGTCAATTAGGCGAGGGAAATTCGGTTGAAGCTGAGAGCTCCGCTTTGCCCCGCAATATTTTGAAGATTAAACAAATATATAATACTGTGACAATTATAGTCTCATAGATGTGAATGCTCACTGGAATATATCTGGAGTGGCTGGTATTTTTCTACTTCGTAAAAATACTCGTATAGAATTTATATTCATCAATTTTGTAATGTTTCGCGAGTAAATTATTCAGAGTTTATATTTAGCTTCAGATTCAGATTCTGAAACTTTTGCATTAACGGGGGAGGTAAAGTTAGCTCATCTATTGCTCATATGCGAGTACATTTAATTGGTTAAATATTAACCACTCGTTTTGAACACTAAACAGCCACTGAATTCTTAATATACATTAATTTTCCAATTCATGTTAAATTTGGCTAATTAGCCATGCAAAACGAAAAGCTGCAGAGTTATAATTCCATTGCTGGAACTTGGCGGGGATTGTGATTTGTGTGGTTGTGTTTTTTGTGTGCATCACCCCCACCTTTGCTGGAACAGGTGTAATTTGCATCCACATACTCCTGCCCCCCTCCCACTACTGCGATACACGACGAGGGAACCAAATAGTCAGCATCCTCAACAGTCGTTTTGGTTAATGAAAGCAAATTGAAATATTTATGACTGCACTTTGGTGGCAAGGAACTTCAGGCAGCGGGCAGACAGTCGCATGAGCAGCCGCAGAGCGTCGCTAGATTTTCATTTGCACTCACACCTTTCCATAGAAAATGTACATACCACACTACTCGGACTATATTTGTATATGAAAGGGTGGTGGTAGACGTAGACCATATAAATGTGCTGACAGAAGAGCCTCAGAACAAAGCGTGCACCGTTTTTGATTTACGAGTATCTGCGGCAGTGGCTCATCCCATCTCATCACTTCTCATCTCACATCTTACCCGGACAAGCGGAATGGCCCGCGACAATCATTTGTCTTGGCACTTGTCCCAGCAGCAGGCCCCCCCACCACCTGACAAATGATTTTTAAATGCTCCCAGGAGCAGGACGACTGGGCGGAGCAGGCAGAGGAGCCACTTCAAAGGTATCTCATGTCGCATTTGTTCGAGTATCACTCATATGCCATGCAAATCAGGTTACACCTGTCCTGTTACAAAGTCTCATCCAACATATCGATGGCTAAGCAAATTAACGAGTGCGTTATTGATATCCCACCAGCACCCAAACCCAAACCCAACACCCGACACGCAGCACACAGCACACAGCACTCTGCTCCACTGTTTCGCTGTTTTGCGGAAGGAGGAATGAGGAGAGCACACAACACACAAGGCACACAGAAGACAAGGCGCACACTCGTAGCAGCTCATATTTATGAATTTTAAATGCACATTTCGGCATCGCAAATCAATCAGACATTTGGCAATCATTTGGCCTGGCCGTCTACCCACTTCACAATCGTTGACTCCTGGCTTTTGGAGTGGAGTGGCTGTCTGTCGCTCCGGCCAGAAGTGCGTCATGTCATAGCTTGCATCACATTTGGCAATTCGGTGTTCATAAATGAAATGATGCCCGGTTGGGTTGTTTGTTGCTGCTTTATGGCAGGTGGACCCTTGAGTGCCCGTACCCCCATGTGGCAATCTCTAACCACAGCCAGAGATCGCTGCACTTGCTGCAGTTGGCCAGTGCCCCTGGCTATTGTTGAGGTGTGAACAGCTATTAATTGGTCAAATTTGTATTCAAATTGTAGTTAATTCCCCAGGCTAAGTGCCTGAATGCCTCAAAGCCTGAATACCAGCCCTGATTGCCCGGCTGACTCAAAATGAGGCGAGTACAGAGACACACACACACAGCCAAGAAACAGACAAAATGTATGTTAATGCTCAGGTTGCGAAGTCCGCGCTCATCAGCCAAGTTGGAGGTCAAGTTTTTTGTTGTATATGTCGCGAGTTGTTGGAGCAAGTTTTCTACTTTATAATTTCGGTCTATCAAACCAGAGCAATCAAAATCACAGAGTCACAGAGAAGTCTTTTGGCTGACTGCTAATTTGCTCCCCTGCTGGCCAAAGGTTTCACGGGTGGGACTGCATTTTTCCGTTGCCGTTGCCGTTGCCGTTGCCATGCAGATCCATCAACTCAACACAAGACCTTCTCGTTCAGTTGAATGCCACTCAACGGATCGGTTTGCCATTAGCAGGAGGCACACGCACACGCACCATCGTAATAAACCCAGAACTGAGCACCGTCACCATATCCAAAAGCCATAATCATTTGCATCTCTAATGGCCCTGCTGTGGCATCCTCCGGACTTCATACATCAACACCCCCATCCACATCCACACCCACTCACACTCGCAATCCCTTTGTTTAGCGCCCTGTGCCTTGGCCAACAAGTGTTAATACCTCCCCTCATCCGCCTGCTGTTTCGGCTATGTGGGGGCGGGCTCGGGCTCTTGTTGCTGTGGCTTTAATGCGGTTGGTTAACTTTTAACAGGCAGATCTCCAGTCATAAATATTATGATGGTTAATTAGCGGGACACTTTGTCTGCAGTCGGTGCAGATGTAGGCATCTTCTGGCCACGCTGGCCACACTGGCTACGGTTGCCCCCTAAGTAAAATGAACGTTCAGGCCGGCAGCCTTAATGTGATTAAAAGTTGCAATAGATAATTCGCGGTGGCATCTTGGCCAGCTCGTAATTAATTTCGAATTTTTCTTTCATTTTTCAACTTTCAGACAAGATGGGCATTGCCTTGATGTTCCTGCTGGCGCTCTACCAGATGCAGTCGGCCATCCACAGCGAGATCATTGAGTCGCCCAACTTCGGTGCGAATGCCCTGCTGGAGTCTGATACAGATGGGGATCAGGGCTCCAGGCTGCAGCCGGGGGAAAGGGAAATCCAGCAAGATGCCGGCGAGAAGCCGGAGCAAACGGAGCTGGAGTTTCGGTACCCAATCTCGGCCATTGGCATCGATTATGCCAGGAATTCGGTGATGCTGCGCTTCCAGAAGCACGGCCGCAGGCAGCGCCTCAAGTTCGATCCGGAGCTGGAGGCCAAGCGCAGGTCCCTGCAGGACAATTTCATGCACTTTGGCAAGCGGCAGGTGGAGCAGATGCTGCCAGAAGAGAGCTATGCCACGGATGGGGATGTGGGTATGGGGAAACGGTCGGGCATGGATCGCTATAGTCGCGATCCCAAGCAGGACTTTATGCGCTTCGGCAGGGATCCCAAGCAGGACTTTATGCGCTTCGGCCGGGACCCCAAGGAGGACTTTATGCGATTTGGAAGGACTCCATCTGATTTTATGCGGTTTGGCCGTGCCCCCTCGGACTTTATGCGATTCGGCCGGACACCTTCGGACTTCATGCGCTTCGGACGCTCGGACAACTTCATGCGCTTCGGCCGTAGTCCCCACGAGGAGCTGCGAAGTCCCAAGCAGGACTTCATGCGATTCGGCCGACCAGACAACTTTATGCGATTCGGACGCTCTGCTCCGCCAGAATTTGAGCGCAATGGCAAGATGGACTCGAACTTCATGCGCTTTGGAAAGAGCGTCAATCTGGCTGCTGCTCCCTTTCCCCCCGCTTCCGGTGCTCCCGAGTCGAACCAGACAAAGTCGCAGCTGTCCAGCAACCAGGCCGGCGAACGGAGTCCCGTGGACAAGGCCATGACCATTCTGTTCAGCAAACAGGAGCAGCAGCAGGAGCAGCAGTTAAAGAGCGGACAGACAGCGGGCAACTCGGAGGATGGGAGCGTGGAGCAAGAACCGTTCTACGGCCAATAGAGTGACATGCCTACCCTACCCCTCCATACCTTTGCTCCATGTAAATATTAACTGACAAGACCAGGCTCTGAATGCAATGACTATGCCATGAAATGTAATGAAAATAAGGAAAATACTTAAAATACGTATAGCCCTTCCCTCTTCCCTCGTCAAACACTTGATAAATGCCTAGGGTGTGAATTTTTAATGGGGCTGGATTAAAAATTCACCACGCTTTGATCTGATCAAATTAAAAGTTGACACTCCACCACCTACATACTACCTATAAATACACACACCTTATCGAATATATATGTACCTATATGTACAGGTTAATTTGAAATGCATTGAAATGTTGTGAAGTCCTTTTCGAATCAAAATAAATAAAAGTCAATGATAAATGTCTATGTGTGCAGTGGCGGCTTTTGATCGTCGGGAATTGACTGAGTGAGAGAAAGTGCAAATGCCGGGAAAAGCACAAAATCAGCCTCTCATTTTCGTTACATTTCCTTTTTCAAATTCAACCTATTTAAGAGATCTGGCAGCACTGTGTCACTTGTTGCTAGAGATGGAGATAGAGTCACGAGTCACGGGCCTCACCTGTTATGGCTATACCTTTCGTGTTGTTGTTGTCGCACAGCTGTTGTGGAAACCGCTACGTGATACGAGTTCGATCTTTGCTACTGTTTTATTGGTAAATTCGATCAATAGATTCCAAATTCGATCCTGCTAGCTGAAGTAGATTGGCGCATTAATCAACGGTAAATATACTGCAGATGAACTTTAGCCCCGGCGCCTACGTCACTCTCGCTATAGAGGGTCTAAAGTCCAACCTGTTGCATCGCTCTGATCTTGTTCTTCTTGTTATCTTGTATATGTTGTGGAAAAGTGTAAATACAGTTATATACAAATCCCGGAAACCGCACAACAGAGTGGCTGCCTGTTCCACGCACGCTATATAAACCATTGCAAGGGGCCGCCAGGAGGAAGGAATATGTCGGCGTTGCTGAAACTGAACAGAGGTGAGTGGGGTGGGGCACATTGCCAGGGCGCACTCTCTTTCGCCCGACAACAATTTTGTGGGTTACATAACCGAAATTATGATCAGGCAATGCAAAAGACAGAGATAGAGTCTGTGGTCAGTTCTTATCAGGCCATGGAATTTTCCCCTCATCCAGTGATTGGTTATTGTCTCTCTCTCTGTCTCCTCCTGACCAGTTCAAAGGCTCTTCACGCCCGCCCTAGTGCGTAGCGTGTCTGAGGCCGCCAAGTACCCGAGGATTACCACACACTACACGCTAAATCCTCGCGAGAAGGATGAACGGTGGAAGGAGGTCGACATGGAGCGCTGCATCGAGGAGGTGGACATTGTTATTGTTGGCGGCGGACCGGCCGGCATGTCGGCAGCCATTCGGGCCAAGCAGCTGGCTGCTGAGAAGGATCAGGTGAGGAGTGGGCATTGAACATCAGCAGATGGATGTGCTGACCAGTGCGCATTTATTTCCCAACCTTGCAGGAGATTCGCGTCTGCGTTGTGGAGAAGTCAGCGGAGGTGGGTGGACACATACTCTCCGGAGCTGTTGTGGATCCCATTTCGCTGAACGAACTGATACCCGACTGGCAGGAGCAGGGCGCCCCGCTCAACACGCCCGTGACCAAGGACACCTTCTCCTTCCTCACCACATCGAGTCGCATCTCCATACCCATCTTCAAGGGCTGGCCCATGGACAACCATGGCAACTATGTGGTGCGCCTTGGCCACCTCGTCAAATGGCTTGGTGACCAGGCCGAGGCCATGGGCGTGGAAATCTATCCCGGCTGTGCCGCGTCCGAGGTGCTCTTCCACGAGGACGGCAGCGTCAAGGGCATTTCCACCAACGACGTGGGCATCGCCAAGAATGGAGCACCGAAGGACACCTTTGCCCGCGGCATGGAGCTGCATGCGAAGACCACCATCTTCGCCGAGGGCTGCCGCGGCCACCTCACCAAGCAGGTTATGCAAAAGTTCGGCTTGAACGAGGGCAGCGAGCCACAGGCCTACGGAATCGGTCTGAAAGAGGTCTGGGAGATTGCCCCCGAGAAGCATCAGTGAGTGGCTGCCTTATAAGTAAGAAAATAACCGTATCTCATAATAATTATATGCCCGATTTCAGGCCCGGTTTGGTGGAACACACCATTGGCTGGCCCTTGGATCGTTTCACCTATGGCGGATCCTTCCTGTATCACCTGAACGAGCCGACACCTACGATAGCTGTCGGCTTTGTGGTCGGCCTGAACTACAAGAATCCCTGGCTCAGTCCGTTCCAGGAGTTCCAGCGGTTCAAGACGCATGCCAAGGTACGCGACATATTCGAGGGTGCTACCCGCATTGCCTACGGAGCCCGTGCCATCAACGAGGGCGGCTACCAGAGCTTGCCCCAGAAGCTGTCCTTCCCCGGCGGCTGCCTGGTGGGCTGCAGTGCCGGTTTCCTGAATGTGCCCCGCATCAAGGGCTCCCACTATGCCATGAAGAGTGGCATGCTGGCGGCGGAGAGCGCCTTGGAGGCCATCAATGCCGACTCCCAGTCCACAGCTGGCGTGGAGCCCGTGACCTACGCGGACAAGTGAGTGGAAAGGATTAATTTTAAATGGAAATTCATATAATCAAGCTTACTCTATACAGAATCAAGGATTCATTTGTGTGGAAGGATCTGTACAAGGTGCGTAATGTCCATCCCTCTTTCCACAACCCGTTGGGCCTGTACGGCGGTCTCGTCCTGAGTGGCTTCTCCATTTTCATGGGCGGCCGCGAACCCTGGACCCTGAAGCACGGTCCCCAGGATCACGAATCGCTGCAGCTGGCCAGTGCCAGTGAGCAGATTGTCTACCCCAAAGCCCGATGGCAAGGTTTCCTTCGACCTGCTCTCATCGGTGGCCCTCACCGGCACCAATCACGAGGGCGACCAGCCGGCACATCTCACGCTGAAGGACGACCGCATTCCCGTCGATCACAACCTGGCTCTGTACGAGGGTCCCGAGCAGCGCTTCTGCCCCGCCGGCGTGTACGAGTACGTGCCCAACGAGGAGGGCGGCAACATGAAGCTGCAGATAAACGCTCAGAACTGCATACACTGCAAGACCTGTGATATCAAGGATCCCAAGCAGAACATCAACTGGGTGGTGCCCGAGGGTGGCGGCGGCCCCGCCTACAATGGCATGTGAATGGCAATCATCGATTCAGATTTAGATTGAGATTGAGATTGAGATTGGGAAACCATATCCCGTACCGCAATTGCATTTGATTAGTTATATAAAATTGAGAATTCGATAACACTATTTGGAATTTAAGCTGAAAAGTTGCAATAAAATTGTAGATAAAAGTGAAAGGCGAAACGTGAAAGTCAGTTGCCAAAAAGGTTTTATTTAAAATGTTCTACTATCGTTTTTTGTTTTCGGTTTCTGTTGTTCTTTCTTGTTTCTGGTTTCTTGTTTAAAACACCAACTTAATAGGTAAATATTGAATCCACAATCAATTTTCAATTTCAAAACCTTTCATTTACGAGTATATTCAGTGCACGGATAAAACTTGTTCTCTTTTTTATATAGTTTCACATATATGTATGTCTGTATATATGTATATATAAGTATGTATTGTATAATATACTATCTTGTTTTTCACCAAAATGGTTTGCAATGGTTTGCTTAGCCTACAATTACGATTTAGTTGTATAATTCTTATTAATTGTTATTTGAACAGACGATACATCGATGGATACACGTACATATAGGGGTAATCCTGCTCCTCTCCGCGGCCCCTCTTCCTAACGTTTGTGCGCCTCCGCATATCTGTTTCCTTAGACCTATCTATAGATTGAACATATACATGTACATATATGCCATGTGGACTGGCTGCCCACGGCTGCCACTGAAACATTTATTCAACAACAATCATGGAAACACAGAGAGAACTTTGCTTTTCTGGGATAACTTTAACACTAACATTACATAACAGGCAGGTTGGGTACGGTACCAAGAGACAAGTTTTGGTACTTTTGGGGTACGCCAATTGTGGCAGCCGTGGCCGTTGCTAGAGCCGGAGACCCAGCAGGATGCGTTACAAGTCTTTCTTTAATTATTATATGATGGTTTTCAGGTGCCATTTAAGTCCCATTACAACAGTGCAGCATGCAACAGGGTCAACATTTTATCTATTACGCTAAAGGTACAACGAATACGAATTCACATTCTGAACATTACATCTAGTACCATGCGCACGCAGTTAGTGTAGTCTGTCTGTGCTGTGAGTGGTCCCAGTGACCGTACATCGTCTTGTAGACCGTCTACTGTACAGTGCATCGTTACTCATACATATATGTATGTGTATATTATATCTATGTATATAAACCATCATCAATATATTGTTTTGCCTAAACTAGTTTCATAGTCCTCTGAATAAGCCGTCTTCCAATGTTCCCACCTCCAAACTTACAATGCCAATTGAAATTTGTATCTTTTGTACGTTACGTGCTGCTTTTAGTTCGAGTTTCTGTCTCGTGGCTGGGCTTTTGGGAGGGGACTTACACTAGACATGGGATTTGGATTTGGATTTGGGTGATTAGGCAATTATCAGTTTTCAGATTTATCTACTCGTACGTTTAATTAAATAGCACAGTTAACACCTGTATCGAAATGTTTCACCATCGAGTTGTTCGTTTATCATTATCATTTGCAATCAATATTCATAGTACAACATTTACATTTACATATAATATTATTTTCCTTTTTTTGGTTTTTTTTTTTATTATTTTCGATTGTTTTTTAAAAAGAGGCACTGTTTTTAAGGCAACACTACACAGTGAAGTTATATACCAGGATTTATGTACATTCCAAACAAAGAAAAAGTTTTGGGAAATTCCGAAAAGTCTTTTGCAAATCATATGAAAACTCAACGCTACAACATTCTCTCTTACAACATACAAGGAGAGTGCAACAAATTTACTCACTTATATGGGGTGTACATTTATAACATACAAATATGTATACATATATATATATATATTTACATAATTTCTGATCAGGCAAAGATCATCTCAAAGCAAAATAGCCATTTCCCTATGGATGAGCTGCTTTTCTGCCGAAAGTTCGCTTCAGGTCGGGGCATTTTACGTTCACCTTTGGTTTTGCTTATGTATATCATCATATCATCGTTAGTATATTGCTAGAAAATATCATCTATAGTGTTTTGGTTTCTTTCTATATGGTAGACATATAATTTCGTACTCCTCTTCGGCTCTTATAAATGTATGTGTAAAGCTGTTCAAAGTGGGGAAACCTGTAAAGTGTGTATGTTTTCGTATTGTTTACTGCGCTCCACGCATCTCTCATCTGACTCCTGGCTTCATCCACATCCATCTGCCACTGTTTTTCGCATGTCTGGACATGCATGTGTGGACACAGTTGGACAGTGGGCGGACACAGAGGAGCGCCGAGTGCCGTCTCAAATACAAATATATATTTACATAAATATTCTTTCTTTCTACGAGTACTGTTCTGTTCGGTTCGGTTCGCTGCTGTATAAAGTGCAACAGGTTATACAATATTTGACGAGCGCGTTTACCTCTTGGTTAAATATTGGGGGAAACATCGAATCGAATCGTATCGAAATGGGGAATTGACATTAAAACAGACCCAGAGACACACCCACACTCGCATCCCATCCACATTTGGGGCCTGTGCAAATAGGGTTCAGAAAATATACAGAATGTAAATAATCATTGTAAACAGAAAGTGCTAAAAAATAAACGATAATTTCTTGAATAATTTTATTTAAATTATATATTTTGTTGAGTTGTTTGTTGATGCTGTTGTAGTTGTTGTTGTTGTAGTTGTTGCTGTTTTACAAACTTCTTGTAAATGTAAAAAATACAAAACTTAGGCACGAAAACTTGAATAGAAATCCACTTTAAACGTAAATTACAAAATATGACTTCGTTTTGCTTAAGAGATGAAGAGAAAAAGAGTTCTAGCAAATAGATCATGCTTAAATCAAAAACTAAATCATAATCATCAATTGTTTATGTTTAAATCTATGTGTTGATGTATGTGGGTGTACATATTATCGTTTTTCAAAATTAACCAAATCGCTAGACGAACGAACACTCCTCCTTCTCTTACACCACGAACATAACTGATAATAAAATAATATATAATCCAAAGGACATACATAATTGATAAATTGCACGAAATTACAAATATTGATTGAACATTGAGTACATTACTTTCAGTGTCTAGTGTGTGTGTGTGTGTGTGTGTGTGTGTGTGTATATGTATGTGTGTTGTTCAATCCATTCTCAATCATTCATCTGATAGTGCGACTTGCATGCTTACGTATCTTGTAGTGGGTTTACAAACTAGGTTTAAAACTTACGGCTAAATCAAGTATTTACAGAAAACATTTCCTCCGTTTTTCCTATCTCTTTTGCTTTTGCTTTCGCTTTTACTTTGTTTTTTGTATGCAGCATTTGTCCTAAGATTAGATTTAACATTATCTTTAACCATAGCTGTAAGTTTAGCTTTAATTGTAACTAAACTAAATCAGCTCCAAACAACTTCTTTCTGGGCTCCAACCATCATCATTATGCATCCCCATCTATCCCCCATCATTGGATTAGGATTGGGATTGGGGCCTAATTTTACATTTATAATTTAAAATTATAACTATTACCGTAGGGTGTGTGTGTTTGTGGGTGTGTATTTAACTTACAATAACTATAGATATGACACTGTCACTGTTCGCTTAAACCGAAAACAAAACAAAGCTCCTATCTCCTTCCCTCCTACCTTCCCTTTCCTTCCATCCTGCCACAATTTCCAGCTGACTTTTCTCTGAACTATTGCACTGGTCTGGAAATTGTTGCTCCTACTGGTTCTTCTGCTGCTGCTCCTGCTCCTGCTATTGGTCTTGCTGCGTTCCATAGGCCACCGCCAGCTGCTGTTGGCCATAGCAATCATAGCCAGAGCCTGAACCAGAACCAGACATGATGAACGAACTCCGTATGGCGGCCACATCTTTACGCGGCGGCGGCGGCATCATGGCCAGATCGTCGATGTCGCTGATGTTGGTGTGGATCCCTTGCTTCTTGTGGCTTCCGCCGCCGCCGTTTCCATTGCTGTTGTGTTGCTGCTTGTAGTGGCTGCTGCTACCGCCTGCACGTGCCGGCTATGTACCCCATCCGCCCGATATTCTCGGACGTTTGTGGTTGGGTGCATCGTAGTCCCCCAGCTGCTGCTGCTGCTGCTGTTGGTGTTGCTGGTGCTGCTGCTGTTGTTGCTGTTGCTGCTGCTGCTGCTGTTGCTGCACTGCCACGGCGGCGAGGCGCACATCCTGATCGCTGCTGGGCGCACCTGCGTTTAAGATGATAAAGTCTGTTAAACTATTAGTTCGATTTGCTCAGAGGTCGTGTGTGTATGACAAAGGCAGGGGGCAGGCATTCAGGCGTTCAGGCGGGCGGTGGGGGCAGGCTTTCTGCGGACCAGATCTTGGTAGGTGATCCGGCGGCCCCAGAATGAGTGTGTGACTGTGTGAGCGGTGGTGTGAGTGTTTTCGGGTGAGTGTTTTCGGGTTAGAAGGAAATCGCATCAGTTGTTAGTAAAAAGTAAAAAAAAAAAACAAAAGCCAGGCAATATGTATTTTAAATTTATTTCGGATTTGAATCTCTTAAAAGTCCCCCCTCGAAAAATAGTTAGAAACTGAAGAAAAAACAAAACTCAAGATGACACCTCTCCGCGTCCCCGAAGAAACAGAAAACTTCGTTTTGTTGCTAGATATTTGTTTGTATGTATGTACATATGTAGTATATGTATGTATGTATGTATGTAAGTATGTGTGTTTATAAATGTATTTTATGTGTATGTTTGTGTTTGTGTGTGTGTGTTGAAATTCGTTTTGTGAGGCCAATTTACCGGCAAAATTCCATCTAGGATTGTGACCCATTAGCGCGCGGTACGGATATCCTTCATACTTATCATGCCCTACAAATATTATCACACAATTGTTGTTGTGGTTGTGGTTGTTGTTGTTGTTGTGGTTAATGCGAATATAAAAAACAAACAAACGTATTATGTATATAACAATATTATAGCAATGGCAATAACAATAACAATATTAAGGTAATCGCACCAGAGACGATTCTTCAGAAATTCTCAATAGACAAACCAGGGCGGGACGGGGCGCATACGTAATATTTGTTGTACGAATATTACGTATACGCACCATCTGATTTTCAGAGAAAGTTCAGAGAGAGTTACATTTTAGCATTAGGAAACATGCCGCGCAAAAAACAAAAACAATTCGGAGTAAACTTTTGTTCAACTCTAAAGAAATCTGTTAACAAAACTGCAGACATTTTCAAGCGAAAATCCTTTTCGGAACACGTGGGCGAAAGATAGACAGCGCGCGGGGGTCAGGATAGGGATTTCGGGGGCCTCAGAAACGTACCTGGTGTGGGTGTTAGGTGACCCGTCGACGAGGGCCTCGAGTTGGGCATCACCAGGTGCTGCTGCGAGTGGCCCAGGACGCTCAGATTGGTGGCCTGCTCCGCGTTGCCATTGCTACCGCCACCGCCTGGGGGACCACCGCCTCCCAGGATGCTGGCGTTGTGCAAGTGTGTGATGACATTGCCGGCATTGGCGGCCGAGGAGCCTGCTCCCCCGCCGCCGCCCGAGGCATTGCTGCTCGTGCTGCTGCTGGAGCCGCCGCTGCCAGTCGACCCATTGCTGTTCTGCTGATGGCCGCTGGCGGATAGATCACGCGGCGGCGACTGCGGTTCGGCCTTGACCTTAATGGAGACGGGTGAGGTGGCGGGCGGCGGTGTGCTATTCGAGACAGCCAGATGCGAGAGACTGATCGAGAGAGAGAATGATCAAGGAGAAAGATTAGGAATGCTATCCGGGAATTCCGTATGGTTGAGCGGCGCGGCTCTCACCTAGAGTGCTGCACCAGACCCTGGTGCCATGTGGGCAGGCTCATGATATCCGCACTGCCGATGACGCCGGAGGAGGAGAAGTCCTGCGCCCCAAAGGAGTAGCTCGTTAGGGCGGGTATCGGAGTCTGCAGCGTCACCACGGGCGTGTTCAGCGATGTTTGGCTCTGTCGTTGCTGGAAGGGAGAGCACGGAGGGATCTTAATTGAGGGGTTCCTTGTGTTATCTCAGTATTATCGCCCTCTACTCACATCTGTGTAGGCCACATCCTCGGGCGCAGACATGTTGGGCGGTATGGGTGCTATGGTGGGCGGTATGACGACCCGTAGGTTGGCAGCCCGTCCATTCTGGCTGCCCGGCGACTGTTGTTTGATGGGCAAGTGATGGGCTGTAAGGAGCGGTTTACAAGGGTTAATCTCAGGCCGCACAGAATGGGGGTATCTTGGGAAATCTTTGGGCAGATGGCAGTTTGGAGTATGGTCGCAATGGATGGGGGGTCGTAATGCGCACCTATGCCAGGACTGGGACCTGGACTGGGCGATCCCACAAGCGGCGAATGGGAATGCGGATAGCCGTTCGACATCTCCAGCATGGAACCCGATGGATAAACTGATGGCACCAATCGATAATAAGAAGATAAGAAAATGCACAGATACGTTTAGACCTTGGATCGACACACTATATATATGAATATTGGAATTGCGGAACTCTGGGGTTAGATTCATGGCGGGTGAGTCAAAGGAAATCAAAAGAAACAAACGAGACACATTCTCTGTTAGAGTTGGTTTAAAGTGGGTGGGAATCATGCAAAAGAATACAAAACACAAAAACGAAACAACGAAAATTTAACGATAACAACTGATAGATAGAAAAATGTGTGTGCACCCTTCTGCCAGAGACACTGTACTAACTTATCAAGGACATCCCACCTGAATCCGTCTCCGAGCTGGATGGACGGGGGCTGATGTTGGTGTGGGACATTTGTGGGCTGGCCTGCAGCAGGTTCTCACCATAGGACCCTGGCACTGGCACCGACACGGGCAGCGTGTAGCTACTGTTCGGCAACTGCCGTGGCGCCCCGGTCACTCCGATGGCCATCTGGTTGCGCTGCATCATATTCTGGAACTCCTCGTCGATCTTGTTGTACTTGGCCTCCGTTCGTGGTGTTAGCGTGTAGTCTGTTTCGGCTTCGGGCGAGTCCGGGGACATGACGCCGTTCTTGTTCTCCTTCTGTATTCACAAAGAAACATAGAAAGAGAAATGCATAAAGAGACTGATGATTAAGTGCTAAGCAAGGCAGAGGCAAAAGAGCAAGTAACGGTAAGCTCTCTTTGTGCCCCGCTCGAGGAGAGCACTCCATGGGCATGCCGCACCTAGCTGTCACAGGCCTTGGGCTGTGCAGTGCTGCATTTGAAATGCAAAATACGCTGCCGGCCAACCTCTCCTTCTGCTGCTTCGTGCTCTTTGCCGTAAGCTGCTCTTTCAGCAGGCCACAAGTGGAAGCCCTTCAGCTCTCTCTCTCTCTTACTTAAGCTCCTCTGTGGGAGCACTTACCTCAATGATGTTCTTGTTGGTCAGCGACTCGTGCGGCTCGTTGTATTCCGTGTACTTGAGCAGCACCCTGTCCATGTCCGTGCTGGCATACTGGTAGAGCTTGTTGCTGGACGAGAAGATGATCAACGCTATCTCGCAGTCGCAGAGCACCGATAGCTCGTAGGCCTTCTTCATAACGCCGAACTTCCGCTTGTTGAAGGTCACCTGGAAGCGGAGGAGGAATCGTTTGTCAATTACCGTTCTCTGCTCAAATATTTATGCGCCTCGAATGTAATTAGACGCACAAGTGGCCGCGGCCTCAGGCCGCCCCTTCTGCTGGAGGCGAGGCAAAGTGAGGCGAGGACTTGTAAATGAATCGATTTTGGCGCCCAGTCAAGGTTACAGTGGTGGCCCATACAATAAACAAGTTGTTGGGGCTCCTGTTCCACCTCCTCCTCCCCTCCACACCACACCACACGCCTGACTGTGCTGCCGATGACGCGTTTACGGGCTGGCTGAGACGACATCAGCTGAACTGAAAGCAACGCGGAAAACCCTCTCACTCACGCAGCCACGATGACGCGTCACACGAAGCTGTCGAGGCTGATGGAACCTTATGAACTAGTTCCAAATGGATTTCAGCGATTTGAACTAATTTTGTTCGAAACAAAAAAACAAAGGGATTATAGCAGGACTAAAGATGAAAGTTAAAGGTAAATTTCGTAAGAAATCACTTCACATTTTGTGTGCAAAAAATAGGACCAAAGCCTCAGAACGCATAAAGTCAAAAATCATCCGTATATCTTAACTTTCATGGAATTATATTACTCAAAAGGATAATTGCCGCCCAATTAGCGTCACAGCAGACACAATTAAATGCAGCCGTAGCTCTATGTAGCATATCGAAAGGTGTACGATTTCGGTTTAATTGAAGTAAATCGATTCAATTCGCACCTTCAGGGCCTGCTCGCCCCCACCTTTGCCCTTAATTAATAAAGTTTTCTATTACATTTGATGGGGCGGGCAGAACGGACGATTGCCATGGCAAAGAACCAATTGGCAATCCGACTGGCTGCTGGCTGCAGTGCCAAATGAGCAGCAGCAGCATACAATTGTTGCTCACTGTAGAATTAATGGAAGGGGGACTCACCTGCCGATTGCGTTCATCGGTGATGCGTGATATCTGGATTTTTTTGCGACCCATGGCAACAGTTTTGCTATCCTCTCGTCGCTACTCCGATTATTATAATAATGATGATGGCTGGATGGTGGCTGGTGTCTCCCAGTATGTTCTTTTAGCTGTAAGCTTGGATGGTTCCTGGGTTCTTGGGTTCCTTCTTCTTTTCCTCTCTCTCTCTCTCCTTTCCTTCTGTCTAGTCTGGTGTCAGGTAAACTCTCGTTAATTATTCGCCAGGTTCCTCTTCTTCGCGTAGCTGTTGCTATTGTGGCAGACTTGGGGCATATTTAATATGTATTTGTATCCACACACACACACACACACAGATGTACATATACATATATTATCCTGTACATGTATATGGGGGGTTCCCTCTTGTTCCTTGTTATTGTTGTATAAGTGGACGGCTTGTCAAAACGGCAAATTCTTCATGTATATTGTATATATATTTTTATATAATTATGTTTCCATATAAATTGTTTTCAGGTAGCTGCAAAGAGAGAGAAACGAAACACAATGAATGACCGAAGACTGAAGGAGTGATGGGTGGGGGTGGGGGTGGGGGTAGGGTAGGGGCTGGTAGGGGGGTTGATTGAGTAATTAACCCATGGCTGACCCATTTAACCCATTTACACTTGGAGGGCGACTTCAAAAGGGTTTCCAGCTGGTCTCCAAAGAGGGGACATCGAGGAGGGTCACAGATGGTGCCCTCGCTCCACTGGCGTTGAAAGTTCAATGCACTGCTCTAATGGGTAGGGAAGGAGAAAGGAGAATGGAGGATGGTCCTTTCTCATTCTCACTCCCACTGCCCCGCACTCAACCTCAAGGTTGACCTATTTCATCAGCTGGGCTTCAGTTAATTGATGTGGCGACTGGCCGCATCCACATCCCACGCATGATTAGATGCGCGACTGCTCCGCCACGCCACTCGATGGGAGGAGCGACCCAACACTTTGATGTCCTTCGAGCGCACAGGACATAGCACATTAAATCAATAAGGAAGTTTCAGTTTCACTTTTCAACTGTTTTTTAACGCGGAAACGGATGCGTCGTATCAAATCGTGTTTGCCTGTGGGGCATCCAAAGCCAAACTCTCCTCCAACAAGAGCCGGAAATGGGAAGGAAGCTGCGAGGCAGCGTTTTGCTGCTGTTGCTCTCTCTGACACACACACACACTCTGTCTCTGCCTTTGGGGGCCCGTAGCTATGGCAGTGGCAGTGGCACGTGGCGGACGAGCGCAAGGCAATGCCCTTCCCGCTCCAGGCACTTCTTCGAGGCAACATGGGGAGGAGCAGGAGAGAGCCAAAGAGCACACGGAAATCGAGGCGGATAAATTTCACTTGCCTCCATCGTCGGTTGCTGTTGCTGTTGCTTTCCTGTCTTGGCAACCCAAAAGAAAATGGGACAGTGGACAGGGGCTGGCACCACTTTGCCTTTGGTTTTGGTTCACGCAGAGCGACTGGAAAAGCAACAGTAACTGCGACAGCGACAGCAACAGCGACAACGACTACGACCTACGCAATATGTTTCAGGGAGAACTCCAGAGTGGGAACGCTAACGAGGAATGGGAATGGGAATGGTGTGGCTTTGGTTGGTGTGGGGTTCTGGGCTTGTAGCCTTGACGAATATGTGTGTGACAGCCAGACACACACACACAGAGGGACACGCACAGAGGAGAGAGAGAGAGAGAGAGAGAGAGTAGCTCCAGCAGAAGGACACACTCAACAAATTCTGTGTATCGAAGAGGCTTCGCCCCCCTCCTGATTATGCGTGAGTTTTGTATTTTTGGTGACTCAAACATTCATTATTGATATGGAAAATGAAAATGAAAAAAAAAAAAAAAAGAAACGGAACGGAACGGAACGGAAAAATATACCAAACGAAAAGTTAAGGAAATCCAAAAAGAAAGGAAACGAAAAGCGACAGATATATTGGGTACAAATAAAGTGGGGGGCGGACTGTGAATCGATAATGATATTGATGACGCGACAAGTTTGATTCCCGATTCCCAAAGTTCCCTGGGGAAACGGTTAAGGGATTACGCATACGCACTGTCTGCCCATTCAATAATTATCCGCCTTTTGTAATCAATATTCGATTTTAGATAATCCTAATTTGTTGCTTTTGCTGTTTCTGTTCCTGTTTATCTTTGGGCTAAGCGTTTTGGCCCATAATTATGGGACACCTAATCCGCTTAGGCTTAGCCCCAGCTCTCAGGCAAACAGACGAGACCCGACGGAGGTTCGAGTGGCACACAGTCGAGAGGTCTTGTCGCTAAATCATATTTTATTTAGTCTTTCCGTTCCTTTTATTCGTTAAATGCAAACCTCAAACAGAACCGATAAGCGGTTGACATCGGTGGTGAAGGAATTGCGTCAGTGCGTCAGGGAATCATGAATAATTCAAGGAATATCTTAAGGAGAAGCATAAGGGAAGGATAAATGAAAGGCAAAGAAAGGGTATGATGCATGGACATAGGGATATCTGTGTCATGTGTCACTGCTGGCTTATCACACCTCTCCACTCCACTCCACTCCACTTAAGTGAGTCAATAAGTCCCAGGCCCAGTCCCAGGGCATATGTGGGTTTCAGAATCTGCATCGAGAAGGAGCAGGAGGAGCAGCTAGTGGAGGCGCACATGTCCGATGGCAGCAACAAACCAGCAGGACATCAATTGCTGGTATTAACAAAGCGACGAATTTGTAGCATACTTATCAGCGCCTGCAATTGGGTGCAAGTTTGTCAGCCAAGGCGGAGTGGATTGGAGTGTGAATACTGGAAACACAGCAGAGCAAAAATTTCAACAAAAGTATAACTAAATCTGTTGGGAAGCCAGAATTAATGGGAATCTTTTTTATGGCTATGAAACGCACTGTAAGCATTCTCTGAGAGTAGAGAAAGCGTAAAAGGCTCAACTTTTTCCTGATGCTGGTTACGTTTTTGTGGCATGTGCATCGAAGACAGCAAAGTTCTGTTGAAATCGTAGAATGTCGTTTTTATTTTTTTTATTTACGGAAGTATTACGTGGAAGCCAGGAGGAGCAAACTTTTTTCTAAACGATTGCTTGCAGCTTATTCCGCCATTTCCGGACGCTTAGCTCTGCCTGTGGCACACTTTTTGTATCTCGTTCTGTTTCGTTCTGTGTTCGCTTTTGCACAGTTTTTTGTTGAAGTTATCGCAAATCTGCATTCAGCCGTGCCGCACTCGGGGCCCCCAATATCTAATCGCATTTCAAGCTGCCAAAATGTTGCTCTTTCTTTATAAATTATTAGAAAATATTCGCGTCACAGTACACTCACGAGCGGGGGGTGTGGATAAGCGACTCCTCGAGTGGTGTCAGGTGTGCAGGTGCCACAGCAGCAGAGAATATTTGACTAATTGTCAGCAAAGAAGGAGAGAGGGCTAATCAGAGCGCAATGGAATGGAATGTGTGGCTGCCACATAAAAAAAACAAAAGGGAATTGGATGTGCCCTAAAGGCTGAAAGAACTTAACACGGTTTTCATTGCAACAATTAACCAAAGGGATCGTCTCTTCGTCTCTCTTTCTGTGGGTCAGCACTTGAGTGGAAGGAAGGAAGGAAGGAAGGTAGGAGGTTAGGAGGGTAGGAATGATGTGCTCCCCAGTACTGCTCCTCTGTGTATCTGTGTGCTTCATTGGATGCAGATGTGTGTCAAGACATTTGTATTCTTGCGGCACGGGGCAATTAAGCAACGTAGCAACGACTGTCGACTGCCACACATTTCTCCATTTAATTGCCCTCCCCCTAACAAAAGTGTGTGGCGGCAACACGGCATCATTAGGCCAATGGCCAAAGTACACACAAACCACATACATACGTATGTACATACTCGTATGTATCCATCCAAAAAGTCAAAAGAATTCTTCAAAAGTACCTTTCGCTATCCTCAATCAATGAAATATTAAAGAAGGACTGCGACTATTAAAAGTTATTCTCCTTCGACAGAAAATATTACTCAGGAAATGATTACCAAGTAAGAGCATCATTGGAAGAGTAGAAAGTAGCCAGAGTATTGGGTATTTAGCTGCTGCTGCTTTTCTGCTCTGGATGCTCTCTCTGTTCTCTGTTCTCTGTTCAATCGACATTTCTTGGTATTAAGGAACCCCCATTATTGATTTGATTTTCGAAAATGAATCACTCTCTGTGGATTTTTCTTTGATGAAATGAACGCATTAACGCCGCGAAAACTTGTTGCCCGCTTTGCTTTGATTGCTCCCCCAATTAGCATTTGTTGTAAATAAATTTATGCAAATGTTAAACTTTTTCCGTATTTTGGATGAATGAACTCCTACCGAAAACCAGTTGTGGGAATGGGTTGAGATGCGATGCGATGCGATGAGATGACTGGAGATCATCTGAGGAGAATGCAAGTCTGGGAGAGAAGATACCTTTCATAAATTTAATTTTTATGGCAGCTGCCGCGACCAAATTTCAAGTTTAAAAAACTCGATACGAGAGGTATTTGTCACTCACGTTAATAATTATATAAATTATTATATTTGATTGTATTTTATATGTAACAAATGCCCATGCACATTTCTTTGGATCTTAAAGGGAAGGTTCATCGTGTTTTACTTTTACTTAATAGAAGTTTTGTTTTTCGCTAAAGTTCTTTTGATAGGCTTTTCGACTGCTGTCGCATACTTCACTTTCACTTTTTTTTCGGGGAGCTCTCCTCGTGGCAGATTTGTCAGCCGGCAGTTCATTCGTTGGGGCGATTCTGTGGTTATAAATCTTGACTTAATTAGAGACACGCGCGCGCGCTTTAAAACGCGACAAAAACGCGTCACTTGCAGCGGCCACTGAGGCGGAACTGCAGCCAAAGTGGGGACGAAACGAAAGATGGGGGGCGTTGGGGCAGGAAATTAACAGTTTGGAACCCAATAAATTATTGTGTGAACATCATTATAATGAAGAGTTGAGAGATTTGGCTTATCCCCTAAGCCATTCATTCTCTAAAGAATGTCAGGAGAATTTTGGAGTCGCTGAAGTCGTTTAAGAATGGGCTGAAAAAGAGGACCTTAAAAAGGAACACTAAATCAAGGAAATTCCTTTCCAAATGTTTTGCCGAATGTCTGCAGCAGACAGAGTCTTGTCCTTGCAGACTTTTCCCACGCAATTTCCGATTCTGCCACAAGAAGCAGAGTGCTGTAACTGGTGGCATTTCTCCTGCAGCTCCAACAAGAAGTGGGTGCCAGCAGCAGTAGCAGCAGCAAGCATTCCGCACATTTCAAGGTTCTTTTCTGCTCAAAACAAAAAAAAGCACACACGCGTCGCTTGGCGTCTCCGTCTCCCATGTTAAGGTAGCCAACAGACGGGGGGGACACACACGTTTGAGTCCGCTCTCTATCTTATCGCTAAACGCACACTTAAAGAGAGAGAGAAAGAGAAGTGGGAGCAGGGCGAACATAGAGAGTGGGTAGAGGTAAATGTACATAGAAATATACAAAAAACACTAATAATACATAA